TCAAATAGGCAGGCAATGCCCCCCAAAATGTTTCTGAATAATAATAAAAAGGGGAGGGTTAACTTACATATCAAAAGAGAATTTATGGGCAGCGTCAAAGTCGGCATCCGTTAACGGACGGTCTACTTTGGCATTACATCTCGAGACCTGAAATTTTTTTAAAAAAATTTATTAGTATATCTTATTTCCCTTTATATTATGAGAAATTAGAAGTAAAAAAAATAACATACGACAAAACGGATACCAGTGAGCATGTTGTACATGGTCACGTAGTTTGAATGATTAATGTCGACTTTGGTACCAACGAGGACCTCATCTTCGACTTCTTCCTCCTTCTTCTTTCGCTTGCTAGCACGTTTCGCGCGAATCGCTTCGGTCCATTTAGCGGAGTCTTCATCTTGGGGAATTTCGTCGAGATGAACGTCGGAGTGGACCGATCTGGTTTGACGTCTTCCTAGAGAAATAGACGCGCGACGAGGGGTCGACGAATGGTGGATCGGAGAGATTTGGTCCCTGTTGTGGAGAATGTCGTCGGATTGACTGGTAGTGGCTAGGATTCCAGCGCTGGTATGAACGGGATGGTTGTGATGATGCCTCGACGAGGAAGAGGACGAAGACGAAGCCTTGGGGACTTGGAGAGTGTGGCGGTGTTTAAGGGGCCCGTTAGGGGAGTGGTCGAGGGCCATGGGGGAAGAATGACGTTTCGGAGAAGTATTCGAAGTTGTAGATTGATTGGAAAAGGAAGAATCGTTTCCGGCGACGAGAGTTCTGGAGGTGTTTGTGCCATTAGGGGAGGCGGGAGTGGTGGCTAGAATTGGAATTTCATCTCTTTGGGACCTCTCCTCCGACCGTTTTTCGTCGGACTTTTTCTCGGCAGGTGACCTGGGAGAGGCCCAACCGTTATTTTCAAGGGAAGAAGACATGATTCTCTCTTGGGAGAAGGTTTTCAGGTTGACGTTGAATGGCCTTTCATGGTGATGATGATGTTGCATATCCAGGGCGACGTCTTGTTGGAGGATATCGATGGGGAGTTTCTGGACGATGACCGAGTATTGGTTGTTTTCCTCGACGGTCATTATAAAATCGGACTTGTTTTTCTTCTCCTTCTTCCTTTATTTCTTTCCCGGTACAGAGACAGAGAGAGAGAGAGAGACGGACAGACGGTGGATCCGAGAAGTCTCGTTTGAATATCCTTTTTGTACTTTTTTGTATATGTTTGGTGGTGGTGTCTAAGGGAGGATCGGGGTCAGTGACAATCAAACCCACCACGGACAGACAGACAGACAGGCAGACAGATCGGTCTGACAGAACAAACATACGATTTATAAAAATGAAAAACAGACACTGTCGTTCAGAGACGGAGAGAAGTGTCAGTTAGCCATTCAATGATCCCAAAAAAAAAGAGGCTGACGTGCGTGGTAAAATGTGTCCGAATCCACGTGGAAGACAAGACGGAGATGGAGGTGATTGATTGACTGATGGCAGCCAGATGGATGGGAGATGGTCGGAGATGCACTTTTCGCAGGCAGCGGGAGGGGGTTTAGTTAGTTACTTACGATTCAACCAACCAACCAAGAAAGAAAAGAAAAACAACCAAGAAATTAAATAAAATAAAAATACTTCGAAAAGGACAGTGAATGTGTAAATATGAATATGAAGATGAATATGAATGTGAATATAATGAATACTAAAAGAAGGAGAAGAATTAGAACAAAAAGAGAGAGAGAGATAGTAGAATATAACTAATAAGAAAAAAAAGGCTGACGACTTTCTTGGATGGTTCAAAAGGGAGAGGCTGAGTCTCCGTTGGAATAAAAACGGGAAATTGGCATTGGCATTGGCTGTGAATTTGAAATGAAATGAAGCGAAACCACAACAACTTCCCTTAACTTATGCCTCACCCTCACTCTCAGCCACTGCACCGTCATCATGTCCCTGTCCCGCATGTTGTGGCTGGAATGCGGCATCTGATATGTTATATGCCAATCCTTGTTAGTTAGTTAGTATTAGTGTCAGTGTCGGTGTCAGTGTCAGCGAATTGCCTGCATAGCTGGTTGCCGAATCCCGATCTCCAAACAACGTTAACGTTATAACCCCTGGCCAAACCATACAATACAATACGATTATACTTATACTTATACAATACAATTAAGTATATAAGTATATAAGTATATAAGTATATAAGTATGTATTATCGATATCCTTTTGTCACTTTAATAGAGTAAATTATAATTATAATTATAATTATGGCATTGAACTGATGGTGTTCGATCTTATCGTTGTGAAACACCATATACATACTCAAGTACTTGTTATAATATATGGGAATGTTCAAAGTAATCGATATCTTTCTTCTCTTATTTCCTCTCTCTCTCTCTCTTTCTCTTGGATTCTTCGAATTTAATATGCCGATGCTCTCACGTTAAAAGAGATATGATGGAGTATAGGTACCTACTAGTTAAAACGTTAGCCACCACGCTATAATCTTACAATCACAGTACTTTTGAAAACTAACAAATTTGAACACCATTCCGGACGGGAATCATATTGTAACACGGTAAGATTTTAGAGGCACTCTAGGCGCGATTCGCGATATCTGTGCCATATTAGGCCGATGGTAATAAGTATTCAGAATGATATGCTGGTGGTGCTGGAGTCGTTGTAAGGTTTTATCTCTCCTTTTCTTCTTCTTCTTTTGACTCCATTAATCTCTTTCAGATCTATATATCCTGATATATATTTATATGGATATGGATATCGATAGTTGGCAAGCCATGCATGTCGTATTGGAGTATGAATGGTGGCTAATGATATGTGACGTATGAAGGGAGAATTGGTCGACAGAGATATCGACATTTCCTATATATTTTATTAGACCCATAAACAACTAGACTAGATATCCGATACAAATAATATATCAAAGTCAATAAGTATTTAGTATCGATGCTTCTGGATGTGGACTTACTAGTTTTTAGACAAATTAGGTTAGTTAAGTGAATAAGTACTTAAGTAAGTACCTCGGGTAAAAGTGGGCGGTGGTAAGAAACGGGCCCTGGTAAAACGCTCAAGCAGCAGCAGCGGTAACAAGCAGGCTCTGGGCAACTGTCAATCAGCTGCTGCATCAAACAACTAAAAATTTATTAATTACCACCTCACTCTACATACATTTGACATTACATACTACATCACATACATCACATACATCACATCGACACTTGACACTTACTTACTTCTCACACCTACATGCACACCAAGACACATCCTCTCCACTCACACCTTCGCCCGCTCTTGTACTTGCTCCTGCACTATTCCATTCTATCCTTCAATTAATAATACCTCCCATCCGTCAGAGGATAGAATAGGAGGCCGACCGAAAAAAACACCCTGTGAGAGAGAGGCAAACCTAGATGGCCTCGAGGAGTGCCAGCAGAGACCCGGGCAGGACCACCAATAAAACTTCCTCCACCGGCGAGGACGACGCCTCTATTCTATCAAATGCCCTAACAGCTGTCTCCGTAAGTTAGCTTCTTTATCTTCTCTTCTTTCTATATTTTATATATACTCCCCTCTCTTCCCAATTGCCCTTTCCCCGCTTTCTTTCTTCTCTCCCTCTCTTCTTCCTTTCTTCCCTTCCTTTCCTCTACACTTTTATATACTCGTATACATAAATACATACTATACATCTACATATTCCCAGAAAAAATATATATATCATCAAAGAATATATATATCAAGCGGATATAATTGTATAAGAGTATAAAAGATATATAAAGTGGTGTTATTTCTTTTGATTTGATTTGATACTTTTTTTTTGTTGGGAAGATTGCTCGATATATATATAAAAAAAAATGGTCCGCCGGAGACATGGCTCACTCGTCTTATACCACCAGAACACAAACATCTCCTCCTTCTCCCGGAAGGTCTCCTCCACCGCCGGAACTCTCATCGGTCCTTTCTCTGATCCGGGCTCTCACTACCATAATGCAATGTCTGAAGTTTCAAAGGACCTAAAACGCCCTTCCATCCAGAAGAGGGTCTTCTCTTTCTCGAAAACTTCCCCCTCCGAGATCGTCCGTTCAAAATTATCCGCCACCGAAATCTCCCACCGTGCCCTCACCTATCTTCCTGACGATCTCCTCAAGGACATCCCCGAAAATGATGCCTCTTACTCCCTCTTCCAGGGCTTCAAGGCCTCCGTTGACACTGCTGCCACGAAAAAGCACCGTGAAGGTAAAAACTTGCTAGAGGAATCTACCGCCGGAGGTCCAAACAACGTCACCCGTTTGTCCAAGGAAAGAGACCGTACAAACGAAGAACTCGACCTCCTCGGCGTCAGGAAAAGCATTGCCTCCGGTGAAATAAGAGAAATCGACCGCAAGATTGCCCAATTGACTGCCATCCGAGGTGTCGTCCTCGAGAGACTCGCCAAGCTTGAACAGGAAGAAACCCAACTCGAACATGACTGTACCTCACCCCTCCCAACCCTTTTCTTCTTCTTTTAACTATAATAATGCTAATATATTTATTTGCGTAGTATTGGAACTCGACAATAAGATTGAGGACATTCAGTATGACATGGTCGAGGAGGGTGGTTCCCCCATCGAAGCTGAGGAAGCCGAGGCCGGCTTCATGTCCGAGAGCATCTACTCCAAGCTACCCAGCCCTAAAGGCCGAAAGCGTCAGAGTATGTTTTCCTCTCTTCTCTCCTTATATATCCCTATAATATAGATAGGTACTTATATAATTGATATAATACAGAGAGAAAGGCCATGCCTATCCTCCACGAGCACATGTCCCCCGGCAGCGAAATCAAGGAAATGCAATGCCACGCCGACCTCATCACCGCCCTCGACTTCGACTTCCCGTTCGGAAAACTTGTCACCGCCGCTCTCGACGACACCGTCCGTGTCTGGGATCTCAACTCCGGCCGCAGCCTCGGCCAGCTCGAGGGTCACCATGCCTCCGTAAAATGCCTGCAGGTCGAGGACAACTATGTTGCCACCGGCTCTACCGACGCTACCATCAGATTCTGGGATCTCAGCAGATCGGACGGACCTTCCCTCCCTGGCTCAAACAGCGTAACTCATAAGCGTGGCCCCCAATCTAACCAGGAAGAAGACTTTGAAGACGACATGTCCGCCATCTCCTCGCCTACCGGACCTAGATCTTCCGCCGGAACCCAGGATTGTCACCTTCTCACTCTCGACTCCCACATCGGAGAAGTCACCGCTCTGTACTTTCAAAATGGCACACTTGTTTCCGGATCTGCTGATAAAACTCTACGTCAATGGGATCTCTCCACCGGCCGATGCGTACAAACCCTGGATATCCTTTGGACCGCATCGAGCACCGCTGCATCCGAGGATAGCGGCTGGAGCTTCGCCAGTCTCGGACGGTCGAGTAGCAGGTCCAACCTACCGGAGGCAAATGCCGACTTCGTGGGAGCCCTGCAATGCTTCGATGCTGCTTTGGCTTGTGGTACCGCTGATGGTCTCGTCAGGCTTTGGGATTGTATGTTCCTTCCCTTTCTGTTATCTACCTGGGAGTGGTGTTCTAATTATTACTAGTGAGGAGTGGACAAGTTCATCGATCTCTCGTTGGCCACACTGGCCCCGTCACCGCCCTCCAATTCGACGACACCTACCTAGTAACCGGCTCAATGGATCGAAGCATAAGAGTATGTCACTTTCCTCTTCCTATACTTTCGTATCGATTACTAATGATGATGTATAGATCTGGGACCTCCGAACCGGCTCTATCTCTGACGCTTTCGCTTATGAACACCCAATTACATCAATGCAATTCGACGCCGCAAGAATCGTTTCCGCCGCCGGTGAAAATTACGCAAAGATCTACGACCGTGTAGACGGAAGACACTGGAACTGTGGAGCTGGAGCTGAAGGTGGCAAGGAGGACCGGTTGAGCACACCGGCTATTGTGGAGAGAGTTAGAGCTAAGGAAGGATATTTGGTTGAGGGACGAAGGGATGGTGTTGTTGGCATTTGGACTTGTTAAAAAAAAGCACATATTACGTATATATAAGAATGAAAGTGGGAGGGGGGAGGGGGGTATATAGAGTCTTCGGGCAGTGGTGTACATTAGATACCTTTTTACGACCAACTTTTCTCTTACGTTTGGATTTATTGGGGAGGGACACGACTAAAGACCAGCCATGCCTGCGACTTTGCATTGCATGAAAATTTGTATATAGATTTTATTTTCTCTGAAAGGGTCTTTTTGAGCGGAGCATCATTTCTTCCTTCCATTCATTTTTCTTTCTTTTTAGCCATCCTTTTTGGTAGACCTTGGTTTGTTGGTGCGGCTTTTGTCATCCTTTTTGGTCTCTTGGTTCTGACGAAATCGCGCTGCATGCATGCATTTGCTTGGGTTAGATGAGTAGATAGGTCGCCCACCTCTCCCCCCCTTGATGTGTGTTTAGAGATTCGAAGCTGGTATATGAGCCCCATACATCTACATTCCTTCTTTCATAAATCCTTTTCTGTCCTTCTTAATCATTTTTTTTTGTTAAATTCAGAAATATATCCATACGAACAGATGCTTTTTAGCTAAAATTACAGGTCTATTGCTTTTGAACATTCCTATTATATCCTACACCATCCAACGTCCACACTAAATTATTCCTCCCCCCCACTCTCCTCAATATCGAGAGAGAGAGAGAAAGATAACCCATAAAAAAACACCCCCCCCCACCTTACAACCCCTCCACCGCCTTCTCAAACCCCTCTTTAGTCATCAACACCATCCTCCCTCTCGGTAAAATCCCGACATCCTGAAACGCCCTCTTAGAATCCGCACTTTCCTCTGGTGGCTCGTGTTTATATTTATACGTCAACTCTCCTATCGAGTTGTTCAAGAATACATCATCTTCCGGATGGAAATTGAATATTAAACCCTTGTTATTGTTATTTTTCGACTTTGATTTTGATTTTTTAGAAGAAGAAGAGTGTTTTAGACGTTTTGATGACGGTGGCGGGGAGGAGGATTGAGGTAGTGAGGATTCGATTTCTGTGTAGACTTTTGAGAGGAGGAGGTAGTGGGTGAAGTTGTATGGTTCGTTCTGGTACCATTGTTGCCATTGTTAGTATTAAGAAGGAATATAACTGGTTGTTCTTTTTTTTTTTTGGTAAGATGGGGGGAACATACATCCTCAACAGCGTAGCTTATTTCTTCCAATAACATTTTATAAGATGGAGGAGAAACGTCCGGTGGCATGTTTATTAACCTTTCGGAAAGGATTATAGCTAATCTAGTTTCTTCCTGTTCTTTTCCATCTTCTTTTGGAGTGAATAGTGGCGTTAAAAGCTCATGTAATGGTGTCGATGTACTCTGCGAATGAAGATAAGTAACCAAAGATTTAACAGCCGGAGTATCCTATTCTCTCATTTATTAGTCCTTCCTCCCTCTCAATCAATCAACTGTCACAAATATACATATTATAATAGGTATATAAGAAAAGAAGGAGATGGATCATACAAAATGCAACCCCAAATTAACCACACTCAAAAACGAATAAGGATCCCCTTCCCTCCCATCGACTTTCACAGTAGATCCGACAAGTTTTTGATCTAAGATTAAATCCGTTAGGGCGGATAGATCGAGGAGTTGGGAATCTGCGTCGAATAATTGACGTAATAGGAGTTTTATGCCGTGGAAATCGTGGGGTAAAGGGTCGAAGAATTCGAAGTCGATGTTTATTAGGTCTTTTTCTGTGTCTGAGGAGGAGGAGGAGGAATCGGGATCGGAATCTGAAGAGGCGGTGCGTTTTTTTGATTTTTTTGATTTTTTGGTGGAGTGGTTTGTGGGAGGGGGGTCGATGTCCATTGTTGATGGGGAGGGGTTTGTTTCTGGGAGGGTTGGTTGGTTGGACATTGTGGATGGGTGGTGATGGTGGTGATGATGATGATGATGGTGGGGTTGAATTGAAGGTTTGGAGGTTTTGATAACTTTTTTTTTTTAACAGAGCTGTCGCGAAAGCATCGAAAAGAGCCGCGAATCTGACCTAGAAAAAGTAACTAGACCATTTTTGGAAATACAACAACCAACAAATAAATTATCTGTGTTGACAACTCTTTTGCAATCAATCCTACGACATCTTTTCAATATAGCCCATGGCCAATCGAAAAAAGAAACTCGAGCTCGGTATAATTTTCCAATTTGACAAAGAAAAAAAAAAGGATCCAAGCTAGTCTAATCACAATAATCACTAATCCCCACCGAAACCACTATCCCGAAAGAAAGTCACTTCTCCGATCACTCGCATACGCTTCTAACTACAACAAGCCTTTACCCAGTAGAAGTTCATGTATCACAACACGGAATATGCGTGGTGTGACCCTTTTCCCTCACCCAAAAAAAATATAAATGCAAGTCGACGTGGTCGGGTGGGGTAAACTAAGGTAGATCGTTATCTTAACACTTCCTTTTTTGGATTGTTTTTTGGAGGAGTATAGTATATATCTAGGCCTGGCTTTTGTTATCGGCGAATGATTGTCGATATATTTTTGATTCGTGTTCAAGAGTGGTTTGGTGGTTTTGTTTTCTTGGATATGTCGTACTGCTCCCTTTCTTACCTATCGATCACGATCATCAGGCCGGACACGGGAAAAGTTGGCTTGTCGTTTTTTTATTGGTAGTAGGTTTTTATTGGCTGCTTGGGAAGTCTTTAGTTAAATACTAAGTACCTAAGTACTTGATCTATCTGAATTATTACGACCATTGGGTAGTATAGTCGGGGAACAATTAAAAGTATATATGGGCGGATGAGGGTCGAAAGATAAGTTATCAAGGAACCTCCTCGGGGTGGGCTAATTTAGGATTCCTCGGGTGCTGTATAGCTTGGGACAGCTCGGGAAACCGACATAGCTAGGAAAGATCAGTATGGGCTTGAGCTTGAGCTTGAGCTTGGGCCGCCAACCAAGGAACCGCTGCACATTTACATACATAAATAACTTAGCTAGGCGTATATCTAACTTAATTAAGACAAGGGGGGATGCAATGCCGCATTATTTATGAAAACTGCCAATCTAGAACAGTGAAATCGTAAGCGCACACATATACGGCAAATAATTTGCACATTTATTGTCGCTCATCTTTCGATATCATCAATGACTCGACATATACATTTTCTTTTTTTTTAAAAAAAAAAAACGGGGAAAGAAAAAAGAAAGCCATAATCCCGCCATTCACCCCCCTCCCAAAGCCTTAGGAATCTCACCAAACCGCCAATACTTATACCTACAAACCTCCCCTCCCCCTCCCCCTCCCCCTCCCCCATCCCCATCCCCATCCCCACAAAATGCACCCTCCCCGCTTCCACCACTCACCTTCCTCTTCAACGCCTGTAATTCAGAATAGTCCCGTCGGAAGGGACTAATAACCTCCACCTCCCCTCCGCCCACCTCCCTCGCCAAAGCACGGGGCTCCGAATCCGACATGGGAAGTAAAATATCCCTCGTATCCCTGCCCCCCCAACCCAATGATTTCCTCCCATAGACCAACCGTCTAAATCCAACTCCCTTCAACATCTTCAATGAATTTGCCCAAAGGGCGAAAAAGTCCCCCCAGGTTAAATCTGGAAGGGGACAACCAGTCAGGTCGAGTGGAACTATTTCTGCATCTATGTACGTAGGATAGTAACCCGTCGCTGCGAGGTATGATAACCCCTCGGTCTGTCTGATTGCTGTGGGAGTAGTTATCGGTTTTGTGTCATACGTCGGAACTATCACTATTGTATCTAGCTCTAGGTATTCCAGCAGGGAACACCCTGCTATGGTGTTTTGAAATACTCTATATACTAGGGGATTGTTCCCCTCGAGCTTAATGTTGGATAGATGAAGGGATGAGAGCTTTGGACAGATAGAGGCGGGAGGGGGGAAGTCGAATGAGATGAGAGGGTGGGAGTTTTTGAAACTGTAGGAGGTGAGATTGGGGAGATGAGAGAAGAACCCGGTAAATCCGCGCTTTAGGATGGATACAGGCGCTTCTTGCGATAGAGAATTAGCGTTTATTTTGAAGGATGTGATGCTGAGAGAGAGAGAGTGTGTGTGTAGAATTAGCTATCCATTCCTTCTATTATCCAATTTATGTATTGTGGCAGTATACACGGTATACTGGTAAGGGAGGTAATATACATACTTCGGAAACACCACAGCCCGACCATCATCGGCCTTCTCACCCCCCAGTAGCCTCTCCACGTCATACCCCCCGAACATCAACCAAACCGCCTTCACAGCCCGCGGTATTGAAATCTCAATCTCACATACCCCACCAGTATCAGCAATAACCCTCCAAAGTGTATCTCTAAACAGAATACACCAGTCGTCCATTCTCAAGGCTGCCCAAAAGACTCCTATAGCTATATGGATCCTTTTTAGGTTTGGGAGCGATTTAATAAGATTTACTAATGAGTTGGTATACTCATCTCGTTGCCGTTTGTATCTTTGTAATTTGGGGTTGTATTCAACCCATGGCCGGGAGGGGCTTTCGTGGAAGATCGTGGGGTTCGTTTCGAGATCGCGGTATCGCAAGTGATTACCGCGAGCATTGCTTTTTTTGGGTTGTTTGAGAGCATCTGAAGTTCTCTCGGGATTACGAGTCCAAGGGAATTTGGTGTACTCAGGGAATGTAACTAGTTTGTAGCCAAGGAGACGTTAGAAAGCTACGTACAAATAGGTATATACCATACTACTAGTATATATCAATCCCCCCATATGCACCCAATAACAAACAACGCGGTAGTTAGGTAGGTAGGTATATATATCTCCACACTTACAGTCTTCGGAAATAGGAAAAAACGATTCACCAGGCAGAAATAGCGATCGTACCGATGGTCGTACTGTAGGTGAATCTGCCAAACCATTCATTTGTGAGACGGAGCGGGTGACTCCATAGTGTATGCTAACTTCTTCGAAGAGGACTTCGGTGGTTATATCATAAGCCGATTTCGTTGCCAGGCGAAAGTTACGCAAGGCTTCACGATTTGGTTTTAGGAGTTTGGCGATTTGGAGACATAGTTCTGGTGGGAGGGATAGGAAGGACATCCCTTTTTTTGATCATATGATTGAGATTGGATTTTATACTCAGGTACTAGTACTTATAGCCTTGTGGATTGAGGTTTAATTTGGTGTCTGGTTTGTCGATGGAGAGGTTGTTTTGTGGTTGGGAGTCTGGCGATGAGTCGACAATGTTGTTGTTGGATATTGAAATGCATGTTTGGCGCATGTAAGCACCCAATGCCGGTAAGTAAAAGCCGTTCTGATATCGATATCGCCTCGAGACTGATGATGATGACATGCAACAAACCATCTTGTTGTGTTACTATGAACCGCATCTTATTAGTTCGGTTTCTTTTTGATAGTTAGAATGATTCCAACTAATTGGATCATTAAGGTTAGTACATACTTAAGTAGTTAATTACTCTATTGGTTTTGTTTTATAGATATGTGGTTAGTCGAAGCGAATGGTCTCGTTTTTAGACGTCAAGATTAGAAGCGAGAACTATAGCTAATGATCAATGATACGACCCTGCTGGTCCGCTGCTCGATAGCTTATACTTTTTTCACTAGAGCACGGGGATATTCGAGTTTATCATGCACTAATACTGGCGAGCTTGGATGTCGATATACCAAGGTGGTTTGCTCTTACATCAGCGCGATGCGGCATCATGGTATCATGCGTTCAACCATTGCTAATGTATCGATATCGCGATATCAGATCTAGATACTCGCTAAATTAACGCAGTGCACTGCACCTAAGTACTTATTTGTTACTCTGTGATGGATTAGATCATATCATTAATTCTGATCTACGAGATAAGATTAGATCCTAGCCAATGTTAATTAATATATATTAACTAAGTTTAACGATTGTGGCCTACTAAAAACGACCTATGCTTGCAATAGACCGCTCGGAATCGATTTTTTGTACCTACGTGCACATGTGAAATAATTTGATATCAATATCTTAGGACAAATCTTAGTAGATCTGACACTTTGGTTTTTATTTTGTTTCAAAATTTATTCCATAAGCTTAAGGGGCAGTGCACGCGCGCGCTCTAGAAGGTATATCTAGCTATGTAGGCCTAAAGTCTATAGATATCTAGATCTAGAATCTTATATCTTAAATCCGCATCATTTACTCATTCAACGGATTACAAACTAACACCCTCCCTTTTGAGTTCACAGAAATTCGAAAGCTATAACCGATTCTGCAATTGATTTTCAATTCACCATATGTATTAGAATAAACATGCATGAACAATTCAACTATCACTTAATTTTCCGCCTCCTTTCTGTTGCTGCCCATGTGGAGTCAAGTTCGCCACGTAAGTCAAGCATTAGCCCAGACGTCACACCCCTCATTTTGGTATGCAGAAATGCAAAGGAATTTATAATTTAAACAAATGCATCGTGTGCTGGACGTTTCACGCGCAGGAATACCAAGATAAGATTCCAACGGCGGCGGCGGGGGTGTCGCGACCGCGTTAGCTAAGCTGTGCGTATAATTTCCCTCGTGGTCGTGGCTAATGGTTCGTGCCGCATTTTATTAGTTACCTATGTATGAATGTACATACATGTACCTGCATGCGGCCGCCATGAAGCTGGGTCGAAGATCTCTGGTTTCCCCCTTCCTTCTCGGATGGAATTCCGAGATACAAACAACATGGGTAAGGGCTTTTAAACTTTTAATCTCGTTGATCATGGATACTCGAGGGGCACGGCCGGGGTAGATGACGAGAACGCTAGCGATTGACAGGAGCTCGAGTTACAACCTACTACCACTCAGCCTAACATGTTTTTTTTTCTTCTTGCGATCGATTTCAAAATTTAAAATTTATAAATGCGAAAAAAAGACAGATAGCAGTGGAGTATGTAGATATGCATACATACGGAGTACATACATATACATATGTACTAATACCCAATTATAGGCTGCTTCAAGACAAATAGTGAGTCTGTAAGATTAACCTCCGCGATTGAGGAATATATAATTTCCAACGCAGACTGCATAGATCTAGATCTATTTTCGTTTTCCAGGTCGCGAACATCACAGGCGGTGGCGTACCAGCCTCAAATAAGAATTTATAAAATAAAAAAACTTTCATTTGTTTTGACGTGACAAGCGCCACAGAAAAAAAATACCGAGAATGTCACACTGCATGAAATCGACGGTGATCTCACGTTCGCTCGGCCCCTGACAGAAAACCCGTCCGCCCACGCTGACGATGATCTTTTTTTCGTTTGGAAAAAAGAATCCATGCGGCAGTTATGTAAGTTCGTATTTTGTTCCTGGGAAAAGCATCAAAAGTAAAAACAAAATAATCCAACGGATTTTTTTGTCTGTGTGAAGCTATGCTGTATGGGGGAAGATAGCCAAAGCTCGCACGTTCCTTTCATTTCGGTAGGCCCATGGCATCATAACATTCGAGGCTAAAACTGGACCAGGCTTTGCGGTTTGGCAAGGCAATCCCGCGCGCGTTTCTAAACGATTGAAATTTTGCTTGATGACCTAAAAATGTGAGATAGTATGTGTAGCCCCAGAATTAAAAAAGATGAGACGAATAAGATGAGACGAAGTTGGAGGGGAGAGAAGAGAGAAAGAGAAGAAAAAAAGACTGTTATTTGTTATGTTTTGTGTATCATTGTTATAATGTTATTTATTAATCTCTCTGAAGCGCACAGCATGAAAGATAGTAAATTGCGCCGCTAAACGGGCGGGATAATTCGAAACCTACAATCAATTTCTGTGAATCCACGGTTCTGTCAAATCAGAAATGTTCATCCGCCATCCAGGCACAATCGGTAAAAGGGGAAGAAAAAGGGAGACGGCACGTAAAAGCAAGATATCCGGCAGGGATTTCCCTGAGAACTTGAAAACTGGCCGGTCTGACTTGCCCTTGAACGCGGTGACATCTGGCGCGGTCTTTATTGAGGAGCTTGTTCAATAAGTGCTGTGTAATAATATTCCTCAGGAACAAATAGTAGTAATCCCGGGCGATGGAGCCTCGAGTCCCACCCACAGCACACTCGCGGTTTAGTGAGCAAGTCAGGCTGCGAGATTATTTTGTATTTCTTCTTCCACTCTGATAGGTAGAAAGGGGTTATCGACTTTTGCAATTGGATTTGGACATTTATCCATCCTTCATTGCATAGTCACGCCAACAAAGAATGCTCAATCGGAGTTTTGTGGAAGGCCCTTGAACTGCGAGACGGCGATATCGATAGCACTCTTTCTTTCTTCCTCAAGGGCCTCTAGAAAGGAAGGAGCCCTGATACCGGAACGGGATCCGAGGGGCAGAAGCGACCAGGAACAGGTTGAGAGGGGAGTGAGCGAGCGAGTGTAGCAAGCACCATTACTTACAGCCAGCGGAGTGAATTGAAGTGAGAGTGAGAGTGCAGTGGAAAAAGAGAGAGAGGCTGAGTGTTGCATTCGATTCGGGTTTCCCCCCATCATCTCCCGCCGTCCCACCACCATCACTCATCCTTCCTCGTTATTATTCTTCTCCTTCTTTTTTCTTTAACCATCAACTGTGGTCGTATTCTTCCTTTCTTTGGAGAGTGCGAAGGGAGTTTACGGGAAAAAGAAGCTGAAGAAGCAGAGAAGAAGACGAGAGAGACAATAATAGTTACTTGGACCGGACTCGAATCAAAGGGCGGTTAGCAGGCTTCCTACTGGCGACGGATTGATCACCAGAGCCACCAGCTCGTATGTCTCAACACGCTACTAATTCCCATCGACAACGTCAACCATCCTTTTCCAGTCCTCCAACCACTCCGTAGCCTTCTTTCCCTCATCGACCAAGGCTGCCTCGACTTCAACTCCAACAATAATAATAATCTAATCGACTTCCTTTAATACCCATCGGAACGACTCTTCTTTCCAAGTACCAGCAAGCCGTTCTTTTACATTTTTTTTTTTGTGTTTCTTTTTTATGTTTCTTTCGCTGGTATTTTGACGACACCTTTTCGCCATCCACACGCCAACCTCCTCGTTTGGCTCTTACGATCGTTTAACTTGCCGACGCTTGTTCTTTGTCCGACTAGCCGCTTTCGTCTTCAGTTTAGTACCATTGCAATCGCTATTTTAAGACTTCGCGATAGAATCCAGGCTACTTGATAAACCTTTTTTCTGATACCGATAACTCGCCTTTTTGCCGGTTGGATTTGGCCTTTTTTTATCTGTGAATTTTTTATTGTCTATTCGAGTCGGAAATTTGGATAATATGCCCGCGGCTCTTCGACTGGCCGTTGTGGCCATTTTTGGTGCAGCATCGACATCCGCAGCCTGCATCTCGCTTTCCGGTTCTCGCCTCTGCCCGGCATTCAATGGCTCGTCTGTTTCTACCGATAGTGCGGGGAATTTGTAAGTTGAAATAATGTTATAATATGCATGCAAAGGGGGTGCATGTAGATGTTGGACCACGAGGACCACGAGGACCACAGCACTAACATAACACATCGAAATAGTCCATTCCTGGCCTTCGTCTCCAACACCCAGGATTTTGATACCAAATTTGCTACATACATAACGGACCAATATGTGCAAACAAAATACCAGGACCTACTCGGCTGCACCGGACTGAATTTATCGGATACGTCGAACTTGTACGCACGATTTACAACCAGCATTCTTTGCAATCGTATGGTGCAGGAAGCCCAGGGATCGTGTAGATCGGAAAATGCCCCGGCTGTGCTATGTGCTGACAGCTGTGTAAGTTTAATATGGAAGAGGATGAAAACCAAAAGACTGGAGCTAAGACTTCGATAGGCACAATTCGCTACTAGCGAACAGATTATTGCGTCCGATCCTATGACCTGTAATTCGACACGGTCCGACAAGACTGATCAAATTCGCTCCGACTTTACAATTTGTGCGCTGCCTGCCGATTCTCTTAGTGGGAGATGCATACCAGCTATTGAAAACGAAAGCAGTAATTGTGGTTATAAGTACGTCTCGAAAAACCAGCATATGAATAACCAAGCTCTTACTAATATTATGTAGTAATAATCTTCCCGGGCTATGCTCTTATTGTGGCACAAGTTCTCCTAATGCGACAGATACTTGCTGCTATAATGTCGACCTTAGCGAATGTGCCGGGGTCCGACTACCTCCGACAACTTCGCTGCCTCCTCTGTTCACTACGACTGTAACTGCTACCCCAACGGGTGGCGCTGGATCTGGCAGCGACAACAAGCTATCGGGCGGTGCTATTGCCGGGATTGCGGTCGGTGCCATTGCAGCTATCGCCTTAATTGCATTACTCGCCCTCTGTCTGGTCCGAAAAAAGAGATCGAAGGTTACCAAGGACGAAGGCTCAATTTTCAACCAACAATCACCCCGCCGACGAACATTAGAGCAAGGTCAGATGGTGTATCCACAGGGCAGTCGAAATGAGGGGTATGAGGCTCTTCCCAGCAACAGAATTGCTAGGATGTCTGCGCTGGAGAATAATAATACCTCGAGCGAGGTCGGTGCTACACCTTCGACCCGGGGAGCACGTAGTGGGCGTGGACGGTTTAGTTCTTCGTCGCCCGCTCCATACGGAGAGAAGGCGTTGATGCCACCACCCAGAGGCTCTAGGACTGTTTCGGTATCCAGTGGCTCGATGCTTGATACTATGAACTCGCCAATGTCGGATGCTCGGGGTGGTATCTCATCACCGATGTATAACGGTAGTTCCCAGTCGGAGCAGTTGCCAGCGTTTAAGGTAAAAATCCATCCAAATCCTTTGGGGATTTAATATTTGTGTGATGTTCTAACAGCTTGCGTCTAGGATTATTATTCGGCTGACAACATCAAACCGGGTGACGATGTGGCGACTCTTTGGGCGTATGCTCCCCGTGCCAAGGACGAGTTTGAGCTAGAGAGGGGTGATATGCTTCGGGTCCTGGGCATCTGGGACGACGGTTGGGCTACTGGTGTCCGCATTAACGGTCGAGCAGAAGATTACGTGCAGAGGAGACCGCAGCGGGACAGTGGCCTTTCTGCTCAAACAGATCCGGAACTAAACGACCCCACAATAGGCGCAGACGTTAAAGCTTTCCCAGTAGGTTTTTACCTCCTTATAGCAGCTTATAAAGTCTTTACTAACATATGCAATAGCTTGTTTGTGTATGCTTGCCACAACATTGGCAATTGACAATCGAGCGAGAAAGCGAAGAAGAGTTCGGCGGGCCTGGAGTAGAACACCGCAGCTCGGACGAAGTGAATGAGAAGGCCAGCTCCTCTGCATCGAGAAGGAATCTTGGTTCTGATCCTGCTTCTGATCCTAAACGGTAATTCTCAACTAACAAAAAAAAAAAAAAAAAAAGTAACCCGGTTTAGTTTGCTATTAACTCCCCATTCCACCATACATTGCTTGCAAGAAAGCCGACCAGAAAATAAAAGAAGATTCTGATAGATTGCGGCTGCGCACGCGGCAGTTAATAAACAACTAATCGATAATGTATATACGCACGCTTGTTGACAAAAAAGAACCAAAGAAAAAGCTTTTGTCCACGCGAGATTGGCTGTCGTTTTTGCTTGCTGATATCCCTTTGCTATTCCCCCTACCCTTGAGCCCTCCCCTCTTCCCTTCCCTTTTCTTTCCTATTCTCGTTCCTCTCTTCGATAGAAAGAGCTAGCGGTTTCTTTTTTTCTCACGGAAATTTTTTGGTTTAACGGATTCATGATGACTATTAACTATTGGAATTATAGCTGTCTCCTTTTCTTCCTCATTTTTCTTTCCCCTATTCCTTGGTCGGTTGATGTCGTATTTTACTGTTTGTTTTTTGTTTTGAGCCTTTGGAAAGCACCATTATACCAACTTATACCTCTCCTTCGCGGTTTTTTTTCTTTTCTTTCCACTTTTTCTAACTTCTAATGCCTTGGGAGAGATTGTGGTATCTCTCGACGACTATTCGGCATTCTATGTATTAGTAGCTATAGGTTTCCTTCTTTTATACTTTTTTCTCTTTTTGGTTTTTTATTTTCAGATCGGATTTATACTTGGGGGAGGTGGAAGTCGTTCAGCTTATCCTCCTACATCCATCCTATCTTGTATTTATGGATGACAATGACTTAGCCACCGTGCAAGTTTGCACCCAAATATCAAATATTTGCCAATACAAAGTTGACCTATAATATCGGGTTGGTTAAGGATCCTGATTTTCTATATGCTATAATCTCTTGTTGCACTTTGACCCAGTTAGAACTGGATCATGTTAACAAACCACCAATGATGCATACGCAATGTCATCCCTTCTAGCCACCCCCGCGGAAATCTGCGATCAGATCCTAGGCTATCTTTATAAACAAGATATTGGAAATTTCTCGCTATGCTCGAAAGCATGTCGAAAAGTCGCCCTTCCTTCGTTGTTTGCTGGGTTGGATCTTACGCCTGAATCTGCGGCTGCGTTTGGAGATGGGGCGGCGTTCAGTTCGCTTCGATCAGATGTCCGGTATGTTGCATTGGTTTTACTCCTGAATCACAGTTAATCACATTAATTTGAGTCATACAATACAATTTAATATAATTAATACTAACGTCCCCATTTCAACTTTAATTTAATATATATAATAGCAAATTATACCTACAAGGGAGGGTATATTCAGGCTTCGGTCAAGAAGGCAATAAAGACACCGTAGCATACGTCGAAACATTCCGTTTCTGCGTCGAGTCCATCCGGTTATTCCCTTCCGTAAGGAATATCTACATCGAGTATGGTTCGTACCTCTGGGAGAACCTATGCGTCGCTCTTTGGAGAGAAGTCTCGATGTTACCAAACCTCAAGGAAGCCAGTCGCAAAGTAATCCACATAGGATTTTATCAAGGTCAATATTGGAAGAGTTATGGGGATGCGTACCCACATTTATCTCCGATTACCCAAAGCTTCGTCGGGTCGGAAGAAGTAAATCATGACGAGGATATGGAAACGTCCAAGGATGCCCAAATGCCGGGCGGGTTGGAAGTTATCCGTCTATACTCAAGGAATACATCGCTCGACCGAGATGAAGAACCATATTTCCAAGGTTTTCCGATTAAACACTCCATCGAGAGTTTACGAGAACTACACATCACCGCCCTAACAGTCAATATAGAAGCCGGGCCCGGAACTCTAATACTCCCGAACGTCGTCAAGTTCAGCATCGACGGCCACGAAAGTAATTACGTACACCAATGGGTCTTCCAATGGGTTTCACGCCACTGTCCTAACGTCCAATCCCTCAGTATGATCAAAGATATCGATTCCCGTCCGTTTTACGTTCCTGTGTATTTCTCACCGCAGGATCAATCTCCATACTTCCCCATGCCGAAGTTGGTAACTCTTACTTTACAGTGGTTTTTGGAAGATCCTATTCCTGGTGCGGGGCCTACACAGCCTCCCAAGAAGTATAAAAGAAGACGGTTGGAGGCTCTCGTTAGGGAGTTTATGGATCAGGGGATGGCGGGGTTGAAGGAGGTGAAGTTTTTTAGAAGACCGGCTTTTGGTAGTCCTGATCATATTATCGAGGGAGGGTGTAGGATTAGTAAAGATGAAGGGGGTGGAGGGAAGATAAGAGTGTGGTGGAAGAAACCGTTTTATATAATGCTTGGGCAGAAGAGGTTTGAGGAGGAGGAGGAGCTGGGGGAGAGTGTAGAGGGAGTGGATAGTGATGCTGACGATGATTTGGATGAGAATCTCCCGTGAAGGTATGATGTATTGAAGCTGCTAGAAGTAGACTATTATGTAGAATTGAATTGAAGGCTCAACGCCAAAGTCGGTGTCACGACATCTGACGCATCCCCAGAATCTCACACTGAAAAATCAACTTACTTAATACTCCAACAAATATCTTTATTTAAATTTTATTAGAATCGCTGAACTCGGACAATTCCAAATATGCTATTTTTGTGTGATCCGGATGATCCGTTCTTCTTGAATGTGGAGAAAGCCATTTTGGATCCCTACCAGATCAATTCGTCTAAATCTCTGCTTTTGAGCTTCAAAACGGTCACGTGCACCGGATTCCTGTCAGGCTCAACACAGAAGTTGTTACCTAGTTGGGGGGGTTCATGTAGGAGACAGAGGTCCATGCATGCTTTATAGCTATGGCAACGTCTGCCCCTCCGTTTCATTATGTCTGTGTTGTTTTTGTTGTAGTCGATCGATGATTTGCCTAATTTAGCCTTGGATCAACGGTTCAGTATCTGATCGATGATCATTAAGCTTAGTCTAGCCATATGTGTGAGATATTCTTGTTCTCCTGCTACAATGCAGTTACCGGTCTTACATGAAGGCCAATTATGTGTTCTAGATTATGTCTTTGATTTGACTACCACCTCGATATCAATGGTAATACGTAATTGATAGTGAAAATAATTCTCTAGCACATGAATATGCGGGTTTGAGAGGGGATTGGACTACTCTTGCTTCATGACGTATCGGACGGTATACATTATATACATATATATATATATATATGGGCTCAACATGATCATATAGATGGCTGTATAGCTATGGCATTCTTAGCAGTGTAGATGTTATAAAATATGCCTTAGAGGGAGAGTGTATTACTCTGAAATGCATATGACATTTTCGATCTAGTCCTAGCTAGGGAACTATACAATCATAGATATTTTATGGGTCTGGTTCGAGACTGGAGACGACTGCACCGTATACGATGCAACGCACGGTTGCTGTTGCATTGTTGCATGGAATCAGCTTGCCAAGAATAAAATGAGTCTGAAGATGATTCTGTAGAGCGCAGGTCGATGGATCGAATATCCTGCAACCTCTCGGAATTTACAGAATTAAAAATGTTAAAAATACTGATATGTATCCACATTGATAGTATTCTCGGTATTGGCGTCTAGAAGTTCAATACATAATCTTCGGGTAGAATAGAATTCTGCTGTGTATGGTACTAGTAGTACTTTATCTGCTATACTTTATATAAGTATATACTACATATACCTAGTACTTAGCTCAGTAAATAGTAAATAAGAACCACCTGTTATACTCCGTACATAGTATGTAAACCGATCCAGGGGAAATACATATCGGATGCTGCAGGGCTCATCGCAGCGGTCTGGCGGACCAATGCTTCCGCCCATGTGTAGCCTTCGATTCTGGTTAGCTGTCTCCGGTTCGGCAAAAACACCAGCAAAACTGACCAACCGTTTTCGCCGCGAAATTAATGACCCGAGACAGACTGTGAAATACACCACCGCCGCTAAACCTGCGCGAAGGCAAAATATCCATCCTTCCCTCCCCTCCCTCTCCTGTTTTATATATAGCTGGTCCTATAACCCCAGGAATATTAATTATCTCTTTTCCTTCTTCAATTGTTTATTATTTTTTTTACGGTCGATATACAGACTTATTGTGAGTCAATTGCAGCTAATAGCTACCTCTATTATAGCTTCACCCCGCTAACATTAACTCCCCTCCATCCATCGCAGAACTCCCCGCCAACCAATCCATTCTCAAAAAAAAGACCACCATCGCAATGGTTTCCGCACAATCATACCTCAGCACCAGAGGCGGCTCCTCCGGCGTAAGCTTCCCCTAAAAACCACCCATTCAATTCTTCATCATCAATCACTAACAACCAAAAAAAACGGATAAAATTAGTTCTCCTTCGAAGACACAGTCCTCAAAGGCCTCGCCAGCGACGGCGGTCTTTTCATCCCAGAAGCCATCCCAACTCTCCCCTCAGACTGGCAAACAACCTGGTCCACCAAATCCTTCCAAGAAATCGCCTTCTCCCTCTTCTCCCTCTACATTTCCCCCACCGAAATCCCCTCGGAAGATCTTAAAAACCTCATCGAAAAATCATATGCCACCTTCCGAGCACCCGAGATCACACCGCTAACCACACTGCGTAAATCGGAAAACCTACATTTGTTGGAGTTATTCCACGGACCTACTTTTGCATTCAAAGATGTTGCGCTGCAGTTCGTTGGAAATCTTTTTGAATACTTTTTGTCGAGGAGGAATGGAGGGAAAAGTGAGGAGGAGAAGGAGACGTTGACGGTTATTGGAGCTACTAGTGGAGATACTGGTAGTGCTGCTATCTATGGATTGAGAGGCAAGGAGAATATTTCGGTGTTTATCTTACATCCTAAGGGAAAGATTTCGCCGATACAGGAGGCTCAGATGACTAGTGTTCTGGATAAGAACGTTCATAATCTAGCCGTCGTGGGGACATTTGATAATTGTCAGGTAAAGCAATACATACCCCCCTCCCCCCTTTATAACGCTCCACTACGATCTATAGCCCCCCAATTCTAACAAGAAATCTACAGGACATCGTCAAAGAACTCTTCGCCGACACAGCCTTCAACGCCCGCCACAAACTCGGCGCCGTAAACTCCATAAACTGGGCCCGCATCCTCGCCCAAATAGTCTACTATTTCCACTCCTACTTCGCCCTCCAAAAGGCCTACCCGGGTCAAAACCTCACCCCACGTTTCGTCGTCCCCACCGGAAACTTCGGAGACGTCCTCGCCGGTTACTTCGCAAAAAGAATGGGCCTCCCCATCGAAAAATTGGTAGTGGCTACGAATGAAAACGATATTTTGAATCGATTTTGGAAATCCGGGACTTATGAGATTCATGCGGTTTCTGGGAAGGATGCTGAGGGTGGGATTCCGGCTGATGGGGTCAAGGCTCATGAGTTTGGGGTTAAGGAGACTTTGAGCCCTGCTATGGATATTTTGGTGTCGAGTAACTTTGAAAGGTTATTGTGGTATTTGGCTTTCGAGAGGGAGACTACTGCGGACCAAGAGTTGAGTGAAAGACAGAAGAAAGCGAGCGAGAAGGTGAAGGAAATGATGGTAGCATTGAAGACCCAAAGAGGCTTTAGTGTCACACCCGCTATGTTGGAAGAAGCCAAATCCGACTTTGGAAGTGAAAGAGTTAGCGATTCTCAGGTAGGCAAATCTACATTTATTTTCACTTTATCGCATCCGAAAAGAGAAAGGAAAAAAAAAAAATAAGAAGAAAAAAGCTAATCCAAAAAATCATAATCCAGACCGTCGAAACAATCCGAGAAATCTACACAGCCTCAGACTCAAAATACGTCCTCGACCCCCACTCTTCAGTCGGAGTCACAGCAGCACTCCGACATATCGCATCAAACGGATCACAAATCCACCAAGTCTGCCTCTCCACCGCCCATCCAGCAAAATTCAGCCATGCCGTCGATCTGGCGTTAAACGGACTCGATGGATATAACTTCGACGACGTGCTTCCGGATCAATTCAAGGGGTTGGCCGTAGCCGAGAAGAGAGTGGAGGATGTTGCAAAGGCGGACAAGGAGCTGGTGAAGGAGGTTGTTGAGAGATTGTTGGAAGGGGAGAAGGCTTAATTGGTTGATCTTCAATTAGAGTAGCATACTTGGTATTCATGCGTATGAATTCATTGCATGTCGGATTGAATTGATTTAGAAGATCAAGATCTAAGTGTCGAAGTTGTATATAGACTCATATAGAATCATATTTTTCACACGATATCGATATCCTTGAAATTATATAAGTTCTCTAATGCGATAGATTCAATCAATTGGGTATTAATGTAATGGTAAGGGTAATAAACAAAAGAAAGAAGAAGAAATGGTTAGCAGCATTATTACATGCCCAAATCCGGAAGAGAAAGAAAAGGAAAAAAGCGTTACAAGTTATGTCGTCTACCTTACCGCCGTCATCGTCGTCGTCGTCGTCGGTACCATCTCGTCGTATGTACATACCGCCCTTCCCTCCCCAAAATTAAACATATCGACCTTCTTCCCATATCCGCTAAACTAAAGGAAAAAAAAGTAGAAGACGTAGAAAATTCCATCTCCTCTAAGAAAGGAATATAAAGGGCATCGGTATGTACCGCTATTCGTCCGCGTATGTATGAAAACGCCTGCCAGCAAGCCCATAACAAAATAGACCGTTACCTATGTAATACTTAAGGGTAACCCTTGTGTCGTCGCCAGCCTCCTCAGCTTGTGGTAAACTCCCTCCCCCCTGGTATTTATTTGTTTTATTTATCGGCGCCCGGTTGACCGGCACCAAGCCCCACCAATTCAAATAGAATGGGAGTACCCTCGACAGCCCACCATGCAATTCCTATATCAAAACCCCATTCCTCGTCAGTTGTGCCATAAAACAAAAGGGGGGAGGGGCCTAGGTAACGGATACATACCGCTATAAACCAGCAACTTCGTCACGACCTCTACATCGTACCTAACCCTAGGTTTTTCAATCTGACTCAACATATCCCTCTCCTGCTTCTCATAAGTTTCTTCAGAAGCCTTCTCTTCCTCTTCCTTCAACCTCTGTTGCTGTTGTTGTTGTACGTAACCCCCCAATGAGTTATTAACATTATTATTCCCATTCTCCTGTCCTAGTGGCGACCTAACCGGTGATCTAGACCCAGGGCTCATCCCTTCCTGTCCCAAACTCTCTCTTCTCTTCCTTTCTCTAAAAGCCAATGTTTCATAGGCATCCGCCGCACTCTGAGGCCCGACACTATCCGACCTCCCGCGCCTAATCATCCTCGGCAGCTGTCCGATCGGCGGAATCGTCTCATCCGGCAAATGCGACGGAACGCTTTTATATTCCCTCGCATCGATAAAATGTCTTCTGGGCAGAACCAATCCAATTCTTCCAATAAACCGGAACAAAGGTGGTAAATACCTTAACAAAACTGACTTCGCCACTTCCCTCCATATGAAGATTATTGCCACCCCCATCACGAATCTCAAAGCTGTTGATACCAACCCGACGGATTGAAATGAATACGGCACTGTAGCGGGCACGGGCGTATTCCACCCAAATGAAGTCTTCGAATAATGCCATTGTCCAACTTCAATCCCAACAACCACACCAGCAAACGCAACTCCATCATCAAAACAAGGACACGGATCCGCCGGTTCCGGATGAATCCTCACAAACATAAGAATAGCCAACGTCACCGTCACCGGCGCAACCCAAGTTCCATACCACACCCATTGGTTCGTAAGAGGTCCGTATACCCACTCTGCAAGCGCAAGTATAACACCGAGGATCGAACCGACGACCACATCGAGGAATCCATGCATACCACAGTAAACTCGGCCGAATACGATGGATGTGGCGTAAAGAGCGGCAAGGACTATGTAGATTATACGTTGGTTGTCGGGGATTGATGGGTTATCGCGAAGGACGAGGAGGGAGTAGAGAGCGACGGAGACGGCGTTGGTGCTGTGGGTTGATGGGAAACCGTATTCGAGGGCCGCTGAGCCGGACTATTATAATCCCCCCCAACCATCAATTAGCCACCTGTATCCACCTTTATTCGGGATAGATTTCGTCGAAAGTAGATTCCGTACCATGGTAATCCGATGTAACGGCGGGGACAGCGGCCGAGGTAGACTGGATAATTTCCCAACTCTGTTAGCCATCAAAAACGAAGGATAATAGGTAGGCAAATAACAATACCAGAAGAAATCCTTCATAAACCCGCTAAAGAACACCCCGGAAGCCAGAACATGAACCAATCTATCCACCGTCACCACCATAAAATCAGTCATTTTTGAACCCCACCCTCCCTAGGCGCACGCCCCGCTCCTCTGAAAGAACTAGATGACGATGACGATGATGATTATGGACCACACACCCTCTCCCAAACTCAGTATACCCAAGCCAAAAGCAAATCGGTAGAAATATCATGAAAAATGTATGTGTCCCCAGATTGGCCGTAATCGCAAAGTAGGTATCGAGAGGATCGGATCGTAACGATTCCTAATAGCCACACACAAAAAAGCCATTTACGTCAACATTAAGATAATCCCTTCCATCTTCTATAGAATATATAGAATAATATCGAATCTTGTTTGTGGATAACGAATGGAAGGTGAAAGTTACCTGGATAGCAGCCAGATAAGGGGTCTCCCATCTTATCAACGGAAGCAGCTTCTGTCGCAGCGAGTATCTCCATTTTGGAAGTCGTATTTTATCTATATATTTTTGCGTTGGATGTATGAAAATAGTTTATTAGTTAGCGGATTTATTCTTTTTTTTATTATTATTCTTCTTTTCCCTGTGGTGATGACAGAACAACGTGATGTAATTGGAGAACATAATTTATTGGATGAACAGGAAGAACAAGGAGGGGGAATTACAATGATCATGAGGCCTAAGACCAGCATCCGGGTCTCCGGCAGATAAAGGCGGGGCCATAATGCGACTTCTTCAATGACGCTTTTAACTATCGTAGACTGAGGGGGGAGCGGGGAGGATGAGAATCAGAAAGGGAAAAGGTTGGAAGATGAGAGAGAGAGAGAGCGTGTGTGTTTGATGTTTGATGTTTGATGTTTGAAGGTTTGCGCAAAAAAGAATAGGTAAGCAATTAATCGATCATTAGTTTAGTTAATAATATGGAAGTGCAAGAAAGGCGAGTTTTGTGGGAGGTCTTGGCTTCTGATTGAGCTGGATTTAAAATGGAGTTAAAACTTGCAGAAAAAAAAGCCTCGGGTCATTTTGGCATCTGCATTTTCGCTTCGAATCGAATCGTGTTCGATGGACTAGTAGCGGGCTTTCTTAGCTTGAGCTTGGTCTGATTGAGAGCTCCACTGCATGCTATGATACCAGCTACCCTTTTTGGTAACTCTAATGGTCACTAGATTTTCCCGAAGGGCTTGGAGGGTTATACTGTGGCGCTATCTTTGTCGGATATCTTATGCATGTATCATGTGGTTATTTATCGTCAGAGCGGAGCTGAGGGTATCGAATCTAGCTTATATTGAATGTATCTCTCCATCTATCTAGAAACAAGAAGGAAACGAAGAAAAGAAAGTGAAAGTGAAAGTGAAAATGCACGATACCTCCTTCCCATTCTAATACTTGATCACAAGAACTCAATAGTTCCAGGCGGCTTCTGAGAGACTAAAACCCCATCGCATAAAGAATTAGCATCGATATCCCCACTCGGTAAAAATCAGGAAAGCCCAAGCTTGCCCCGCAATACTCAACTAGATGAAACGAAGGAAGCAAAGAAAAGAAAAAAAAACTTACCATCATAAAGAACCCTGCAAACTCCATCCACCTCGTTCACAATCCGGTTGCTGACGTGCTTCAAGAACTTGCTATCAAAATCATACCAATCCGCTGTCATGAAATCGGTAGTCGTAACCGCTCTTAGAGCGATAATCTGGTCATATTTTCTTTGATCGCCCATAACACCAACGGCACGGATAGGTAGAAGGGCGGCGAATGCCTGTGAGATTTCTCTGTAGATACCCGCCTTCTTGATTTCTTCAATGAAGATATGGTCTGCTCGTCGAGCAATGTCGACTTGTTCCCTGGTGACCTCTCCGAGGATACGGATGGCAATTCCCGGGCCCGGGAAGGGGTGGCGCCAGACAAGATCGTCTGGAATACCCATCAAGGTACCGAGTTTTCGAACTTCATCCTTGAATAACTCACGGAGAGGCTCAATGAGCTTCAACTTCATGTTATCTAGTAGACCACCGACGTTCTATTCAAAAAAAAGGCACTGAGTTAGCTCCAAACAATTCCCATACCTCATGTTCGGGACGTGTGAAATACGTACGTGGTGTGTCTTGATAGTCTGACTTGGTCCCTTGAAGCTGATACTTTCGATAACATCGGGGTACAGAGTACCCTGCAAGAGGTAATCAATATCCTTTCCATGTCCAGCAGTCAACTTCTCAGCTTCCCGCTGGAAAACATGAATGAAAGTATTTCCGATAATCTTCCTCTTCTTCTCTGGATCCTCCACGCCAGCCAACTTCTCCAAAAACTCATCACTAGCATCAACAACAGTCAAGTTGATTCCAAGATGCTTATTCAAAGTTTCCAAGACTTGTTCACACTCATTAAGTCTCATAACACCGTTATCCACAAGGATGGCATGGAATCGGTTTCCAATAGCTTCATGCATGAGCTTCGCAGCAACGGTGGAGTCGACACCACCGGAGACAGCGCCAATGACGTGACTATCCGGACCAACGATCGTTTGGATTCTCTTAATTTCCTTCGAGATGAATTCCTCCATAGTCCAGTTTTGCTGGCATTTCGCAATCTTAACGGCGAAGTTCTCGAGGATCTTGCTACCGAATGGGGTATGTGTGACTTCTGGGTGGAATTGGATTCCGTAAATTGGGATTTCTTCGTGCGCAAGACCGGCCCATGGTGCATTTGGGCTGCTGGCAATGGTTATAAAGCCAGGTGGAGCAGCGGAGAGCTTGTCGCCGTGGGACATCCAGACCTATAATTTCGTACTTATTAGCAAAGAAATCCTTCCAAGATGGAAACTCTGATACAAATCTCACATTTGTATCATCTTCAACACCATCGAACAAGGCATCAACATGAGGAGCCTTATCATTGTGTCTCTCAATACGAAGTGTCGAGTTTCCGTACTCTCTCTTCTCTCCGGCAGCAACATTTTTACCCCTCTGCCAGGCAATTTCTTGCAAACCGTAACAGATACCGAGGATTGGAACCTATTTAAACAACCATTAATACCCAGAATCTTTCAATTCAAAAAAAAACCTGGTATCTTTCAGGGACATACACCAAGATCGAACACAGCAGGATCGGCATGAGGGGCTCCCTCAGCGTAGACGGAGTATGGGCCACCAGAGAAGATGATAGCCTTAGGTTTCCAAGTTAATTCTGCAATCTTCTGCGTGCATGGCAGCATTTCAGCGTAGACATTGATTTCTCGGAGTCGTCTTGTGATTAAATGGCTGTATTGGGAGCTATTTCAAACAAAAACGAATCGTTTTAGCTTCCGAAGTCGCAATTCAAGCTTATTTAAGTAGTAGAAAGAGGAGGGAATAGCTACCCAAAGTCAAGAATCTACATTGTAGAAATAAACCGGTATCATTTGTTAACCAATATTATTCAATGGGATGAGGTGGACGCAGAGTTTTTTCGAGAATTCGGACCGAAGGGTACATACAAGTACGGTATCGAAAAGCTCCGAAACCTAGATATAATGATATGTCCGATTTAGCTTATAGACCCAGTTTAATAGATATGTAGGAGTATTAAAAAGAACTTACAGCTTCGGGACCAGACCCGACTGAGGTCTTTTCAGTTGCCATCTTGATTTCTTTCTATTTTGTGAATAGCTTCGATGTCTACTTCTTTTCAATGAAAGCAACAAAGGTAAAAAATAGATAAAAATTAGATTCGTCTGAACAAATATCTTCCCAATGAGATTATGTAGAAATATACCTAAGAGAATACTAACAATAACTTGCGACCCTCAAAAGATCGTAAAGTCAAGCTGGATGGAGGGGTAGCGGGGTGGTGGAACCCAAGAGAGAAGAGAAGAGGGAAAAAAAAATTTGGGTTAAAGTTTCAGAGCAGTACAGGTGCCCCCAGCCAGCCAGCCCAGAACCGGAACCAGAGCTCGGACCAACCAATCAGACTAAAATCATCCTCGCATTTAGACTAGTGTGAGCGCCGCAACTTCACCTCACCACCAACCACGAACCATCACAACCATCACAACCACCAACAAGTCCAGCATCATCATCACACGATCCAATCAAGCTCGACTGATCGTTCCTTGGAATCATCACGATCAATTGATATCTGTTGTTATAACTACTAGATATCTTTAAAGAGGACTATCGGTTCTCGTTTATACCAACCACTGCACACCACCCACCGCATACAAATACATCGACAAAATGCGTCTTTCAGCAGAACTACTGGCGGACTCACCGTCGTACCTCAATCCTTTAAAAGAGAGAGAACTAGACCTCAGAGGTAACCCATCTCCATCTCCATCTTCTATCAGACCCTCTAGCTTCATATCTAACATTAAATCCTCTTTCAGGCCATAAAATCCCCATCATCGAAAACCTCGGTGTCGCAAAGGTACCACCAAATCCGTCCCACCCACTCACCCACCTAGAACCGCGTCCTTCCATATTCCCCCAAATACCTTATCTCTCCCAAACAAATAAAACCAAAAACTCAAAGATAAAAATAAAAATAAAAATAAAAATTCACAACCAGCTAAAACCACGAATTCCCTTCTCCAATTCGCTGATTTACTAGGATCAAGACGCCATAGACTTCACCGACAATGACATCCAACAACTCGGAAACTTCCCTCTCTCTCCGCGTCTCAAAACCCTCCTACTCGCTAGAAACCGTATCTCCAGCATCCAATCCACCCTCGCTTCTTCCGTTCCAAACCTTTACTGCATAGCTTTGCAGAATAATAGCCTCTCGGAGTTGGTCGATTTGGTCCCCTTGGGCAAATTGAAACTGTTGGTTCATCTGGTCTTGTTGGACAATCCTGTTGTTAGGAAGGATAACTATAGACTTTGGGTCGTGTGGACGTGTCCCACCGTCAGATACTTGGATTATGAGAGGGTGAAAGACGCCGAGAGGAAAGAAGCAGAGAAACTGTTCGGAACAGAGGAAGAACCATCACCAACCGCTGCAAAGGTACATTATAAACTATATATACACCTCCCCGCACCAACTAAAGACAGAGAGAGGTTATAGAAAGCTAACAAAATTAAAATCACAGATCCTCGGCGTAAAATCACGTCACTTCGACGTCTCATCCGGCGACTCCCGTGGTGAAAAGAACTTCAAAACAACATACACACAAAGCGAAAAGCTTCACATACAAGATATGATCAGGAACGCGAAATCACTCGAAGAAGTTGCGCGATTAGAGAAGCAGTTACGCGACGGAACTCTCGTCTTGGCATCTGCTGATGATGTAGAAATGAAAGGTTGATTCGAAAGGATTATTCACCCGTGGAACGGTTACATATTATAATCTTATACGATTCCTACTATTTATCTATGCTTCCCATATTTTATTCCTAGTGGAGGGCACTTCCTTAAACGCCAGCGGGTATCATATGTACAATATGCATGAGCATCATATATCTTCAAAAGCTACTGGTGAACAAGCACAACTCCAGATCGGTCAGTAGAAATGACCATTCCGTATGGTAACTCCAAAATTGCAACCTAGAATGAGAAACCACAGGTTAGAAATCAGTAAAACCATGAAGATTTGAAGTGGGAAAAAAACTCACATCCAAAATCGAATCCAAATGCGACCTCAACATTAACTGCTGCTGCAAAGAAATAACCGTCGATCTAGATGGCCGACTTGGCCCTTTATGCTTCTTCATGTCCTTCGGATCTTTTACAACCGGCGGCTTCTCCGTTGTAATGGCCAAATTCGGCACCGGTTGTGTAAACACGTAACTCGGCTTTCCTTCCTCAGCATCCAACCCACTAAAGACCGCAGAAGCCTCAACCTTGCCCAAGTCCCAAAACCTTAACTTCCTATCCGCACCAGAAGTGACCAAGAACCCTGCACCACTCTTAGTCTCGTCGTGATGTGCATCAAGTCCCACCGCAATACCTCTAACCCCACGGTCAACACTAATAACCCCGCTAGGTTCCAATATCTGACTCGCAAATCGCGATAGTACAGCCTCAGGTGTCTCCTCATCCACTCTCCAGGGCTCATAAGTCTTTTCGGATTCAAGCTCGCCATTGGCACGATAGACTTCCCGACATTGACACTTATCCACATCCCACACTGTAATCTCACCTTGTCCGCTGCCACCTGCTACGCATATCCATTTGCCTCGCCCCTTTGAGGGATGAACTAGCAATCTGTGGATCGGTGTGGCACCAGGAAGACCCCATGAACGTAGTCTCAATCGGAATCTAAGATCGTAGAGATCGAGGATACCATGTGAGGTACCCACTAGCATCCATGTGTGCTTGCGATCAATATGGAAGCAAGTTGGAGTACCGTGGTGTACTGGATTAGGCAGACTATATTCCTCGCTCATCGTACGAAGATTCAGCGCCACGACCCGGGCCTTATTCGTCGCAATCATTAAAATGGAAGTCGTATCTATAATAAAATTAGTAAAAGGCGCCACTAAAGTGAACTTGGAACCAACTACTCACCAGCCCTGAAATGCTCAATCCAAGTTGCAACCTCCCCGCTTTCAAAAATATACTCCCTCAATAACGTAAACTTCGGCGCCTTCCTGCTTCCACCGTATTCAATCCTAACGATATTCAAACTACCATTCGACGCCGCACTAATGAAAGTATACGTATTCTCCACAAAGCAAAGGCATTGAACCTTCGCCCCATTGCTATGCGTATACGTGCCTCGAGCCTTTGTTGCTACATTCTTCTCCAACCGTTTCGCATCCCATACTTTAACCGTCCCGTCATCGGAAGCGGTCAGGAAGAAGGTATGATCCGGCGCGACCACAATCCGGTTTACGGCTCCAGTATGCTCGTTTAATTGAGCGACCAAACCACCATCCGGTTTCCATATTCCCGCCGTAGATCTCCCAGTATTCCGTTTAATCGGTTGTCTTCTGGTCGCCGGCACAATCATGGGCCCAAACTCTGCAATGTCCGAAGGATAATTATCCTGGAACATATTGTCTAGCAGCCCAAGAACATCCGGATCACCGCCAGAGTAAGAATGTGTCGGTCCGGAAGTATCGAGACCAAGAGGTGCCGGGAATTGTAGTTGTCGCTCACTGTACGGTGAATGAATAGGTTGAAAACTTCCAACTGCGTTCTGGGCTTCAACTCCAATCGATGCAGCCGCCTTTGCCGTTTTGAACGGTGGTAAAATCCCGTCCTTAGAAACCGCACGGTGCGATGAGCCTGCAGATTGGATCGATAGCCGCTCGTCGAGACTCGATGGGGCTTTTTGTAAACTTCTAGAAGTCGGTACTCTCTCAAGTGCATTATCAACCCCTAGCCTGGCAGGATGCCTATCGATCTGCGGCGTCCTCGGTGTAACAGCTCCGGACGACATTTGTGACAAAATCCCATTCCTCCTTACATCCCCAACAAGCTGCTGCCTCAACCCATGCCTATCATCATTCAGCTCCTCAAAGAAGATCGTCTGAGGTGTAATATTCAACGACGACAATGGCACCACATTATTCAGCATTGATGTCGTAATCTCCGTGCCAGGCTTCGCTCTTCTCTGTGCTGTCCGATAAACGTAATCCCGCAACAAGAGCAATAGTTTCTCCTCCTCCTCCACCATCCCAAAGTTGCGTAGCTTCTGCAGCCATCCCTTGTCTTCCTCACTTCTGGCTCCGGATTGTACCTCCGCCAACACCATCTGCCACTCCTGAGGGTTAGACAGAAGTGCAGAATCCCTGAACGCACCGGCTCTTGAGTTGGCGTTCTTCGCCCAAAAGCCGGTTTTATTCGTCCCACCGGCCCAATTCACAGCTGTGTCGTAGACCGCCCGCTGAATTGGCCGTTTGAGGCTATTCACTAGCGCCACGTCCGACACATCGCTAACAGATCCCCTCAAGAACGGCACGAGCATCGGCTCAACAATCGTTAAAACCTCAGCCCTAGTCAGCCACTTCGAGCTCGTTGCCAAAAACGACACAGCAGCTTCGCGTATCCATGGGTTAGGATGGATCAAAAACCTTGATACTGTGGTCATGAGTTCCCAAGTCTTGTTCTTCTGGAATAAACCTAGCTTCGCCATACGCCGAAGTGACTTGATGACTTTTGCGATTACAAATTCTTCTGGATCCGTGAGAGCTTGCATCATAAGTGGTAGTATGAATTCTTCCAAATTCGCAGACCCGACGAATGTAGCCATGCCCACAATGGTTTCGAAGAAAGCGCATTTCAACCGCCAGTCCTTGTCATTTAGGTATGTATTCAAATGACTTAAAAGCACGTCGTTCGCTTTACTTCGTCCAAAGAAAACGCAAAGTCGCGAAACGCAAGGTAGAAACGCTCTTCGGACAGAGGAGTCGCCATCTGTAAGGAGTAATGTCGCTTGTTGTTCAAAGTATGATATTAGGTCGTTTTTTGACATATCGTATGACGAGGAGTGCATCCCATCTAATTTTACGCTAAATTCTGCTTGCGGGTCAGCGCTAGGCAAAGATCCGTCTGCACGTAATGCTTGTGCCATATCGAGGAATCGGGAAGCAGATTCCGCAAGCGATGCCATGCATGATCCCAATGTAGCCCGCGCAAGTGAACCGTGCAGTTTAATCCCCATGAAATCATTTCCAGTAATTCCAGCGAGATTTGGAAGAATATAGTCAGGAAATACAGACACGTTCACTGGCGATACTACCTTGACTTGTTCCATCTAGAAGCTCTCAGTTAGCACTAAAAGTGTTATAAACATTCACAAAAAACTCTTAAACATACCAATTGTGTGATTGCCTTCACAGCAGCAACTTGTACTGGCTCTGCTGCGTCTTTAAGTAAACTGATCAAGTAGGGCAAGCACCTATCAACCTTCGATTCGTCTGTCACCCTCTCCGCAAAAGCTAGTATTAAATCGCAAGCTCTCAACCTCGCCCTAGCTCTAGCCGCGTTCCTCAAGGAAGAAGTGATAAGGGTCAAGAACATTAATGTTCCATCATCAGACTCGATATTTGATCTCTGGCCATAAGCTTGATAATTTGGAATATCCAACGTCACTGGAAACATCTCTCCATGGAGTTCTGAACTTGGTACTGGGTTTTCGGCAATGTGACCTAGAAAGAAGGATATTTTGTCGAAATCCTGATATATCCTATCTATTCTCTTATCGCATTCCCCGAGATTGACGTGATCAGACGACATCGGGCTCCTTCCGGACGTTGGATCATTAACAGTATTCATATACTGGTGCAAGAAGCTATAGAAATAATCCGGAAAGGCCTTCTGTCGCCATTGCCTCAGATACCCATCAGCGCCCAACCGTTGTGCCGGATTGACATTGATCATATGTGTAACCAGTGAACGTATCTCCGGGTCCTCGATCTTGATCAGATGCGTAAGTGCCGGGTCATACTGCCCCCTCTTATATTTAAAAAGTGTCGACAGGTTGAACAACGTAGTCCCTTCTAAAAATAACTCTGCAATAACACAACCCAAGCTAAAGATATCCATCGCATCTGTGATCTTATCTTGTACGATTTTTGAAGGACTATAAAACCTCTCCGGTGCAACGTAACAAGTTCTCCTCCCCGAAGAATCGAAGAAGTAAGAAAAGTCCGCTGGATTATCTTCTGGTACATAGGTTGGCTTGAAATGCGCAAAGTCAGAGAGGTAGGCCCAGTTCGAAGTTGTAACTAGGATATTTTCGGCTTTAATATCGCCATGATGAAGGCCCTTTGCATGACAATCTCGTAGGCCGCAAAGAAGTTGGTAAGTTATCCATCGCTTTTCGATGTCCTCGAGAAACGGACGGGTGCTTATACGATCGTAGAGACTGCTATAAAGATGCTGACGGATAAGGTATGCTGCACGATCGGTTTCATAGACTCGGGAGTATGTCAAAGCGTTTGGAATATCGGCGACGATGTCTCGTTCCACTAAAAACAGTATGTTAGAGCAGAAGGAACTAGATAGCGGGGTGGTGCGGGGCATGTGTACTTTGGATCTCTCGCCGGTAATCATCGAGCGGTAAAGGTTCTAGGGGCTTTGCGAAAATTTTAACAACCAGTTGGCCTTCTTTATGCCGTACTCGTATCGATTTCATGAATCGTGATGTGCCCATAGACCTTTCGTAGGTGACATCGTGGAGCTCGCTGGTATCGACGCTGAATGCGCCGGCCGAAGGCGCAGATGTAGAATAGCCTTGACCCATATTTTATGATATCCGGATTTTAAATATTAAGAATATAAAGCGTCGGGTATATTCTATATGAGATATCGGGAGCCTTCGATATGTGGGGATAATAACTGGGAGAGCTTGGGAAGCTCCGTTGATGTAGTGTATTGTGTAAATGCAAGGTTAATAAAGCGAACCTAGTGGACGTCCAAAGGGAAATTAACATTCGATACGAGGCCGTTTCTCATTATAGCAAAAGCATGTCGTAGAAGTATCAGAAGTTTGAACAATTCGTATCATCAAGTAAGGGAGTAGAGAGATTTTGTGATGGCCTGGAGCTATCCATCACGAAGCCTAGAGCACATGACGCGTGTTGGGCTGCTACAGCGCCAAGCCTGTTGATGCCGCTTAGTCACCCAAATATCACGTGACTTGATAGAGCCCAAAAAGGAAGCCATTTCGCTCACCTCAACACAATTGGAAGTATGTACAAGTACTTAGGTAGCTCGGTTCATTCATTGTCTTGTGTCTCGACACTGAATCTACTGTCGACTCGGATATGAATTTAGATCACAATATATATCTATGTTCTCGTATCTATGAAATTTGACTTCCGTTGAGAGGCTTCTGGTAGCTTCTTCTCATTCATTCAAATTATGCTGCCAAAGTTTAGTCTGTTTCAGTGGTCAAGCTAGTTCCTGTTGGCAGCAAACTAGGTACTTAACTGAGAATTCCAACATTTTATATTTATGATACAATGCCAGGCTGGACTTCCATCAGAACAAAGTCCCGTCGCTTCGCATGAGGATCGGGCTGGACTTCGTAGTAGGTCTCTTTTGTGCAGCTATTTCTCTGCCAGACTTCCAAGTCCCCGCCTCGAGGACTTGGGCCATACTCAAGTGCACCTTGTACCTTTCCTCAATACTTGCCACAATCTTCTCATAAACAGCATCGAGGAGTCCAAGCGTCAGCGCGCGCCATTCCACAATAACATCGTCACTAGCGTCGAACAGAGGCAACTCCTGACCAGATGCCTTGAGCCCTTTTTCCAAAGCCTCCGGTTTCAATGTTATAGCTCCAAGGTCGACAAATAAACCACCATTTCGATATTCAGCAAGTGCGGTCAATGCATCTGAATTCGCCCACCGCTTTTTTAACAGCCTTTGGAACGGAACCATCAATGAATAGGTGAGCCATTGAGTCAATTTGTGGAAGGGCTGGATTCCGGCCGTTGTCGTCGTTGCCTTTTTTTGCAATGTGCTCAATGGCCATGCATCTCCGACGGGCACTCCATTAACTGTTGTTCTATCCTTAGGCCAGCTAGGAATTAAGACATCTTGAAGTGCGTCCCATAGGACGAGAACATCGAGGTCGTCCGATGCCCCAGCATGTTTCAACATATAATCTAGGAGAACATTAGCAAAGCTCTAAACCGTCTGTCGGGTTTGAAATAGAAATATTGAATGTTTCTTACCAACGACATTTCCTGGTCTACCTTCTTCTCCAAACACCTTGGGATGGTCGAGTAAAGACGTTCCAAGACTCTGTAAAAGAGCGGCGCGAGACTCTACCCCGAGCATCTCGTTGCTCCCCGATGATTGGAACCCTGCGGCTAGTGCGTCCGCACTAAGGTTGACGAGACCTTGGCCTAGTATTCCCCAAACAGGGTTAGAACTGTTGGATTTTACTCCGTCAACGAAGCAGATACGGAACAGCTATACGCTTACCATTTACTGCTGGAATTTTCCCTGTGGTAAAGGCAAATTCATTGAACATATATAAACTGGCTACAGCAATGCCTTCGCTACGCTCATATTTGTTCTCGGTGCCTGGTTCAACATAGCGCCAAACATCGCCTGCACCTGCGTCTAAAAGCACAGAAACGAAAAAGAGATCGATCAACCGACGAGTAACCTCAACCTCATCGCTTACACCCTGACTTTTCCAGCTTTCGATCAAGTTAGCGACTCGAGGAACTCCTCCAACTTCGAAGTGTTGCCAGCGGCCGTGAGGTGGGATAGTATCGAATTTATCAGGGCCAAAATCACGCTGTGAGTTTGATTCAGTATGTCAATATATATCCTACGTCAGGCTAATTGCAAAACGAAAAGGACTTCACTGAAAAATATAGGCAACTTTTTAGGAAGGCATATTTTGAATATCTACTAACCTCAATTACTGACAGCACAAATTTTGCGACATCTTCAAGGCGGTCCTCGTGAAGGTCAAAATGACTGAGGTCTCCAGCTTGTGCTGCCGCCCAAACAATCTTGGCCCTCTCACGAATTGCCCGCAAAGATAGGAGGTGCTTAGTCTCGGAATCCATCTTCAAATATTAATGGAAAATTTCAAAGTTGCAAAATTGGTGAGTTCAAATTTAATTTAATATGTCAGTGTTTTTTTTGGTGTCTTCGGATGGATATTGAGCTTCATTCACAGAGTGGCCTAGCCAGAATATAAAGACCTGCGGCTCACACTGTAGGTTTCTCACGTCGGCAGTACCCCGCGCATGCAGAGACCTTGTTCTTGGACACAATGTGATAAGGTCTCGCGTTCTTCACCCTCAGAGAAAAGCAAAGTAGCCGAGACTTCGTTTGCGATTTATGGGCGGCTACAAAATAATTGTGTTTGGCCAGATTCTGCGCCGCAATTGGTTCCGGATGGTCCCGTCAGGAGCGGGGGGCACCGAAAAATAGGTAAAATGTTCTTTCCCAATGGTTAAGGAAAATAGCTCGATTATCTAGGTCGCTTTCCTTCGGCTCTTCGTGCAACGACTTACGCATTTAGATACAGATGAGAGCGCTTGTACATGGAGGTATCTCATTTGTCAATCTCGTCTGACCAAGGAATCGATTCCTGAGCTCCGAAGTGTTGGATGGTCATGGCAGATGCTTTACATGCTCGTTTGACTGCTTTCGCGATGTTCCACTTTCCTTGGCCCTTAACCTTGCTCGTTACATACCCTACCGCATACGCTCCCACGAAAGTATCGCTATATTGGTGCAAGGTTGCTCATTAGTCAAAGGGTTCTGGATCCTTTAAATTCACTGGGGATTACGTACCCTGCTCCTGTCGCATCGACAACCGTAATGTTTTTCTCTGCCTCCACGTATCCAATCTCACCTTCGTGTGTCGCATAGAAAGCTCCTTTTGCGCCGAGTGTGATAACCACATTCTTGACACCAAGTCGTATGAAATACAATCCCGCTTTCTGCCATGCAGTGGGGCCTTGAAATTTCTCAAGACTTTCTCCAGATAACATGGCTGCCTCTGACTCATTGAGTACCAAATGTGTGAGGTGTTTATAGGTACTGCTATTCAGAGGAACAGCGGGAGAGGGGTTGAGGAGGGTGTCCACTCCTGTCTTTGCGGCCGTGTTCAGCACACCTTGCACAACGTCTGCCGGAATTCCAAGATGGAGAACAATGAGATCTGGTACCCCGCTTCCACCCCCTACAAAGCAGGATACCGAACTTGCTTCAAGTGGTGTCCATTGGAGATTTGCCCCCTGATATGCTATATTCCTGCTTTCACCAGTTCTCTTCTCAACGAAAACGCAGCATGTTCCACTGACTTGGCCGTCTAGAACTCGCACGGCGGCCGTGCTGACGCCGTTGTTTTCTAGTTGCTGCTTAAGCTGTGCTCCAAATGCATCACGCCCAACTGCGCCGTTCATGAACACTCGGATGTTATCGCTAGTACTAGTGCTGCTGCCGCCCTGTCGGCCAGCTCTTCCCTTCTGAGATGGGTTGGTATGACTTGCTCTGTAGGCAGCCACGGCTGTGTTCGCGCCTTTGCCGCCAGGGCATTGAACAAGTGAAATTGCATCTTTTGATTCACCCACATCTGGAATGCGGTCGACAGAGTATATCATGTCCATGTTAAGCCCGCCGATTATGGCAATCGAATGGGAAGTCATATTGCTGAATTTTAACTTTTAAGGCTATGAAGGTTTCGAGAAATATGTGTATAATATAATATTTTTGCGTAAAATAGGGTGATTCCAAAGAAAAAATATATTCGAGAACGGGGAGTATGAGAACGGCTGCGCTGAGTATGAGCTTGATCTTGAGCAAGTTCAGGAATACAATAGTAGAAAGGAATTGCCGTTTATATATGCACCTTCCCATCTAGCTGCAGCGCGGCCTGCCCGACCTACTGGCGAGACTGGCGCTCAAGGGTCGACATGCTGACGAAAAATTACTGCTTTCGAAACGCAGTTGGATGGCACAACGATTATATATAGCAAATTCGGACATCTTTCAGCTGGCTATGGACATAGAGCGGCGGGTACTCGAAGGTAACGCCTGTCCGTAATATATGATGGTATGAACCAATACAAATGGATATTTTGCAAAATGATCTCTTGCAATGCCGTGCCCATATTCGTGAAGGTATTAGCTACTGTCTCAACGGTTTAAATTACTACATGATGATAATCAAATACGCTCTCGAAGTACACAATTACATACATTTATCCATGAATCCGGCTATACAACTAAGACACTAAAAATATATATAGTTAATGTCCTGAGTTAGGAGTGTGGCCCATACAAGCGGCGCAAATTTAGGTCAACTAGTCCCATCTCGATCCTCGACGCTCGGAGTAATCTTCCTGCTCCCAAATACTATTTGGTGTCCGTGGCCTCGACATTGGCGAAGGCGGGGGCAGGTTTACTCTCAGTGAATATTCACTAATCTGCCCTATGTTCAAGTTGTTCGAGGTCAAATCGAGACGACACTCACTATGCACGAGTTGCTTTACCCTCTTAGTGCTTCTCCCAGGCGTTGTGCATAGTACCTTGAAATTTAACTCAAGATTATCATTTTGGATGATATCCTGAAGCCTTCCAAGTACTATTTTCATACCTTCGAATAAACCTTGGTAATCTTTATCGTAGACTGAGATTCCATCGATAATGCAATATATGCTGGTCCCTACGGGAAATTGGTTTATCAATTCCTCAACTGCAATACAGAGGGTATCCAGGTCGTGCATTTTCAGGCGCCTAACGTATCTTTTTGAATGGATAAAGTTGAGGTTCGGATCACCCCTCTGATCCAGAGCTCTTAAAAGTTGGATGATCAAAGAGCGTACTAGACCGCTGGGGCCGTAAAACCAATCTCTTGCGGAAGTATGTAGGCCGCAGAAGAAATGTACAAATACGTCCTCCGTGCGAATAGATGCCATGCTGATGGCGAATGTTGCGTTGAATAGTGACATTGCTGAGAGGTTATCCGAAGCCGACGAATGGAGGTTTCCATCTACCAACAGGATATCGGATTCATCATTTGACATCCACATAAGGAATCTTTCCTTTTGTACTATCGACTGGGCTTGACTTTGAGATCTCGCATCGAAGTCTTCTACTCTACTTAGAATACTTTTGATGTCCCTGTGCGGTTGGGCTAAAACACTTTTTATGTCATAGCTTATGGTTTCTCTAGTCTCCGGATCTTCTCTCGATGCTAACAGCATAATGAAACCTTCTAGAGGGAGGGTTGATTCCGTGTTTCTGTTTTTCCGTAAAGCAGATGAACTTGGTCTTCGAATATTAGACGCTATTTCTAAAAGCTCAGTCTGTTAGATCTATAGAACTTACATCGGAGAAATTTTTTTTTTGGATTCCCCACTAACCTTTCTTAATTTGGTCGACAAGTAGTGTATACATGCTACCTCTCGCTTGTTTGGTGAAGAACTCAGCAAAAGATTTTAAATCCTGATATTGCTGCTTTTCATCCATGAGGAATTTTAGTTCCTCTGGTGGGAGACTAGCCGTTTTTGTCCGAAACATATCTTCGTATCTTTCTAGATAACCTTTTATCTGCTTCAATTCGGTCCCTTGTTGGTCTACGGCTTCACTGATGTGTTTTACATCAGCTTCAGTCTGGTAGAGTGTTTCGCTAATTCGTTCAACCTTTGACCCTGTCTCTTTCACATCTTGACCAATTGTTCGCGCATGGATTTCGATGTTCTTCGTATTATACCGTATTTCTGAGACTTGACGGTTTCCTTCCAAAGTGAGCTTATGCGTATCCATGATCGTTTTATCGCGCCGGCTACCAACAAAAGACTGCAAGCGAGCCGCTTTCCCTTCTGTTGTAGCCAGTAACTCGTCCAAATTACCCGAAGGCTTCTCGCGCCTGCTAGACTTCGTCATCTTCAAGGATTTAGAGGAAAACATGGAGCTCCTGGATTTAGGAGAAGAACTTCCGTCGGAGTCTTGTTGAACTATTTTAGGTCCGAGTTTGAGAAGCTCTATGATTATATCCGCTATAGCGCCAAACAAATCTAGTGCACTTTCTCTCACAAGCTTGTCCCAGTTCAGACTGGTTGTATTTATCTCGATCTCAGAGACCATGTCATTGACTCTTCGAAAAGTTTCAATGATCTGGTCCCTATTTTTGGCAGACTCCTGTGCCATCTGAATTCGGTGCATCCGAGTTAGCAGGTAGCGCTTGGGTCAGTCGCTTCAAGACAATCCTTACACATGCATACGCATGTCGTAAGATTTTTGCATACCTCGAGTATAACACCGAAACCCGCTTTCACAATATTAAGTCCATACTCTTCAGGGAGAAACTCGAGCCACGCCTTCAGTGACTCTGCTTTGTTACCAAGGAATAGCCATCCCTTCTGGACTTTACTCAATCCCCCAGTGTAATGCTCGCCAGCAGTATTTATCCGTGCTAGAACCTCATCCAAGGAGTAGTCTTGATCTTTTATGCCATACTTTGATTGGAAATGCTCTCGCAACATCTCTTCAAGGATCCTATATGTATTTTAAAAGTTTAACAATCATCCATAAAAATACCCACTACATGTGCAATAGAGACGAGACTAATGACTCCAATACATACTTAAATGCGGGTGGTGGCTTATATTGGGCTCTTTGTTCGTCGAAACGTGGACTCCGAAAAGCAGGGTGTACTTTTGGCATCTCATTGTCGATAAACGACGCTGTGATGTCAACATATTGTCGAGTTTCTGTGTTGTTCATGTTGGAATATCTTCCGTCCTGTACAGTGGTTTCGGCCTGGTCGGGTTCGTGCGGATGTATGCTTGAGCTAGCAGGTCGATACGAAATTAATGATATCGATAGTTAAAGGCTCTAACCCATATTGTAGGATTTCCAACTTTAAAGCTAGCCGGCCCATGGTGGACAGTGTACACTTGGTTTCCGTTCCATACACCAGCATAGAATGCTGCTATATTTGACCTGCAAAGCAAGTTCTCAGCTCAGAAGCGCCGGCGCATGTGGCACAGCATGTACTAGCACCAATTACCATCCCACTCAGTCACTGTTGTATTAATAACCATGCTATATGCTACGCCTAATGAGCCATTTTCACCGCATCTTGATGACCAAATACTTCTTGCAAAGAATGGGCCGGAACTTGTATACAAATGTACCTTTTTCATCGGCTCGTCTTCCTCACATTAATGGTGCAGATTAATGTTATGCACACATCCCTGCAGTCTACAATCCTAAAACAGTCTAGACGCTTCACTTCGTCCCGTCCCGTCCACTCATTGTTAGTCTGCGAAGCTAGTCTCTTTCCTAATTTCCAACAGACGTAACGAGAGGCCAGCGTGATTGTATTATATCGTCTGTCTGTGCCTCATTCATACATTCAAAATTTGCGCCCCATATATGCATGTCTGTTTCGAGAATCATGCACAGTAATCGATTAGGAAAAGGTTAAGGGCGTATCCACGAGATTTCCCACTGCATCGTCGGTTCAACTGTCGGTAACATTATAATGTAATCGATCATTTGCATTCATATCGATATCAAGGTCATGAGGCTCGAGGTGCGGGGTCCGAGTTGTCCGATGATGCATCCTGCGTCGCAAAGTTGAGCCGCGTATGGGCAGTTCCCTGAAAAAAAAAAAAAAAGAATTACGGCTGAAAGGCAATTCGTATTTTATGTTTTCCTGGCATTCATTCCGTAGGCCGAAGCCCAATCCGGATTCTGCTAGCACAGGAATTGCCTAATGCTCGTGCATGCATCGGAGTTCAGTCACGCCTATTTTTTCTATTATTTTCTTTTCTTGTGCATGTGCAGAATAGTTGTGCTTGGAGAAAAAGAAAAGGCGTGGGGATACTTTCGAGTCTCAATATCTTCCAACCAGGAGATCATTGCAAATAGTTTAGCGATTTCAATTACAAAGCGCCTCTGTTCAAAATTGAGAGTCTGGAACCTAAAAAAAACGAAACTAGTCACGCCGCTCAAAAGCATTCTGGGACTATAGTAAAACAAAAGAATCGACACTAGTACTTTAATTTTCTTTCTACAGGTTGGTTATCCACACGAATTCAAGTGCCTAGAAACTCTTCTCTCGTTTATTAACTTAAAAGATATTCCTTAGCTTAGTGAGCTAGAGGCCCCAAATGGCTTCCGGGCTGCCGCCGATGAGCCCGAGTAGTTTTCTACTTCCATCAAATGAGAATCCAAGTTCGTCAGCCGAAAGAAAACGTAAGGAAGCCTCACACATATTGTCGGCATTTACTTATGCATACAGTGTATGATACTGACTACAAAACTTGGACCGGCGATGTGAATATACAGTACCATCAGGCTTGGGAATATTTACGAACTTCCAAAGCCCACAGCCACCTGAGCCATTCTTTTCTGCTACTAGTCCTATTGGTGATGCAGCATGGCCGTGGCCGCTTCGCCGAGAAAGCAATGCAAATACACTCAACAACTTGATACCCTCTGTCAAGTATATGGACTTCGAAAGGTTCAAGAACCGATACACATCTGAAGATGGACATAATATCATCGAAGTTCTTAGAGGTGGCAATGATCTTATCAAAGAAGTATACCGAGAGGAAAAGAGAAGAAAAGGCCGCAAGAAAGATTCATTTGCAAGAAGAAATATCAAGCCACTAAGCGATGATGTGAACTCGAATGGTTGGATTCACAGGATTAGGATACAATCCCCTCCAGTTCTTAAAATCCTCGGGAGGATTGCCAACGGCGATTTTGGCCGTTCGACAACCCCTTTGACCTTTTTCCGACCTTTCAAATTATTTATCCATTACCAGCCTGAAGTTAAGAAGGTTCTCAGTATATTAGAGGAACGATGGGCGAGTAAAGCGGAAAAACCGGGTACTAGCGAAGCGAACCCAGAAAGTACAGCACAGGGAAACACGAAAGATGCCGATACCGATGATATAGACCCCGGCGAAGAATCCGACGAAGAATCGGTCGACGGTGGCGGTTCAACACTTGGGATCGAAGGCTCGGATATCGATACCATTGAAGCCTTAGAACATTTAAGATGCTATGTCGAATTCGTTGACAAAGAACTTATGCACTTGCCGGAATCATTCAGCGGGACTACTCGTCGTAGAATCCGTTTTAGCGACTTATGGTACCTTTTCAAACTCGGAGACTATGTCTACTGGCGTCCCGCTGGGGATTCAACCGCATCGAAAAAATCCGATAAGTTCGATGCTACGAGACGACCTCCCAGTACATCTGCTTACCAGTCAATATGGATGGTATATGGTGTTTCGTGTTCAAATATAGATGATGACGACCCGGACGACATAGAAGGGAAAAACAATTCTTTTACGGTTTGGGCATATAGTATTGACTATGATGGACAGAGGTACGGGATGATCACCAAGCGTTTCGATATGGGCCAGTGGGCTGGAGAGAAGGAAATAACATCTCTCGATGTGTACCCTATTCGATACTGCAAACAGCCAGATGTTATTCTTGCGGATCTTAAGGACCGAGGGAGAAGATTTCAAGCTTGCGTCGAAAGACGACATCTCTACTATGAAGGATGGACAATGGCCGACGATTCGAACGGACTAAAAGAGAACCATATCGATAGCCTGCCCCAACATGTGGAGAGCGATGTCATCGTCGATTTTTTGGAGACTCTGCAGTCTAACCCCTCCTGGAAACCTGAGCATGCCAATTTGAAACTACACCCAGATGACTATCCCATCGGAGAGGACAGCATGGTAATATTCGAATGGCTTGATGCTAAAGGTGGTAGACAAGAGATACAAGAGCGCACCCTCCGCAACGACAGCGTGGTTGACCGCCAACAAGAGGAATATATAAAATCAAACCCTTTCCTTCTTACCGTCCTCAACGGCCTCGACCCGGAAATAACGGAGAACGAGTACATTCTTTTACCACGGCGTTTATTCGTCTACATTTTACGCGAGCGCAAGTTTGCCAAAATCGATGTTACATACGTGAAGGATATATCAGTAGACTCTAATCCCTTCGACGACTTGAAGCTTAAATCTGGATACAAGGAGCTGGTGCAAAGCTTAGTCGACTCTCACTTTAAGAAGAACAAAATCCAGAAGGAGAGCCAGAAACTACGAACGAATCAGGACCTAATACTCGGAAAGGGTGCAGGGTTGATTATCTTACTTCATGGCGTTCCTGGCGTCGGGAAGACGGCAACTGCTGAGGCAGTAGCACAATCTAATCGGAAACCACTCTTTGTGATAACGTGCGGAGACCTTGGATTCACGCCTAAAGAGGTTGAGAATTCATTAACCGAAATATTTCGGCTTGCCGGCCTTTGGGACTGTGTTCTACTGCTGGACGAAGCGGATATCTTCCTTTCAAGAAGGGAAAAATCTGACCTCAAACGAAATGCACTCGTCTCAGGTATGGATACCCTCATTTTATATGAGAAACCCATAGGATCTTCGAGAGCTATAGCTAATACATTTAACGTACAGTTTTCCTCAGAGTTCTAGAGTATTATAGTGGAATACTATTCCTTACTACTAACAGAGTCGGCCATCTCGATGAAGCATTCAAATCCCGTATTCACATCAGTCTTTACTACGAACCTCTCGACAAAGACCAAACAATCGAAATCTTCAAAATGAACATGGCAAGGCTCGAAAAGATGGAAAAGGAACGTGTCCAATTCCAAGAAACTTCCGACGAGAAGCTTCCGGAAGTATGCATAGAGGAGAAACGCATCCTCGACTTTGCAGATCGCCATTTCGATGACTCCGACGAGTTCGAAAGGTGGAACGGACGTCAGATACGCAATGCTTTCCAAATTGCATTCTCACTCGCCAATTATGAGTTCCAGAAAAGTCAAGCCGCCGATGTCAATAAACAACGAGTATTAGAAACCGCTGATACCACTACCCTCAAAGTTCGTGGATCGGTTACAAAACGCTCATCATCTAGAGCACGGTATCATGATTTCCCGGTTCTCGACGATATCCACTTTAAACAAGTCGCAGAAGCAACTAGGAAGTTTAGCCAATATATGCAGGCAGCAACTAACAGCACTGATAGAGATTTTGCCCAAAGTGGTGGTTACCGCGCAGATGATTGGCACTATGATGACCGCCAGTCTCCGTGGGCACGCCAGCCAGTATATCCGGGCCCAAGGATCTCCCAATATGGGGCCCCTCCACCACCACCACTTCCGCGAGGAAGTGGAGGAGGAGGAGGAGGTAGGTACGGCTCACGCCCGCCACCTCCTCCACGGGGTTATAGTAGAGAGGCCGACGGTTATGACTGGGGTATCTCATATGAAGATGCGGCTCCTCCCTCGAGAAATACATATATTGAAGGACCATATGATGACAGAAGAAGAAGGAGAGACGGTGCTCAACTCGACGATGATTACTCACAAGCTTCGGCATCCCCCCCGCCAAGAAAACAAGGGGACCGGAGAGGCAGTAACAATGTGAGACGAAAACCCAGCGACACAAGGGAATCTGGCCGGTCAAGAAGGAAGGATTCTCTATATAGGGATAGCGAAGATAATAACCCGTCTGAGGATGAGCTGTCACACTGAAGATATAGGTACGAGGAGCTCGGAATACGCGGTTAAATATGTAGAGGCATTCTGCTGTACGAGTCCTGTATATATCAAAACAATGAGGGGGTCTTAAGCTTATCTCACAAGTCATATGCTCCGGATATATAACCGATCCGAGTTCCCAGGGTTTCAAAAATGTAACATGGTGCACACTACCCCTACCGCTCTAGCCATCAAGATTTCTATACCTCGAAAATAGACGGGGATTCGTTTCGTTTGTCGAGAACTCACATCTGTCGAACTCCAAGCCTAGACAATAATCTAAACGTTCTTGTTCATTAAAGCTTAATTCCTTCATTCGAGTTCTTCATGTATTTCATGCACTATATTCTATGCAATTCATCTTTCATTACCACTAAACACCCCTCACCCAAACACGAAAAATCATCCGACAAATTTCGATAACGAATGTTTCTCGTCATCGGTAAGCTGTCCATAGATCTCATTAAATCCCCCAATATTATTATTCGATGCCTCCCTAAAGAAGTTGACAATAAATGCCTTTCCCACAAAGGCCGATTAGCAATGCTCAACATTGGGAAGAAAGGTAGGTATATCACTCACTGTTGTATCATCATCACCGCCCCTTCTTAGTCCCGACGCAGATCTCTCAGTCTCCTCTCCAAGTCCCAACAGGGCCTGCTTGACTGCATGGCTACCCAAGTCAATCACATCATCGTCATCCTCCCACTCCGCATCTTCCTCTTCAATAGGCTCTTCGATCGCCCCCTTGGCTGTCCCTGCCATATCAACCTTCCAAGTAGAATTCGAAGGCGATCCTGATCCCAGCTCATTGACAAGAACCTTGATGATCTTCAATGGTGCAGAAACTGAAGTATATCGAATCGGATCTAAGTGTAAATCAGTACCCATAATATAAATTCCCAAGCGGGTGATCCGACAAGATAAAGTTTAGTAGTCTTACTATTCTTCCTTTGCGCTCTAGTCATGATTCGTGTCGTCTGTTCTACAATCTGGTCTCCTTGTACCGAAATAGCCGCCACTCGAGGATCATTCAAGGCATACAAATTCGCCAGAGCGACAACACTAGGGGGCTGGTCAATATCTGGAACTCTCTCGTTGTGATCTTCGGGTTAAAATCTTACTTTTGCTTAATTTCCGAATATCCACTAAAGACGCCAGAGTTCTCAAGCCATGCCGAGAGAACGACCTGTAAACCAGATCTATCCCCGATGGAATTTGTGGCTAGGAAATCAACAACATCGCTAGGTTGCTTGATCACTAGTCTTGCGAAAACCACGATAAGGCTCTGAATGAGATTTGGTTCAGCAGCAGTGGCGAGCCTTGTGGCAACCCCTCGCAGTAGAACGGGAAGATAGGGGCCAAGTTCTTGCGCAGCCTGTTGTAGAACATTAGAACAAACCCACCGGATAGGAAGACGAGAGACTGCGTACCTTTTCAACGACTTCCGCAGCCAACCCTCCAATTTCGAGGGCAGCCGAGTCTGATAAATCCGGACCAAGGAGACGGTCGATAACTAGAAGAACCAACTCCAAACCCGACTTTCCGTTTTCATCGTGCCTAATAAAAGTCAGCATCCCCCGACATAGATTTCACCAGAACCATCCTACCATTGTAATAGCTGTGCGCTATCATTCTCAACAATCGATTTCAATGACTCTGCACCAGCCTTCAGAACTATTAGTAAAGTTTTTTTTTTTTTAGGTTTTTTTAACCACTTGTCTGCTCACCTGGAGGAGAGGTGTCTCGCTCGAGACCATAAGGAACTGAACGAGACGGGGAACTAATGTTGCAACGAGACCTGATGGCAGGGATCCCGGTGCGTTTCGAAGCATGATATTAAGGAGGTCGGCGGCCAGCTAGTTTAGGGTTAATATGGCTCAATCAATCTAGATAATCATATTACTTACGTTTGTGAAAGAGTTGTCCTCTTGGTATGAATCACGGTCTAAGATTTCAACGATCGGAGGAACAGCCTGATTGCAGAGTCCAACAAAGTCATCCGGAAGGCCTTCCGTAACATCCTCAATGATCTCTTGGAGTTGGTTCGAAAGATAGATGTTCGCTGCACCACTTTCGCCCAGCATGAGGATGAGTTTGAAAATCGGCGCCGAAGGATCGAGAGCAATACGTGGGTCGACCCTTATTGTCGCCTTAAGTGTACTTGCAAGCACGGATAACGTATCCTGTGCTTCTTCCCGATCTTCTGGCGATTGGCTTGAAAGGAAGTTACCAATGCTCATCACGATGTCAACCTGGAATCGAAGAATATCATCTTTGTTTGTGTTCTCCGCGATACTAGAGTTATGGTTAGCTCAAGTCACTGGTGCGGGTTTCGAGTTGACGAACTTTTCAACTGCTCTAAGAGCGGATATTTTAACAATATCAGATGCATCGTTTGAGGTGGCCTGCAAGCAAGCTGGCACGAATTTACTCAAGAAACTGGACAAAAGATGTGATTCGATACCGGTCAAACTGCTTCCGAGTAACCATCCTCGGGCCCGAAGGAAGATGTTTTCTATCGATCATTAGTGACCCGGATTGCATTTTCATTTCAAGCTCTTCTCAACTCACCATGCGTCAATGCCTTTTCGAGATTCGATAATATCCCGGCAATAGTATCGGGACTAAGCTGGGCAAAGGTGTTTCCGCCATCACCGTTTTCAATGGCCTGCTCTAGAAGGTAAAAGGCTGCTTCTACTATTTTCCAGCTAGCCTGGTCCTGGGCGGCAAACCTCGAAAGCGAGACCAGAACGGGGCTTTGTAACCAATCCCACAAGCGCTAAATTGTACAGAATAAGCCTTTCTATTCTATAATGAATTGCAAACCAACATTCTAGCTTACCATCATTAAGTCTCCAGCTGCTGTTCGCGCTGTATAATTCGCTGTCATGGCTGTCTCCTCGGCAACAAAGACATTAAAGTCTAGTTCCCAAAGCCCCTCATCCTCTCCGGTGATTTGAGCTAGGAGTATGGAAGTATAAATCAGTTGCTCAAGCGGCTGTTGGTTTACCTGGAGGCCCTGCATGAACTTCTCTTTTACCGACTTAGCACGTAAGCAAACTTGGAGGAAATCTGCTTCCTCGAGCATAAGAAGGTCAAGAGTGAATGGAAGACCATCGATGTTGGAAAGCCTGCCATCAGCATCCCCTACGACGAAATCCTTGACATATCTCTCCGTCGTTCCATTAAGCTCAGACCAAGTAACCTCGAAAAGCTCTGGCATGTACTTTGTCATCGTATTTGCAAAAACACTGACAATTTTGCTGATTGTCTGCAAAACTAAATTAGCCTCAAACGAAACTTAACTAGTGACAAAGTACTTACCTTATACGATTGCAGCTTCAGAGTAACCAACCCGTTGTACTCTTCAACGTTCGTATCCGCCAAGTGAAGGAACGGTTGTTTTAGTATTTGAATAAAGAATGACATCCAGCCGCCGACAACTTCAGTCGCGAATTGCTCAACCGGACCTGGGTGGCCGTCCTTGACCATTTCTAGAAGCTCGATGCATGATCTTATCGCCTGCACTGCCAAACTTCGAATATTGGTTGGGCGCTAGATATCCCCACGCTTCTTAGCACATCTTGATACCTATTCGAACTTCACAGGGATACTATAACTCACGTTTTCGGAGACAGCAACATGATGCAGAACCTCAACAAGTTGGCGGGCCACCGGGAAGAATTGGTCTTCGCTGAATCCATCCTCGACAAGATCTGTAACAGTTAACATCAAGTGTATCCCGCAGTCTAACTCACATATGCCTTACCTGTAAGAACCTTAAGTAGACCGTGTAGTTGCTCATCAGTCGCCGTTGGAATGGCATTTAGCAAATCTTGCAGCAAAGAAGGCCATTCCTCGGGGAAATCTATGCACCTGTCAGAATACCACCATATACCACCCCAACTCGACTCTGTAGAAACACCAACCGTATGAAGCGATTCTAGAAACTGAATAAGCAGCCGCAGCTCTTATTTTTCGTTCCTTATCAGAGAGCAATTGTAATAGCGATGTACGGATCTGGTTCTTGACTTCATCCTTAATAGGCGGGCCGGTGTATTTATCGTGTGGAGGTGTCCATGTTTCATCGATAAAGGAGCGTAGATAGACAATAGCTGCCTGTCTACCTGTAAAATCGAGTTCTATGGCAGCTGCAATATTGATAAGGGCGATCGGGAAGCCTGCGAGGTGACACAGAGGTCAGATACGTTCAGGGTAGAAAAGATCGTTCGAAAACTATATCGATGACAATTTCGGAGGGCGAGACAATGGGTCTTTACTATCTTCAGGGTAGAGTTGGAACAACTCTGCCTCTGCGGCACGGCGTGGGCCTTCTTCAGACGATTGAAGGGCGGTAAGGAGGAAGTGGACTCTACATTGGTGTAGCAGACTCGTAAGCTTAGAGTACCTCAAGAAGAGCTTCACCGAAACAGCCTACGAACTGCACGAAATATCGCGAAAAATTGTACTAACTTTTGCTCCATTGCGACCCGGGATTAGAGACTCAGAAAAGGCGAAGGGTAAACACTCTAAATTGTTCTCAGCTGCCGTGTGAGAGCCCTGGAATGTCTCCCAAATTAATTCTGAAGTCGGTAGGGGCTCGAATCAACGGAATGGAAGTGATGGGGCTCCCCAATGGACGGGGTAAGATGGAATGGTGTCGTGATAGATGATTGGTGGAGTTGGTGGGGTGGGATGATTTTAGTAAGAGTTCGCGATAGTATATTTTGGTGGAGCACGCGTTGAGCGGTTTACCCCTCCACCTCGACCTCATCCTTGCTCCATTCCACAGACTCACTTACGGACTCACTCACGACTACATACCCCCGAATACGTCTCTAATAGGGTCGGTTTAATATCATTCCGCGACGATGTAGCTGATTGACTAGGCCTCCACCCTTCTATGAACATATCTACAATCCTAGCCTCGAAGGCGCCTGAGCCAGCGGCAGGTCTCCACCAATAGCCAAAATGCCACCCATGGACACTTACGCCAACCTCATAACTTCCTTCACCGACCTTCTCCTCGTTAGCATCCATACTATCCTCTATGAACGTGAAATATACCCTTCGACGCTCTTCATTCCTGCTCGCAAATACAACCATCCAGTCCGACAAGCTCGCCACCCACTTGTCTGCCAATGGATCCAAGAAGCTGTTGACGCTTGCGCCGAAGAGTTAATGAAATGTACGGTGGACCTCATAGCGGTTAACATCATTTCTTCGACAAACAAACCTCTTGAAAGATTTGTATTTGATGTGTCACGGTTCCCAGTCATCGCTACCACAGATATACACTCTCCGTTTGTAGTGACGGACGAGGATGGGAATGAAAGGGGATCAGGCACGCTGGCGGATTTGGAGGAGCATATGAGGGCGGTTATCACGAAACTTTCGTACTCGACGAGGAAATTAAGGAAGTTACCGAAAGGTTGCACATTTTCTGTCTCAGTTGAACTAAAAAACGAGGCTACAGCGCCGGAGGGGGTATGTTAGAATAGACTACACCAGGATACCTAGGCAAGTACTGATTCAAATCTCGCTAGAACCCGCCAGTCTGGATAGCTGCCGAGTACCAGGAGGACGATACGCCTCTTGGGAGAAGAGGGACTGCTTTAAAGACACGGGATACTAATCGGACGATACCAGTACGCAGCTTGGTCATGGGTGCTCTGGCACTCGAAACATGGATAGAAGAAGCGGAGGGTAACAAGGATATGGCAACAGACGAAAACTAAAGGGATATCTTCGACCGGTAGAACTCATTACTATCTCGTAATATGAAGCATCGAAACCCGTGACACGACGAGGGTCACGGTTGACGTACCGACATAAACGGAACCTGCCGTAGTTTGAACAACTGTCTCTTTTATATATCGACCTCGTGGGAAACCCCACTTCCATCACATAGCTACAGTTACCAACAGAAAAGAGAAGAGCTCCAAAAGGGCGGAAGAAAGCGCGGATGTTCGACACATGGCATCGTCGCCAACGTAATCTTCCTGACAATACTAAAATTCAAAATCGCTCAATAATTTAGACATAAACCAACATACAGTTGGTAGCACATGACGGAAACCATTTGTACACACGCGCGCAATTCTAGCCTGTATCTAAACATAAACCACGAAAGTCATAATTGTCTATCTTAGACCCATAAGTTGCTTCGAGTTTTCATACACGAGATAAGACTTGATAATTTCGTATTAGCTTAGGCATTCCAAAGATAGCAAGGATTGGATAGCAAGGACTTACAATAGAAACCGCGGGAACAACCTTCATCAAATTAGGCGTTAATCCCTTGAACAGCCCCTTCACACCCTCCTGCTTCAGTGTTCTACTAGTAACATCCCACATACCTGTATAGGTTTGTGGGTGTTGGGCAGTCCCCTGTGCTTGTAACCTAGTCCTCAAAAGATTAATAGGATAGACGATGGTCGCCCCGACACTACCGGATGTGGCGCCAATCGCCAATACAACAAAGTTGGACATTTGGAAATCCTCCTCTCTAATTCCCAAGGTTTTCGATCTAGTAGTGATGTACGACCTTTTCATCCACTCGAATGTTCCGAGGTCGATAGCGGAATATGGAAAGATACCGACAAGGCCCAGCGGTAAGCCGCGGTAGAAACCGCCAGTTGACCAAAGTTTTCTGGCGGTAGCGACAATAAGCTGGTTTCCGCGTGGGCCTCCGGCAACCATCTCACATTGCATCCGACTATAATAACAGTCAGCTTCATCCTGGATTCGTATTTCGCGTAAGAGGCTTACAATTTCAAAGTGTCGATGGGGTAAACGGCGAGTTGGCTAACCACACCGCCCACACCCCCAGCCAGAAATCTCGAGCCACCTGATATATGTTTAGGGTCGTCTGCGCCCTCGAGCCGAGCGAAAAGGCGCTTGGCGGCCTAAAATATTTCCTGTTTTAATTGTCTGAAAAACCTATGAATTAACTGGAAGGGAATCAAACCTCGAATGACCCAAATTTGATGGCACTTTCAGGTAAAACCTTTACAACATTGAGTCCATTGCCAGCAAAAAAGGATCTCACGCCACCGGCATTCCAGAGAGTGCGAATAGCGTCTCTCATCGGCCTTGTGGCAGTTTTGGCAAGCTGCCCGACTTCACCTTTGACAGCTGCCGTCTTAACTGCCTCCTTCGTTTGGCCAACATCAGTCTGCGCTATCAGGTAGACCTTGAGTCGATCAAATGGAGCCGTGGCGGTCCTTGAGACCACACCAGCGGCACCTCCTGCTAGGAAGAAGCCTACAATGACATGATAGAGGTAAGCATCTGATAGAGTTTCTACCTACTTCATAAATATATGGGAGCCGTATAGCTCAAGGCTTACCTATGCTCTCAAACAAATCGTCATTCAGAGTAACATCGCCTAGGCGAAAGAATCGACTAATCAGCGATGTTCTCAAGACTTCCATATTTATTCAACCCGCGCGACGCTGCATTTTATATTGGGAATGAATTTATTGGTGGTAGTGTTGAAAATGATCATTGGTCGATGGTATGAATAAAAAAAAAAAATTTCGCGATGTGTGGTGTCCAGGCGAATGTTGTGGTGTCGATGGAAGATGGAGGGGGTAAGAATACCTTCAGGATTGACATTCACAGTAGCCAGGTAGTATGAATATATTGCCCTTATGCCTGGATCCAGACCGTCGTCTCCGAACTGAGGGATGAAGACAAGAAAATCTCTTCACGGTTTTATACCCAGTTTAAATTAGTCTTTATCCTACTAGATATCGCTTATCGAGCATTCTCGACCAAGACTAGAACTTACCTCCACTCCTCAAAAGTAATCTGTCCATCACTATTTTTATCTAAACGATCAAAAAAGGCCTGCAACTTGTGCGGTTCGACCTTTATTCCATTGCTCTCAAGGGCATGTGCCAATTCCGACCGGTCTAGCTGACCATTCTTATCCCTATCGATAGCATTAAACAGACCTCGTAGGTGCTGTTCTGTCGCCTCCATAAACACTACAAATTCATCGAATTGAATGAAACCATCACCACTAGTATCGCAAATATCCATCAAGTCTTGCAGCATCTTATCGGCATTTTGGAGAGCTATCCGGATGGCCGATAGAAAGCGAGAGAAGGTGGTCGTCAGCCGTCTGGGTTCTTCAAGTATTCCTTCAAGGAATATGATATTCGAGCTGTTGGTTCTTCTATTTGACTGCTAAGGACATACGGTGGTTGATTCTCTTCAGACCGTTTCTCAGACCCTCGAGGTCCAATTGGCCTTGTTGATTGGTATCTAGTGTCTCGAAGAGCCTGAGCAAGCGGGCCCGCCTGGCTCTTTCCGGCTCTTCCTCTCCCTTATTCGTCATGAGGATCGGCTACCCGGAGGGAAGGGGGTGTGGTTCGAGATGTGATGTTTAGGGAAGAGGTTTATCTCGGCGAGTTACGGTGGCATCTCGCGTGCTCTGTCGTCGCTTACTTTTGGTCGAGCCCCGCCTGAGTGGGTAAACGCTTATGGGATAACGTGGATTGCGGCAGATTCAAATCGTGGCTCCCTTGTGGGTAGGGCATGCGCATACGACGACAATACGAAAGGTTGAATGTAATGAGTCGGCGAATTGAGCTGAACGTCGGACAAGGCGTTAAAACAAGGTCTCGAGGTAATGTGTGGGTGCTGTTCTAAACTACTTCTATCGCAGAACCCGAGCCGAACCGGAGCAGTAGGTTTTCAAAGATACTAGTAGTTTTCGAGATATTTTGTAGAGGAACAATACATTACGGTCTGGTTGAAGTTGTTCTGAGAAACCTTGAAGCAATATCTGGTAAACCGAACGGTGGAGGTTCGATGCCCAGCCGGCTTTCTCGTGTGATATCATACTTGATCCAACAACGCGGCGCAACTGGTCGGCCCCGGCTCAATGTCTTATTAGGTGCAGAGCCAAGACGAAGCGGCTATCGCCAATAATCCTTCCAGTCCTCCAACCTCATGACACAAGCTCATCGATTTGACATCGTGTGCCGAACAGCAGCATCCGCCCTTATTCCTGGTGTTCTTCTAGACGGGAGTACCACAATATGTTAAAAATGTTCTAGGATTACTTTACCATCATTGACCGGACCGATACCCACACTTGGCGATAGTTCTCGATCAGTCGCGACTCGCGCGTAGCATATACACACATACCCATATACCTACACAAATATATACTAGCTAGGGTGCTACTCGATACCAGTATATATCTGGGCTTCTCCAACCACCTCACGTTCATTCCTTACCATATTGCTATACTAGACAGCTTTCCCTCTTACAAGCTTCAAAAATGGCGGCCAACTTCTGGACATCCACCCAACGGGCACACTGGCAGCTCACCCGAGAGAAGATTGCAGATATGCGAAGAGGCCTTGATGAGGAGGACACCAATAAAGGGCTGGGCCTTGCTTTCCCATTACCGGATCATAAACAATTACAGTTGTATTTTCATCACTGTAAGTTCCCAGCCACCAGCTTTATGAGTGTGGCGCCAGGCCTTCATTCTGGACACCCTGAAACTCAGATTCAGAGAATTCTACAGGTCTGCAACGTTTAGCTCGTCGTCTTCAGCTCCGGCAACAACCCCAAGCCACAGCAGAAACATATCTTAAGAGATTCTACCTCAAGGTTTCAATACGGGACACCAATCCGTACCTTATGCTGTCAACTTGCGTCTACCTGGCTTGTAAGATGGAGGAATGCCCCCAGCACATCAGAAGCGTCGTTAATGAGGCGAGAACTTTGTTTCAGGGTATGGCCGCAGTTATTTCCCAGCCTGCGCGACTCGCGTGGCTGGCTGGCTTGCCTCCAAACTATAGTCGAACGTTATGCTGATCCGGATCGTTATATAGAGTTTATCCCGCAAGACATCGCCAAGCTTGCGGAATGTGAATTCCACCTGATATCAGAATTAAACTCTTATCTGATCGTCCACCACCCCTACCGAACACTAATGGAGGTACAGGTACCGTTGAAATTGTCTCCGGACGAGATAATGGCTGCATGGTCGTTTCTAAATGACTCCTATATTACTGATTTGATATTACTTTATCCGCCACATACTATAGCATTTACTGCTATATTTCTAGCGGTGTTTGTCCGACCTGCAATACACACGCAAGCAAATTTAAATGCTTCTGGTTCCACGGCGTTAGGTATGGGCACCGCTGCGGGAGCGGGTGGCAGCATAGTTCAGCCGTCGGTTGGCCAGAGTGCTGCCGTATCCGCAGCATCCGGTATCAACCCTCAGAACCATAGTAGCGCGAGATTGTCTCAGATGAGCGAGTGGTTTGCAGAATCAGGTGTTGAGATGGAGGCAATAATCGAATGCACACAAGAAATGATCTCGCTATATGATGCCTGGGAGACATGGACGGATAAAGTGTGTAGGGAAAGTGTTGCCAGATTGATCAGGGGGCGTCAGCTATCATAGTCGCCTCAGCTATCGCTTCAGAGGCGAGTCGCAAATCGCTTCAGCACTCGGGCCGGGCTATGACAAGAAGCTTGGAACCATTTATCCAGTCGCTCCTTCACCGAACAGCATCGATATCTGGATCATGCATAAGATGCCTGGGTCAGGTGGGTGACCTGCCATCTCGTCTCGACTAGCCTTATTCGAACGGATGTGGATCTCTCTTTGATGTGTAACAGGTGTACATGTACATTCCTGCAGTGGCAGGAATTCAATTTTGCCAACGAACGACTACCCTTGGCTGCGACCGCTTACCTGTCACGCAACTCAAAGCACAACAAACGTCTATCTGAAAGAAGCTTTTTTTACTGTCATTTTGGATCTTTCTTCGCTAATGACTGACGGAACGGGCGAGATTGGGTATTACGAAGGGGGCGTTGGTGAGGGCCTTACATAATTCCTTCCAGCTGGTATTTGATAGCGAACCCTGGTCGGGGACAGGCGGTGCACTCCGGATTTTATCAAGCTTCGACTTCGCCACTCACAGGCCACACCAACAGATGATGGAATCATCGTCGAGGCCGCACCGACAGGGCAGGACAGACCGAGCACTAGTCTGATTTTACAGTTGGCCAAATGACCGGCACCGGACCTGTTTCTTGCTGCATTGCGAGCTAATGCGCCAAGCCTGTGTAGACCCCGGTGATTGGCCAATCAAGGAGGGGAGCGCACACCCCTTTGCCCCCTTCTCCCTGAGAATTTTACCCAGACCTTCCCCAAAAAGAAATTTTCCCTTGTCCAAAGCAAACCTTTAGTTCCGTACCAGTACTAGTTCTGTACCATGATTGTCATGCTGCAGGAGTGGTGCATCATCGCAAGCAGGCCTCAGCGTGGAATTACGGGTACATTGTACCAACAAAATACCTGGTGGCTCATAGAATTTGGAGCCCGAAAAAACCTGAAAAACCTGCTGGAAACCTGGAGGGCCTGCCACGATACCTGCTGGAGGGAGTCAGCGCGCGGGGTAGACGTTATGTATCAGATACAGCCACCGGGCAAAAATGTTGGAGGGCGGGTCCCATGTCCGAAGCCAGCATCACCCTTGTTGAGACCAGTGCTTGAGAAGCGCTAAATGTTGCCTGACCCATCCGCCAGAATCGGGTGTGCAGAAAGATGTACATGCACGAAGACCAGATTCTGGAGAAGTGTCTACGGACGATGGATCTGAAGGGAAGTACCGGAAGCTATGATATCGATCGACCAGAATCTGACCATGCCTAGCCACTACACTTCCCAATTTATCCATGCCATCCATCCAGGGCGCCGTGTGGACAGACCCTTTCCTTTTATTGCTTTGTAATAATTGTTTTTTTTCTCGTTCTGTTAATTTTTCAGTCTTTCGAAGAGGATGCTGCAGGACTAGTTTTAGAATAGAATTGGGTCCATTCCTCTGAATTCTCCATGCAGCCAGCATCGAGGGTCGCCTAGAGAGACAGCAGGTGTATGGTTCGGAGACAGGCCAGAGCCAGAACCAGGCCAAAACACCCCCAACAGCGGGCGAGACTGGCTCAGACCAAACTAGCCCACCCCGGCTGGCATTCGGACTGGGCAGAACAGAATAAAACCTGTGCGCCGTCCGCTGTCTGTCTGAGTTCCTTCTTCTTCTTTCCCACAGTCGCATTGCCGTAGTACATTTAGACAAGAGAAAGTTAATCCCAGTCCACTCACAGTTGCCCCTTTACATACTTTTTGCCCCCAAATCAAATCAAAACCAAAACCTCCGTGCCATCCCCCGACACACACCATCCCAACCACCTTTTTATCTCCCTCATCTCCCTCTCTATCTCTCTATCTTCGCCCCTCATCGACATAATAATATAACCCATAAACATCATCTCTTCTTCATCTTCAGAATCAGTTGTCGTCGTATCTTAAAACATCATCATCATCTCATCTTTCGACATCAACTCGAAAACAACAACAAAAAACAATAACAACGCAACACGCAACACAACAACACAACCTCCTCTCCTCCCCTTTCTTAATCCGTCGCATAATCAAATCCAATCTCCTTTCACTTTCTCCAACCGAACTCTCCTGCCCAAACCTTCCTTCGACCTAATCACTTGCCCAACATCTCCCTCATCTCCCTTCCCACCACCCCCCACCACAACCACAACCACAACCACCACTTCTTTCTGATACATCTGTCCTTCCCTGCATTCTCTCTGCCGACGACAATATTTTCCTCTAAAATTCCCATCTTAATAACAAATACACATACTTCATCATGTCGTACGCATACGCTTCCTTCCAGGCTCAGTCACGATCATGTAAGCATCTTCCATCCCTTCCCGGGGATAAGACTCGGTGATACCCGGGTCTTCCTTTCTTGTGATTCCTTTGAGTTCCAATCCTAACGGAATCCATTAGTACTCAACGCTCGTTTCCGTTACGAAGCCGCGAGGTCCTTCGACCTGGATGATGATCTAGAATTCTGCCCGGCGCTGTTATCGGAAGAAGAGGTATGTCCAACAAAAAACACACGCAGACCAAGCTCTCGGCTTTCGCTAGGGACCCCTCGCTAACCCTGCTGTGCCTCAGTTGCAATCCGTTCACTCCGGATCTGATCGCTCGTCGCTATCGAGCGGATCTCCAAATGGCTCTCCGTTACAGCATCAGATTCAGCCATCTTCCGCTTCATCCTCCTACTCCTTCTCCTCCCACTCTTCCTTTGGCGGTCCGATCAACTACCATCACCACCACCACCATCAGCAGAAGTCTCAACAGTCTTCTCAGAGGATTCGCAATGCCATCCCCATCGTTAATCCCAATACTGGCATGCGAGTCTCCAGCCCACCAAACATGATCCCTCACCCCACACAACGACCTCATCACCACACCAACTCCTCCCGCCGATGGTAGTTGGTGATCAAGTCATCAAATTAAACCTCGCATTGTAAATTTCAACATAAATCTTTTTTGTTTCACGCTTTCTGGGTTTTTCATAATCAGGAGTTCTGCTTTCTAGTTCTTCTTCCTTTGTTTTACTCGGGCACCGGATGAAATGGCTTTAACGGAACATTATACTATACAACAAACAACCCCCATCGTTGACAAAAAACATCAATACCCTTTTGGTTTGCTACGCTCTGCCGCTTGACGGTTACATATCATACTTAATACTCTTTTACTCGACCTTTCTCGACTCCCCGACATCCTTCGACCATGTGTACATATGAGATCAGGGACAAGTACCACACCTACTCTTGTCTCTCCCTCTTCACATTCACATTCAAACATCACACTACCTCCTACCCTGTCGTGCGAATGAAATTTTGGAAACTAGCATTTGGGTGTTTCTCTTTTCCTTTACTCTTGTTTTTCTCTTTTACTACCCTCCAAAAAAAATCCCCGCGAAATAGATCGAGTTTCACATCTCCTATGTTTTGTTTCCGGAGTTTCTTTCTATTCTTCCTCCCACCCACCAAAAAAACCACACCTTTTACTTCGTTTCCGCTATTGTATTAACGCGATACCTCATTATCTTTTTTGTGTACAAAGCTTTGATTGCGACATTGGTCTGGGTGTTTGCGTTTTATACGTTAGGCGGTTGAAATCAGACGGGCGGGCAAAGGTGTTTTACAACAGTTTTCCTTTTATGTCGTTCTAAGGGAGTATTCGAAAGATCGAGAGAAAACCATCAGAGCATTTGCTTATTCATTTGGGTCATTTTTGTTTATTGCCATCTACGGGGGCTTGTTAATTCTCTACCTTTCTGTATATCTTCTCACCTTTTTTCCTTTTCATTTTCCTTTTCCTTTTTACCGTTTTTTCTATATCTTTTGGGTGTACCGTTGGAAATTAAGGGTTTCCGTTAGCGGGTGTCATATGGTTTTTTGAACTGGTTTGGCCGGCCTCTTGATCGTTGCTTGTACTACTTTCTTGAAAAACACTGGAAATCTGGATGGTTATCTTTTTTTCTTTTACAATTACTATACTATTACTACTATTACTACTAGTTTTCTTTGTTACTTTCGCTTGCTTCAAAAGAAATGAAATTGAAGAGGAGAATTGCTTCGGCGCTCCCCAATTTGCATCTTATCAAAATCATATCCTCACTTCGTAGAATTCATAAATGGTCATAGTTGTCTGGTAGACTTGGAACCCCAGAAATCCCCAAATATCCCAGGAATTTCCCAGGCATGACAGACAAGACGGACGGGCTTGAAGGATTCATCCCAGGCCCACCCCGGATGGAGGATCAACTGAGCTTATTTCCACCTCACACCTTCACCAGCTGCTTTAGCTCTAGCTACATCAGTAGCTTCTGTGTTTTCACATAAGATAATAGGAAGGTCTTATACCATTGACCAATAACTTCATTACAAAATATCTAGCTTCAAGAAGTGAAACATGTTGGGGCAACGGGTCATGCGTTTATTGGGTGTAAGCGCGAGGATATTTTATTTTAAGTTGTTGTTTTTTTGGTGACTATGGTATGGTGATAAGTGTGAATTCAACCGGCATATAGATGAAATGTACAAAGTCTTTCTTTGTTTTTTTGGTTCCTCTTTTCCGAGGTTTGTGATGGGTTCTTTTGATGAAGTTAGGTAATTCATTTCTTGTTCTGTTCAGGAAGATTCTCTTGCAACGTTTAGGACCCAGGATTGATATCTTGGGAGGGTGGTTATATCGTGATGGTCATTCTTGGGCTTCTGAATATACACCTAGTCGTATAACTTTTTTTTTATCTGATTAGCTAGCTGGCTAGCTATCGAGCTGAGCTGGTTCGGGGGTAACCGGTCAACAGGAAAGAGCTAGGATCTATAGCTAGGATCCAGGATTTGGGACTTCCCGAGGAGATAGGCTTTCGTTGGTGGAGTGACATTTCCGTGATACCACAGCTATCGAGCTTTTAAACGACCAGAAAAACAAAACCGTTTAAAATTTTTACAAGCTTTTTTGTCCGAACTCCGAAATTTGCGGGTAACAAAAAAGACAATCAGAGATCATAAGATCGTTTAAATTTCAAAGAAAATGCAGGCGAGCTCCGTTCGCGATCTTTTTTGACAGCCTTGAGTCTTCTCCCTTTGCTCCTTTCCTTCTCCCTGTACTCCCTGTAGGGATTTTAAATTTTTACTTTGGTGGAGTTTAACCTGTTGGGTATAACATCATCTCACATCACATACCAACATCATATGTCAAGTACATAACACGCAATAACAATAACATAACCATACAAACCCTGTTTTCCCTACATGAATGCTTGGTATTCGGATCTACCTTTACATAGTAGGTTTAAGAAAATGGCGTACATCCTTCGAGAAAAAAACCACCCCTTTCCATGAATATTATTAAACAAGAATGGAATGTTCAAGGCCTAAATGCTTAGGTTTGGGTATTATACCTTAACTAAGGGTCCTTGAACACCAACGCTCCGCTGTCGCTAAAGTAGACAGACATATGTTAGAAAAGGTTATACGCAGACGCATAGAACCCGCTCATTCTAGAAGAAAAAGAGAGAGAGAAAAGCCATCAGGAAACAAAACGATGCCTACCCCTTAAACATTTCCCCTCTACTCTTGTTTAAAATGGAATAGAAGAAAAAGGGAAGAAGTAAGCAATCAGGGGTAAAACTTCGTAGACGGCTAACCCGTCTACCCTAGCAAGTCGAGACGATAAAACGGTCGTTGTTGTCGGATTTTGGTTTGTCGATGCGAGAGAAAACAAACGGTATTACTTGTTCGTCCGGAAAGTATATTTAGCTTAGTTAGTTGCTTAGCGGTTTAGGGATGCGGTCCTAGTACGTAGGCGCTAGGAAAGGTGTTAAAGGGTGGTAAGACATCATGGGGCTGTTGGTCTTTTTCTCTCTCCTTCTTTTCTTTTTTTTCCCACTTCTCTTTTTATTTCTAATTTTCTTTTTCGTTTTAGGACTGGTGTCGAAATTCGAAGACCTTTCTGGTAGATGCCGGATTGCGTGTATGCGAGGTTTGTTTTTCTTCTCTTTGTTTTTCGAACCTCTAGGTTACCAGGAATCCCGTTTATGGACGGGATCATGTGCGGCGTTTAGGCGTGGTTGGGAATTTTTTGGTTGGATTCTTCCTTTCCGGGGAGCGCATGAGCGCATAGTAACAGGAGTAAGGAATTCTGAAAAACGAACGGTTGGAGCTCCATGTCTTTGAATGAGTTTCTTAAACGAAGTTTTGTTTTTTAATCTGATCTCATGATCTGATAATGGTGACTTATGGCAGCTGAGGTTTTTGGAGAAACCCAAGACATTTTGATATTGATATTTATATTAATAGTGGATGCATATGCTGGGATGTTAGTTAGTACGCTCTTCTCAAACTGAGACGTTGAATTTTATGGGGGTGTTTCAGAGGGGTGTTGGATATTTTGCGTTGTTTTGAGGTGGGTCATACTAGGGTTTTGGAGTTTCTGAATATGAAGATCTATATCAAGGTGGACATTTCAAGATGATATGATATCATGATCATGATACCGAGGACCTAAGATCTCCTTGGACTTAGCTTTCACAGGTTCTCAAAGTCTCGGGAAATAACCTCCCACAGTGAATACCACAGGAAAAGCCACAAATATTAATGCATAAAATTCAAAACGCAATCGCTCGAAGAGTTCCCAAAAAACCGATCCTTCCGAAACTCTCACTTATAAGAAAAATAAGAAAAAATCAATTAAGTTGTCCTAAAACTTCTACGTTGTACAGCCGTTAGCCCTGCAGTAGCTCTTGTGTACCATACTAAGACACCCAGGGTATCAGGGAATAATAAGAACATGTAGATCATAAAAGCCTTCCCGCACGGTTGACCAGCCTAGCGTAACGTCCACAGCCTTGTGTAACGTAACGCTACACGAGAGAGGAAATTTTTATGAAGGATCTAATTGGGCCCCACTGCGCGCGCTTTCGTACATTGCAGAATCAAGTGAGTTAAAAACCGTTTGTATGTTTGACTTTATCGATTACATATATAGGTGAGTTCCGATTGGAGCGTACGTGGGGGTTGTTGATAATTAATGACAGCTCTGGGCTGAGGTGAGCTCCTGGCTCCCGAACCTGAAAGAGAGAGGGAGGGAGGATTAGTTAGTAAATCGGCGTTGACGGTGCCCCGACTAGCCACTCGAGCTCACAAAATCTCCAATATTGGCTTGTCAACTGCAACGGCGGAGCTGCGAACAAAGCCAGTTCATCGTGCAGATATTTTGCATCACGATACCGGAATCTTTGGTGTTAATGTTGGCCGGTATGTATATAGGATACATAGTACTAGTCTAGAGGCAAAACGAGTACGAGTTCAACATGCATAGCACATAGGTTAGTACTGGCAACTAGTATTTTCGCAAGGCTATCGCGATATCGGTAATCGATATCTTAGAGATAGCTGGTCTCGTTGATAGCCGAGTAGTTAGCCCGCGTTTGACATTGGCATATGGTATATAAACCAGAGGTGGTCACGTATGTCTGCATATTCATATGTACTGCTGATTGTATTAATTTGTTCAGATATTATGCAATAGGTTTTGAGCATCAGCTATCCCTTGCTGTAGCAAAAGTGTGATCTAACATCTTACTAGACAGGCAGATAGTAAATGGAGTAGAGCAGCCACAGAAGGAATAATGCAATACATAAGCCCTATATTTCCTGTCGTCATTTTTATCGTTCATCATCGCTTCCGATGACATGGAGCACGTGCCCGGTTTCTCTAATCTATCACTTCACTAGGAAGATATAGATGCTCAAGGTAACAAAATTTTCACCAAGACTGAATCGATGACAGACGGTATCGATGGCCATGGGATTACAAAACCTGTGCCCCCGCGACGACTATAATTAAAAATAAGCCAAGACTACGCTCCAAGACCAAAGAAACTCTAAGAATGCATTAATGCTTATAACGCGCAATTCCTATCACTCAATCTAAAATACGAGCACCAGGAGACTCTTAATTGATCAATTATTATTTAGTCATAATTATATAACACATCCGGTGATGCTTGTTGATACGGCCCCCAGTCCATCAGCTGTCAGGCGGGTTAATATTACCAACACGCTCTTTGTGCGATTGTTGAAAACTCGCCACTCTAAATAGCGTCTGCACTGCATCTTTTCATCGATTCAGCCGCTTTCCTTTTGTGTGCCTGCAAGTCTTGAATTGCCCTTTTTTTTTTCGAGCCCAGAGATCCCATGTATCAACCCCGTAAATACGACAGAACTCTCTGAGAATGATGTTGGCCTAAGATTTATTGTCCACTGGCTCAGTTAGTCGCTCAAGTCCCAACAATCATATCATATGGATATATCTAGTCTCGTGGATATATCCAGATTCATGTGGATAGAATTACGGGATAAACCTACCAAAAGCACATATCTAGCTCAGCTGGCCGCAAGTCCACAAAATAAATACCAGTTTTTGAGCTACCTTAACCACTTGAATACGGGAGGCAGCAGACGCACTCACATATGATTTGAATATGTTGGACTCCTTCCTCCAGGGATTTAAAGTCCATAAAAGGAGACTAGAGGAACAGCGATTGGGATTTTTAAAAAAATACGTGCATAGTATTGTGAAATGTGTCTTTGACCGCTGTCGGATGACTATTAGAGCTGTAGCGCTGACGTATTCAGATTAGACCAATAAATGTGCTAACATCAACCTACATGTTTGCGACCCAAACGAAAATAATTGATGGAAAGAGTGTATTTTTTTTGAATTATAACATAAGGAAGGGGTGGAGGCAATGTGCTCCTGCGGGGATTCTGGGATCTTTCGGATCTGAAGACCAATTGGATGAGCATGAGTCGAATATGAGAATCCTGGTTAGATATCTTGATATAAATAAATAACAGCTGATGAAGCTTGATAAAAGGTTAAAGGTGGTTTCTGAACTTAAATTCCGGGTGAAATTTCCATATAAATTTATGCCTACGGCCTCATAGTCTTTGAAAAGAGTAAGTAAATTTCGATTCTATATAAATAACTAGTTGTTTAGCTATGATGCTAACGCCTGACCTTAGGTGGGCTACATATATATATACTTAGTATATATACACATATACACATACATACTGTCACGAACTTCTCTATCATTGCCCTTTCAACTACCTCCTTCTGAAAGAAAAAATAAATTGAATTTACAGATTAATTTTGGTTAGAATTCCATATACTACTTATATATTCCACTTACCATGGAACCGCCAATGTTGTATTTTCCGCGTTGTCCCAACATCAGATCTTTCCCAAATGGGTGGTCGTTTTGGCATCCGTTAACAGGAGCATTTTGACGTCATAACCCAGTCCGGGACAACATTCGGAGAGATCATGATATCATGCTCAACATTACAATTGTATACAACTCCGGGACTTCTTTGATTGTGCTATGTAATAAAATAAAATAAACTATCCGAGGTAGCCTAAATCCTTGGCCTGACATGCTATCAGTTATTTTCAGCCAAAATATTTAAATAGTTTACAAAGGCTTTCCGACTGTTTCCTCACACTCCTACATCTTCCTACTGCTCTGATATTGTCCAATAGTTGAACCACTATATAAACATTTATATCAGAAGACATCTTATTCGCTGTTTGAGCGATTGGTAATTGTATCTACGGAAATAGTATCCCGACTTAAGTCTTGCATATCTATTTCGGTTAATTACTTATTACGTCAATCGTTTCTTCCAGAAGTTGATTCTAATAACTTCTATTACGATTACATCAATCATTTCTTTGACCTTTTTTATCAAGTGATTCTTACTTGTACGACTCCCCTCCCAAAAAACCCAATTGTTTATCATATCACAAGGTACCTTCCGTACATGCATATTACTTCCTCACTTTCGTTTCAAAAGCTTCTAACCACCCCCATCTATCTAATAGACTCAATTCACATTCAGAAAAAATGACAACCATCTCAAACATCTCCCGCCGTCTCCCGGCCCTCTGCACCGCCCGTGGTTCCTTTGCCTACACAGCAGCCACCAGACTCTCAGTATCATCCCAACAGCAAGCGAGGTACTCATCTTATTCCTCCAGTCACGAAAACGATCCGGAGAAGTTGGATGATTACAAACGCAATTCCTTGAAGGAGCAGAAGGAGGGGAAGGGACAATGGCATGAGGAGTTGGCTAGTGATGCTGAGGCTTTCGTAAGTTTTTATCTCTCTCTCTCTTTTTTTCCCTTTTTATTTCTCCTTATTTCTTGGTTATTATTTGATGTTAACAATTTTGGAATATGTTATATAGATCAAAGCAGAACGACAAGAAATCAAAGCCACAGGCGAGGAAATCGAGAAGTTACAACGGGAGACGACTAAATTGCTAAAGAAGACAGGTTTGAAGGGATAAACAAAAAGTTTGTGCTAGCATTGGAATAATTCTATAAGGAGATGTGGTTTATTGTAATTACCTCTAGCTACTTTTGATAACGCGTTCATGGTGTCATTAATCAATTTTTTTTTTTTTTCATTTTTCATTTTTTTCATTTTTGATTTAGTTGTGGGAGAGATTGTAAATTTGCATGAGACACTTATTCACTTACTCAAAGTTTAAAAAGGAATCAATGGAGGTTTAAGTGGGAATAAATTCAAGATGATATAGACATCTATGATCAAAATAGAACGTAGACATGAAAGTGCTATGATATCTACAGTATAAAACCATGCAAAAAATCGACAGGTCCTGGTTAGCACCTATGTGAAAACCAATGGAAAAAATGAGGAAGAAAGAAACACCGATATAAACAAAAAGGAAGCCCCAAACAACCCTGACGATTCAAAAACCTGGATGATTATGTTACCGATATATTGGTATTCTTTTTCCGAAACCCGGGACCGTGATACTCGCTAGCAAAAGGCCAATATACAATCGAAAGAATCAAAGAAGGAAGAAAATGAAAAATCCGTATGATAGAAAAGAAAATGAAAGACGAGGTCTATTTCAATAGCGCGATCAGGAGTACCAGGACTATGATCAGTACTACTATCGTGACCATTGAGCCTGTGGTTTATTGGTTAGATTTCTGGTTTGTATGAAGTTGATGTCTGGAAGATTGGCTGGAGTCTTACCATTATCCTTTGCTTTCCTAGCGAAGGTATCCAGCCTCTTTCTAGCTCCCGTTATTCTCCTTTGTGCCCGATCAACTCCATCGTCTAGATCATCTAGTAATTCTCCTTGACTATCTAACTCATCACCAATCTGTATACTCAGTTCTCTTTGTCGGGTTATACTTTCTGATAACCTATCTAATGTATCATCCTGTTCTTCTATTATCCGCTGATGAAGAGTCATGACCTGTGGATTCGACATTTCGGAAGTATCCACCAGAGAATCTGAGAAACGAACTTGTTTTGACTTCCGTGTGGAGGCTGTGAGATCTGCGCTGCTTCCCATGAGGGAGCCTCTGGAGTCTGTGGTGTCATCGTCGGTGTATGATGCTAAACCTCTTGCAGCCTTGTGATGATGATGGTCTGGATCGTCCGTATAAGGTAGGGAATTTGGATCTAACCCTTTCTTGGAGGTGACATTTGGGAGGTCGATTGTGGATGACGATGTAGAGTCGGATTGGGAAGTAAATTGGGATGTTAGGGTGTCGTAATGAGATCGGAGTTTTATGAGGGTATCTTCACGGTCTTGAAGGGATTTTGAAGAGCTATAATAGGTACTCCGGTAAGCATTTAGAATATATCTTTTAATACTGTGATTTTATTGGTGGAATGCAAGGGGTGGAGGAGATTTGAAAGTGGGTTTCATTGTGATTGTGATTGTGATTGATATCGGATATGATCAGGGGTGTTTCTCTCCGCTGTACATACAGTTCGCCATCTTGCTCGAGTCTTGTTTGCTCCTGTTCGATTTGTTCGATACCTTGCCGTAGAGTCTCGAGCGACCGGGTAATATATCCATCGGCAGTATTTGGCTCGAGTTTTAAGGAGATGGCTCGAGATCTTTCGAGGAGGGAGAGTTTTATATGGTCGGCTAGCAGCAGGAGACGGTCGGCGTTTGTCGGCATCTTGTTGGATGACGTCGGCGGTATACTACCTGGTGGATAGCTATAGATTCGTATGTACAGGATATGGCGAAGATATGGAGAGTCGAGAAGATGTCGTCGTCGTCGTCCTTGTTGGGCCGGTGGAGAGGAGGTGAGTGGGTAAGGGAGGGAGAGAGCGAGCGAGCGATGGAGGTTTGGAGGACGGTTGTTTAAAGATGGATTGAAGGGGGTTTCGAGGAGGGGTGTTTGGCAGGCAGTTGGAGGTCACTTGGCGGCATTTAGCCGTTTGAGGGCCTCGTCATGCGCTGTTGGACTGTCCTTGGACCGACCCGTCTTATGCTCTAACCAGACATCTTCTCAGCTTACTTCTAGTGCTTAATTTGTTCTAAGGCATATTAGTATTGTCACTGCTATTTGAATATGAGAAATTCAAATGCCTGCAATTAGATACTGAATTGATAGGTTAACGGTTATAACGGTGGTGTAGTTAAATATTAGTTGCTCGGTCAGGAACTGCGCCGCTGCAGACTAACTGACCCACTGACCACACAGATCACGCCGATAAGGCATTACCAGCACAGTTAATTACCAATAGGAACTAGCACCGGCGATAATAATTATTACCTAGATGACAGGTACTTCTTTATCAAGTATCTTGATTATTCTTTTTGTGGTCGAGCCCCGCTATTTGTTTACAGTAAAGTACAAAAAAAGTGGTCTGCTGTCTGCAGCTTTTAGTGGCGGCATCTGGCATGGGTAGAAATTTTCGACCGAACCACCAAAATCAACTTCAACTTCAACCTCTTCTTCTCTTTCCTTAGTCTCCAGAAACACAGCTTAACGGCAAACTTTCGACCATCAAATGCTTCTTCGCCCGGTCAATGGTGTCGCACCATTCCGATAACCGCGGGCGAGAAGGCTTCCTTGGCTGAGATGGATGCAGAGTTATGCTCATCGGACGACCGCTGCTTCGAAGGTGCTGCAGTCCCTCCTCGAAGCTACCTGACACACGACTACTCTCGAGCACCAACAACAATTTCAAACCTGTTAATATAGCCATTGCCCGGTACGAACACCGACAACCTGTTGGTATAGCCTTTGGGAGTGGGATAAATTCGCATTGGGGGTTAATACGACCGTTTTCGACAGAAAGAGGGGAAGGAGGGGGAGGATATCAGGATGGAGCTCGTGGGCGACATATCCGTTCGAGGCCACATACCGGCTCTTCAGCCAAATCTTATAGAGCACCACCATTACCTACGGAACGAAAGCTCAAGGTCAATATACCGCCGGAACTTGAGAGGGATTTTGTTGATTCGGTAGCCGAGGATCTTGTTGACGACTTTGACGACCTTGAAGAACCCGGTCCCAATTCTCGACTTTCAAATGGTCGAGACCGACAGGCCGATGAGGAGTTCTTTGCTATCCTCGATAAACAGCGTAGAGAACGGGCAAGTCAGAATAAGGATAGTGTAAGAGGTGCCGGACCGTCCACGAAAACTCTCGAAGATACATCCAGGTTCCTTCTGTCCGAACTACTGGCTACAGAGACTGCCACTAAACCAGGTTATAAGAGAGGAGATGCAAATGCCGATAGTGAATCCGACCTTGTCCTTCTCCAGAAAGCCCTTGACGTCAGCATCACCAGAATCCAAAAGAACGCGAAGCCGGGATACCATCCTCTCCCATTCTACCTCCATCAAAACTCCAAAACCCTTGACGAAGCTCTAAAGGTGGTTCTCCAAGAAAAGAAACCAGACATAGTCAACAAAGTCTGCTACAATCTACTAATTTCAGATGCTGCACCGTCAATCAAAACCTTTAATATCCTTATTCGCCGGTTCACAAGACTTCGTATGACCTCTTTAGCACATGTAATCCTTTCAACGCTCTTCGCAATTGGATTCGAACCAAATGCCTACACTTACTCTGCAATACTACAATACCTCACCGTCACCCAAAACTACGAAGCTTTCAACCGAGCCGTCCAAATCATGCGCGACACTTTCTTGGATTTCAAAAATCCCGTCCTCGGAGCAGCCGAACTCAATGGTTGGTCAAAACTAGGCAACTTCATGGGTATGCGCCGAAGGTTGAGGCTTTTACAGGAAGAAGGACTACGGGATGATATATACGTCCTTGCTATCGAACTCAGGTACTTCGCAAAACGACATATGTGGGAGGGAGGATTGCCGGCTTTGACATTATTATTGAAGAAAGAGGCGCAAGATATCGATCATCGGGCTTTGTTTTGGGCGTTCAAACTGTGCGTTAACTGTCACCAAAATGAGTTCGCAGATCGATTGAAGGCGGTGGCGCAGGAGAAGCGGTGGCCGGTTGAAGCTTTGTGGGCGAGGCCGACGAGGACTCGTGGGTTGCCGTATGGATATAAAGGCAGGGAGTCTGGACAACTTGTGCCGAAGGGGACAGATCCACCACAGTGGACGGAATTGTGGAATCCTGGGGTGAAAAGTAAAGAAACGTGGGAGTTGCAGAAATTCAAAATTGGGTCAATGGCGAGGGTACCAGATGCCTGGAGGGAGTATAGCTCTGTCTTCTGGGAGAAGGCTAATGGAGAGGATGGAGGTGTGGATATGAAGAAGTGGGAGGGAGATGCTTTAGAAGATACCGTGGATTCATCGATATCGGACGTTAAGGCCAAAGGGATGGCTGTAAAACATCAAGGACTAACTGTTCTTGAAGATGAGAAATCCGAGAATAATGGGCGCAGGTCCTCCATGTTTCAAAATACGAAAGGAGGGACGATTGCTGCAAAGACCAGCAACCTGCCAGAGATGCCCGAAAGAGCGTTTAAAGCGCTTGAAGAAGATAATGTCTGGAAGTCGCTTCTCAAAAAGAGGAAGCGCGAGCTGCTTCGGCCTGAAACTCGGGGCCCGAAGCCACGTTAATACCGAAGGTACAGCATGCATTGTAAATATGAAACGTCTGGTTCTGTAAATATTTTTGATTGAGAAAAGCTTCATTTTGTATATATTCCCGATTGAGGGGCCATATATTTGGTAGCCCCCTCGGGTATTGGATATAAGTTTAAAATATATCTAATTAGAGAAGAGTACAATTTTGTTTTGTCTATACCGTATCATCTCATAAAAAGGATAGAAGCGCCAGTCCGTAGTACATGAATGCATGGGTATCATAAGAATATGGTGATAACAAGAAAGGATGAATTAAAACGTGTCGTAGTGGCGGTACCACGGTTTGTTAGGGTACTTAAGAACCTTCTTCACTGCATCGTCAAGTCCCCATCGTGGTCTCGTGATGACTTCTTACCCTTTTTCGTCCCCGATCCGCTAGGTTGGGAGAGATGCAAGTCCTTGAGCCGTGTAGTCTCACTACTGGGAGAACCACCATCAGAACCCTCCTCCTCCTCCTCGCCCTCCTCGCCACTATCATCCACGACAGCACCCTTCACCGCCCCATTTCCCTTCGACCTTCCTTCACCAGCACCGGAGCTACTTTTCTTAACCGTCGTCGTCCCCATCTTTTTCATCATAGCTTTCCCAAACGGCACAGTCCTGGGAATAACATCCGCCAAAAACTCCAAATTATCAATCCTAGCAACTGCATTTGCCAAATCTTTATATTGAATATTTTTTCTCGGTTTCTTCTCGACTTTTGTCATCTTGTGGGCTTGCTCGGCAATATGCCAGATGAACTCTTCAGCTGCGACGGAGATTAGGAATGCGGCGGCCGGGGTACAGGCGTCAATGTCGTCGTCTAGTTTTATGATTTTACGCACGCGGGCGACTATATTGGATTTACATTGTTAGATGGTGGTTTTTTGGGTAAAGGGTGTGAGGTTTGAGGCGCGAGCTTACGCGGGAGGTACGAAGTGCCATCCCATTCGCCTTTGCGTTTGGGAGGAATTGAGTTGGTATTATTTGGCATTGTTGTGAGGATTATATATTGGTGGTCTTGTGCTGCGACGATAAATCGGATGGTTATAATAGGCTCCACTTAGTTAAGGCCTAGATGCTATATTTTGCTTCGGCTGATGAAGTCTCGGGATGGATGTTGATGATGAAGATGAAGATGAAGATGGAGAAGGAGAAAAAGGCTTAAGGGCCGCCCGTCACGTTCGATTTCGGTTGGCGTCGTTAAGGCAGGGCATCTGAACAGGTACTTCTGACTTGCTCCAAGTTCAAACAAGCTTACGCAAATGACAGAAGCTAAGAGACCAACTTAACAAAACCTGCGCAACCAACTAGAACAGGACATCCTCAACATCCCTTCGTTTCCCACCTCGTCGACTACACGAAAAGCTTCAAGACCTAAAGGCCTTCCGCGGATGTATGCTCCAGTTTAAATAGGCGGTCCTGACGACATATGCCGGACCCTTCCCCGCGGCCGCCACTACGGCGCAGTTCTTTGGGGTCTCGCTCTTCTCGACTGTCCCTCGCGATATCGGCTGTGGAAGCTGGACGGCATTCTCATGATTCAAGGGATGACAGGCGCGAACATATACAAGAGATTGAAGAAATTAAACGATATGAAGTATGTCACTATGATTTATTGTTTTAGTGTTTTTAATCGAGATTCTAGTAGAGCTAACGATTGATACCTTAATGTTTAGGACTTTACTACCATAGGTACTCCTCCCACCGCCCTCTCGCCCTCTCGCACATACTCCACCCCTCCCACCTTTTTATTATGGCTATGTCTTCTCGATCAAAACAGGAGCTGCTGGCAAAAAGTTGCTTAAGTAATTCTAAATCTCTAGCAAATACATAGACTGGGTCCAAGACGCCGCAAAAGCACAACTACAACGCCGATTACAACAACGGAGTGCCGGGAACTTTATATCCGGCAGAGTTGGGTGGAAAAGAAGGATATGGGAATCTTATGAAGCTGGACAGGCATGGATTGTGGTTAGTTTGGTTGGTTAGTCTCTTTTCCTATCGTGGTTCTTCAAAACCAAGAGTTTGGGGGAAAGACTAATGGGTGTTCAGGTGCTTGTATTGGGCTGAATGCGGCGTTTTTGAGTATTGTGACAGAATGGCTGTCAGATATTAAGCTTGGACATTGCCAGACGGGGTTTTACCTCAACGAAAAGTTCTGCTGTTGGGGAGAGGCTGAAGGTCTGCAAATACACTTATGTCTTCATTGAAATATAGTTCTCTTTTAAGCTAACTTATCGTTATAGGTTGCGAAAACTGGATACCGCACAGCTACTTTAGCGGCGTAAACTACATAATTTATATTCTATTCTCAACATTGTTCGCCTTGATCAGCGCCACCCTCGTTCGCTCTTTCGCACCCTACGCTGCCGGTTCTGGTATTTCGGAGATAAAATGTATTATCGCAGGATTCGTCATGAAGGGGTTTCTAGGCTTCTGGACGCTACTTATCAAGTCTATCGCCTTACCATTAACAATAGGTTCTGGGTTGAGTGTTGGGAAGGAAGGGCCTAGCGTACATTATGCGGTATGCACGGGAAACGTTATCAGTCGATTTTTTCAAAAGTATAAGAGAAGTGCCTCGAAAACAAGGGAGATCCTTTCGGCTTGTGCGGCTGCTGGAGTGGCAGTTGCGTTCGGTAGTCCTATCGGTGGGGTGCTGTTTTCGTTGGAGGAGATGTCGTCAAAGTTTCCGTTGAAGACTATGTGGAGGAGTTACTTTTGTGCTTTGGTGGCTACGGCGACGTTGGCGGTATGCTCTAATATCCCTGGTTTTGTTTTAATATATAAGGGCAGAGGCTAATAGGTGGTTGTACTAGGCTATGAACCCTTTCCGCACAGGACAATTGGTCATGTTCCAGGTCCATTATGATCGTGACTGGCATTTTTTTGAGATCGTATTTTACATCATCATTGGTATCTTTGGTGGACTGTACGGCGCCTTTGTGATCAAGTGGAACTTGAGAGCTCAAGCGTTCCGAAAGAGGTTTTTGACATCCTATGCAGTCGCCGAAGCTACCTTTTTAGCAGCAGCTACGGCGTTGATATGCTATCCAAACCACTTCCTGAGGATAGACATGACTGAGAGTATGGAGATTCTGTTCAGAGAGTGTGAAGGGATGGATTATAACAATCTTTGCGAGTACGTGTATCCCCTTTCTCGCATACTATATAACCCTCTCAAGACTAACTATGATTTCTTGGGAAATAGCCCGGACTACCGCTGGCGGAACGTCTTATCGCTCGTTATGGCAACCGTGCTCCGTTTATTCTTGGTCATCATTTCATACGGCTGTAAAGTTCCTGCTGGTATTTTTGTACCTTCCATGGCGATTGGTGCATCGTTTGGGCGAACGCTTGGAATAATAGTACAAGCGCTCTTCGAAGCATATCCGACGTCAAGTTTCTTCTCTAGCTGTGCGCCTGATGTTCCCGTAAGAACTCTACACTCTCAGATACTTAGTTGAATAGTTACTAATTTGTTATATTGTACATAGTGCATAACACCAGGCACTTACGCCTTCCTTGGTGCCGCTGCCGCCCTTAGTGGGATAATGCACCTAACCGTATCCGTTGTCGTCATAATGTTCGAACTCACGGGCGCGTTAACCTACATCCTACCCACTATGATCGTAGTCGGGGTTACCAAGATTGTTAGCAGTAACTTTGGAAAAGGCGGGATCGCGGATAGGATGATTTGGTTCAATGGGTTTCCGTTTTTGGATAATAAAGAGGAACATAGCTTTGGTATTCCGGTATCGCAGATTATGAGTGAGCGTGTGTCCGTTATTCCTGCGACGGGTATGGGGTTGAATGAACTAGGTAAGATTTTGAAACGGAATTGGGATAGTCCGGAAGTTTTCTTTGGCTGACTTTGAGGGCGGTAGAACATCTTTTGAAAGACCATGATTATCGTGGGTTCCCAGTTGTCCAAGATAGATCTTCGAATCTCTTGATCGGATATATCGGTAGAACAGAATTAAAATACGCAATAGGTATGCTTCCCCCGCTTTTGCCAACATCTAGCATACAAATTCTAACCAAACTCCCTTCGATAGAGCGCGCAAGAAAAGAAAGAGCGCTATCACAAAACACCCGCTGCTTCTTCACAATCTCCACAAACCCCAGCTCTCCGACTCTCTCCCCAATCACTGACCAGCCCCCACCACTTGCCTCCTCCTCTTCCTCCTCAAATAGCATAGACTTTAGTCGTTTCATAGACGGAACACCTATAACAGTCCACCCACGCATGGCCCTCGAAACCGTAATGCAGATATTCAAAAAGCTCGGGCCGAGGGTAATACTCGTAGAACAAAGGGGAAGATTATGTGGACTAGTCACACCGAAGGATTTGTTAAAATACCAGTTTAAAGTCGAGAATAGAGAACATCCGAGGGATGATACTGGAGAGGCGGAGATGCAGGATAAAGTTTGGGCGTGGATTGTGGGGGCTGGGGACTGGATATGGACTAGGGTTAAGGAGTTGAAGATTGTGGGTGTTTTCTTTGGGAGGAGGGGTAGTATTGGTGGTGATAGAGGGAGGGGGAGGGGAAGAGGTGGGGAAGGGAGAGGATATGAATACTCGGAGTTGAATGATGGAGTGGAGTTGGAAGGGGAGGTTGATGAGGATGGGGATTTGGGGTCGCCGAGGCAGGAGAGGGTGAGATGATTTATGTTGGAGGATTTCCTTTGCGGGTGATTGGCTAGATGTTGAATTATTTCGCGGTGACCTGGATTCTTAGTTTTGATTCCTAAGGTCTTTGTTCGGTTTTAAGTTAAATTTAAAGTAGCAATTTCAATATTACAGATATTTAAAAGACCTTATGATCAATTCTCTTTTAAATCTTGAGGTTGGTAGATAAGAATTCGCCAAATATTAATCACGATATCAACTCAACTCAGATAAGAGGCCATATAATTATAATTCTAGTATGAAGGCGTATATAAGAAATCAGAGCATCGGTAATGTACTTTAATATTAGGTAATATTACTATGAGAGAACTTAATATCACATCGATGCATTCGGATCGTTACTTCCTAGCGTGAATTTGCAAGTACATTTGCCAAAGATACAGATAAATCTCGAAGGAACCTTGGATCTGGTTCCTCTATCTTTTTTAGCCCACCTCTTAGGTTTCCTATGAAACTATTACCCCCGTTTTCCTTAATTTCCCGAATCACCCTATCTAAGTATTTCTCGGGTAAAGAATAACCATATCTGTAGATACTATTCAAGGCAGCTGGGATATTGCGGCATGTTTCAGGCACAAAATATGGCGGCCCCCATTTGAACTTTCGACATTGATCTTCCATAAATCTCCAGTAGAAGACCTCGGCGCCTTTTATTTGCAAAAAGTCAAAGGCCTGAAGTATGTTATCGATCTTCTTCAGCGTGGTATTAGAGAAGAGATCATTAACTGTTTCCTCCTTTTTAAGATCCGTGTCGTAGAGAGGGGTGAGGGGTACTCTGTAGAGCCAGTTCAGAACGACGGTCATAGTATCTAGCCCGATATCATGTATTTCGATTCGTCTTTCATGAGACTCTTTAAGACCAGAGTTAAGAGCGGCTTTGAAGAACCCGGAGTACACTACGATTACAGTCTCATGGACTTTGATTTCTTCTTCTTCGACGACCAAAGTCGCGTCGGGCTCAAAATAGAGATATAGAGGCGACCTGACCAAAATTACGTTAGTAAACATGTAGGCAAGCGTACATAGAGCCGGTTCTATATGGATATATATAGAGGTAACTTACTCCTTGAACGACATTGTGTTTGAACAATATAAAAGGAATGGGCCGTGAGAGTGCGTACTTGGCTGATGCTGGACTGAGAAAGAAGTCAAAGGTGGGGTTTGGTTTTGTACTACTATGTATGTACATGTACGATGACGAGGCTGGCTAAGGGCCAACACAAGCCAAATTAAACAGCCTGGTGATCGATGAGACAAGGCCGCATGTTACAGGCTGAACACAAACGCTAGCTAAGCTATAAGCCATTATAAGGGACCTATCACACACGCAACAACTAAGAAATGTTCTGAAACCTCCCCGCATCCAAGAACCTACTGGCTCCCACGTACCAGCAGATACCCCAGCTGTGACCTACAGAGCTGCGGACTATTAACCTACCATGTCTAGAGAGGACCATACATATAATTATCGATCATCTGAATCAGGAACCAATTCATTGTTTCGAAGCTCCTCCCGACACATTTCCCTTAGCTCTGTTAAGTCGAGCTCTAAAATCCTATCAGGGTCTACGCCTTCCGGACACTCCCCACCATATACCTCACTGAGATCCAGAAAAAAGACCTCTGTCTGACTTGAACGAGGTGCAGGAAATATCGTCTAAAGCTTCTGATTAGCCCGCTTTCTCTCCCTTCGGCGTTGTTTCGGTATCCGTCAAAAAAAAATACATACGCATCTAGAAGAAGTAGATATCCCATTTGCCGCATGGGGTCGATGAAACCAAACATCCGCCATGACTGTCCCCCTCCCAGTCACCGCAAATTTTGTAATAATCACAACCTTTGTTTCTCCATTGGTGAAGTTTTTCCAAATCTCTTTGTCACGTTCAAGGTCTATTAATGGTTGAGTGTAGCCTGTTTCCACAACGACCGAAGGGAATGGTTTAGACCACGGTTGAAGGCAGAAACATGGCGTTTTGATGATTGTATCAATCGTGAAAGTTCTTAATTCTGCACAAAAAATATATCATTAACATTGGGAACACAATCTTGCATTTGCAGGTTCTCCCAGGTCCTGGTTTGAAAAGCAATTTGAGCATGGACGGCTGGATAGGAGCTTTCGAACATACCGAGTCCACCGTAAGATAAAATATCATTCTGATATGTGAACATCTGTACAGCTCTATTCTCTTTCCATTTTTTCTCCTGCTTCTGTAACCAATTCGCCGTAACATCGATCAATGGACTGCCCCTTGTAATCCTAATTTGCCCGAACATGGGATCATATGTGAACCTTGCGTATGCGGCGTCAAAAATTGGATCATTGTCGAAGGCGCTTCTAATAGCATGAGCATTAACAGCGGAGATGTTACTGAAGGATATGTAGTCGGTATTATCTGGAACAGATTCTGGTAGTGCTATAAATGCCTTGATAGCGGTGATTATGGAGTCTTGCTGGGCCGCTGAGGTGAAGAGGTCTGCCATTTTCTTTTGCCATTGATGGAAATGTATATTTGGGTAGGAATACGAGGAGAACTTCCATAATTGGAATAACTTTAGTATGGTCGATATTCCAATGTTGAAATATTGATGTTTTTTTTTATATGATCTGTTTGTATCATCATCAGCTCCTCCCCTCGTGGTTATCTTGTCCAAAAATGAGCTATATATGGAAATGTGTTGACCCTGTTGTGGGTTTCGAGAGCTTGTTTGGTTTGTCGTCCGAAATTGCTTTAATTAGAAATTCTTGGCGTGACAAACATTCTTAACTGCTTTGACTCTTCGTCGTTGGTCAAGCTTCCCAACTAAGCTCTCTACATCCATCCAACCTACCATAGCTCTCCCATCACGCGTGCAAAGTTGCAGGCCTACAATCATAATATGTCTGAAGTAATCGATGACGAGGGTTCCCTCACTCTTGTGAGCAATGATGGGTTTCAGGTTCGTTAAATGTTCTGTTCTTTTACTAGCATTAATTCAAGTTCTCTCTGTTTGCTACGATAAGGTACTAATTGCTGTTCTGTATGGGAATAATAGTTCGTTCTGCCCAAAAAATGCGCCTTCGCGTCGAAGACAATAAGGAATATGTTCAACAAAAACAGTATGTATTGTTCATTTTTAAACCTTTTCGAGCCTATTTATGATTTGCAAAATAGCTAAATCGGAATATTGCTGCTATAGGTGGATATATCGAAGCTAAAGAGAACTGCGTAAAATTCGAGGATATGCGGTTCGTAATGACTTAATTTTGCTAGATGCTTAGATACTCCGAGGACTAACTTTGGATCATTTTATAGCGGTGCCGTTTTAGAGAAAGTCTGCGAGTACTTTATTTACAAACACAAGTACTCGGGGTATAGCGGACAAGTTCCGGAATTTCAGATCCCGGCGGAAATGGGATTGGAATTATTGACCATTGCCGACTTTTTGGAGACTTGAGATATTGGATGTTTGTGGCTGTCTACTGCGATATTGAGGATTTGTGTATTATATATACAGCCAAGTGTCATCTTAAAGATAGATTTCCAGCCATCACATGAACAGGCACAGATAATCAAAATATTCTATGACTTCAAACCTCTCACTTTTTCACAGGAGGCCCGCCTTTTCCTCCTTTATTGCCGGGTTTCCCTTTACCTTTAGCAGGCGGATCAACTTCCAACATTTCATCTCCAAACCTCGAGTCCGAAAACTTCATATAGCTGATAACACCATAATCCACCGTTGCCAGAATCACATTCCTCCTTCCTTCTTTCAACCCTTGATACAATCCCCTCTGCTTTGCAGTTGCTCTATCCACTTCTGGAATATCCTTGAACAATCCATCCATCTCCGCTAATGAAGGTAGCCTCGTATCCAGTGTCGAAAGCACACAAACATAAAAGTCTGGCGGTCCGGGCGCAGATTTCTTGAAGTTCGGACGAGGTTTCCAAACATGATATGTAACCGTAAATCGATTAATCTTTGTCTCCTCCTCTCCTGTCTTTGTAGTTGGCGTCCATTCGACCTCTTTTCTTGGAATCGCTAACCGTCGATACATCTCCGCATAACTCCTATATGCTCCCGGTGCAAGCATAGACCGGAATGGATCCCCCTTCCCAGGTCCCCAAAAAGTTCCATTGAATAAAGCCCCGAATATTCCTAATCCCCATAGATTCCATCCTCTTCCAGCTGGAGGAGGGGCTTTATACTCATACCCCACATTCCGGAACAACTCATCGTACTGTCCCTCCGGATCGCGAAAAACGATATACCCGCTTCTTTTCAGGTTCGAATAGACTTGATATCGTTCCAATCCACCTGTAGCTTCTAGTGCGGCTGCATAGACAGCTTGTACGCTCATCGGAACATTAATGGTAATGCCCTGCTTATGTTCTGGCTCAGCAGGATCCTGTGGTCCTTGTTCTTCTTCGTAGAAACACTCCAGACTGCCGCGTTCAACCATATACATCAATTCTTCAGGAAGCAGCCACATCGTGCCGGTTTTGTCGGCACGGCCCATGGCTTTGAATAGCACACCGCGTTGTTCATGGATTTGGGCGAGGCGGCGGGTGGAGTGCCAGGTTGCTGTCGCGCGGGTTTTACTGGAGAATATTGCAGTGGGAGGTTAGATGTGTATGCAATATTCGGTGAGATATGTTATATATACCCAGTATGTGAACGCTCCACGGAGAGAGCCTGGAACATGGCATTTCGGCTGTCGTCTAGTGTGTTAGACTGGAGGTTTGTGCCATCGGGTTCGAAGTCCTTTTCTCCACGTTTGGGGATCGAACCACCACCTTTTCTAGATTAAATAAATGTATTGAATTAGTTTTGAAGAAACTTTTATGCATAAATACGTCTTTGGTAGGTGATGGTGAAGTACTTTGTGATGTTGGCCAAGAATCTGAAATCTTGGGTTTCATCTGAGAGGTCAATATCGCCGTCATCAAAGCCAGAGGTTAATCCGTCGGTCTCCATGATCCACGAATAGAAAGAAAAGGTCTGTTGGGGGAATTGACGATGAGAAAGGACCCTTGTTATGGTGGTTGTATATGTCTTCGCTCTCGACTAGCTGGCCACTCAATAGTGTGTCACCAAATTTGAAGATTGTGGTTGTCATCAAAAAAACGACACAAAAAATGCAACAAATGCCAAGACATTCATTAGTCAACCCCGAGTCGGAGTCTCGCGAGCTCGTTCGGCCCTTGCATGCAGATCTGGACCGGGACGCTAGGATTCAAATCCATTGGGCTAAGCTATAAGCTTGGACATCCTCTTTGTCGAATTATACTTTCTTCCTCTTTTTTACTTTTCATTTCTCCTTACTTGTTCTCACCATTTTATTCGGATTCTCTCCTAGGTCCTGCCCCGCAGCTTATCACTATCATTCGAGACCCCACCATGTCGTCAACACAGATACCCCCGGCCGTCGTTTTCAGTGATTGGGATGGCACAATTACGTCGATTGATTGTATGTATCAGCTCCAATGAGCGAGAAGTTTGATTTATAAGAGTCATGGATAGCTAACATTCTGTCCTTTTAGCCAATGATTACTTGGTACGACTTTTCTAAGCTCTGATCTTGATTGTATATCCCTTCGTTAGAGGTGTATAGAAGAACTACATGCATAGTTCTCATAATAATGCGTATTCTAACATATTCAAATCCGAAAACTAGACCGACAACTTAGGTTTCGGCAAGGATGAACGTGAAAGACTGAACGAAGAGATGATCTCCCTCCGCTTCAACTTCAGGTAATTACAAGACCTTGTATAACATATCCTAGGATATATAACCTCAAACTCAACTATTATTCAAATACAACTAGGGATGCATTCACATTGATGCTAGAATCAATCAACCACCCCTTTTCAGAATGCATCGACCTCCTCAAATCCGAAATCCCTCTGGACCCAGGTTTCAAGGGTTTCTACGAATGGTGTAAATCACAGGGAATCCCTGTCATTGTCGTCTCCAGCGGGATGCGGCCAATCATCAAAGCCTTACTTCTGAACTACCTCGACGACCCTTCTGCAGCCGAAGAACTAGAGATCTATGCAAACGACACTGAATTCGGCGAAGACGGGAGCTGGAAGATTAAATGGCGACACCCGGAAAGTGGGTTTGGACATGATAAGAGTATTACTATCAAGAAATATATTAGTGATGCGGCGTATCCAGAGGGGAAGAGGCCGCATTTCTTTTATTGTGGAGATGGGGTTAGTGATCTTAGTGCGGCTAGAGAGACGGATTTGCTGTTTGCGAAGAAGGGCATGGATTTGGTGACTTATTGTGAAAGAGAAGGGGTGCCGTATACCACGTTTACAGACTTCCAGGATATTTGGGATGGGGTGAGGGATGTGGTTGAAGGGAAGAAAACGATTGAGGAGGTTAGGCAAGAGAAGAAGTAAATTTAGTCTTCATACAGATCTATATGAAGCAATATTTGGGGGGATCAGGGAACACGGCGTTATTGTTATAGACATATACAGATAGAGATATAGGGATATAGCTTCTAGCATTATGAATAACAACATGAACGCTTACTTTTCTTGATCCGTAAATACATACTCTCAAAAATTAATCCCTGGATCTTAAGTTGGCACTAGCTCTTTAACTATCATAACCGTACAGCTAATACCTCTCATGAAGTTGGAGTGCCTGTACCGAACAATCTAGAGTCAGCGCCTTTGATAATATGGAATTTCATCAGCCAACTAGTCTGGCAATCTGGCTCTATAAAATCACGTGTATTCGTTTTAAATTTCAAAGGGAGGTTTTACAACGTCATCATGCTCTGATTTGGTGAGCCTCCAGGGGTACATACTAGTCTCTAACCCAGATAGCAAAATTCCTCCAAATATTGGCCCCCCACGTACCCCAAGACCCACAAATCGCGTTGCAAAACGTTGCATTCCCGATGACTCGGCATCGCCAAGAATCCTCCTTCGGGGCGGCGCCGGCTGAAAAAAAATCCGCCAGCTGCATGCATTAATATTCCAGATACCGTACATCCGGCTTACTGATCGATCGTGTGACACCCGAGAAACTGCAAAAGAAGCTGTAAAAGAACATTGTAAATATTTTTTTTCTAGGTGAGAAGGATGATTTTAGTAGATCATATTTTATAGAGAGTTCTTTCTATCGTCTCATTTAATCCTTGAAATAAATTTAAACGCACTTTGTTAAAAAGGCGCACTCATCCTTACGTCTTCCCGGTCTATCGGATAACGAACCGAACTAGATTTGTGAACTGAAGTACAATTACTATTCACTGAAAACTAAACATACAGTAAGTACCATGCAAAGCGGAATCTATATTAAAACAAAAGGTTCAAAGAAGAACAAAAACGCTCTGAAAAAAAGATAGCCATTTGAGTTAACGCCCCAGTGTATATTCCTCCCTTCTCCCAGTCATTCTCTCCTGAATTCTATCATTGGGGTATATATAATATCGTCTAAAGACCAGACATAGCAAAAGGCCGGCTAGTCTAAAACACCCTGATGCCGCTCGCCAGCACCAAAGTAGATCTACCCCACCACTCAAAGCGGCTACTTCATTCTAGAAAAGATAAAAGAAGATAAAAAGAAGTAATGACCACCTCTCCTACTAATATAAACGAAAGGTATTAAAGTCATTTAAATCTTCTTCTCAACAGCCAACCTAGCTTCAACACCATGGAACCGTTCAATAGCCTTCAACACCCTCAAATGCTCATGCTTGAGCTGATCAAAGTCATCATCCAATCGCTTGTGCCATGGGTATAGCACAAAGACTTGGAATGCTAGCGCCGACGATGCGACGAAGAAGTTTGTGAAGGAGATGCCGCGGGTGACAATCATTGTTATGGTACTTTTTGGGTTTGAGGTATTTATTCTTTTAAAGGGGGTATTTAGAAAAACGGTTATTTGGAGGGATGATACTAGATATTTAAATAAAAATGGTTAGATATTTAATTATTGGAATTAGATAAGGTAAAGAAGAAGATCAGAGGGGAGTAAATAGAACTTACGAAGCTATCGTTGTTCTAAGTATAAATAAGAATGAAAATAAGCCGAATGAATTAACGCCTGAAGCCTTTTTTATTTTCCGAGGAAGAAGGGAGGGAAGCCGCCGTAAGAAAACCTGAAGAGAAAAAAAAAACGAAGAGAAAAAAGAGAGAGAGAGAAAATACCTAAAGAAACAATCTTGAGTTCTTTTTGCCAACGGGGGCAACCGACCCTTCTTATATTCCCCCAGAAGCAACCTTTTCGAACGAATCGCTCACAGTCCGAAGGCCTGGGAAACTCGTCACATCACATGCGGACAAAAACGTGCAATTGGCCCCCCCAGGCTACCTGACTATTATCCATAAGACATTTCTTTTTAAGAAAAAAAATCTCTAACTCATAAGAAAGGCACTTACCAAACTGGGTACTTCAGGAAAGGTCGCTTTTTTTTTTTTTTTTTTGCGCTGTCAGCAAAAAACCTAAAGAACTTTTTGCTGTGCTTTGCTTTACTTTGGAAAATGCGCAAGTGCTTTCACACACAAAAAAGGTGTCACACCACTCAAAGTTGCGGCATCCCGTATCGAGTTGCGGATTGTTGGATATTTTTTGTTGTTTTGCCAAGACCGTGAAGCATCGACAGGGGTCCCCGAAATAGCCTCACTGAATCAAAACGGATGGTCGATTTTGTCCATGCATGCATGCTTGCTATATATCTGGAACAACAGCTTTTAGCTTAACGGCCGGAACGGGATATTAAAAAAAAAAAAATACTGGGTACCCGGATGGATTGGCAATTAAGTCAGCTTTAGCAAGGGATCGTGGTACTTCAACTAGGTAGGTAATTTTAACTCGTCATATTCTCTATCCTATCTTCAATCAATTGCAATCTTCATCATGATCCGTCGATAGTCCGTCTGTCCGTCAATATACCCCATTGACCTCTTCTGATCCCGCCCATGCCAAATCTTTCTCTCCTCCGACTCAAACCTGCATTCAACAAAAGTTGGCTTTATCCTCTGATAGTTTTCCTTCTCATCCTCCCACGCACCCGTCGTTTCTTTTTTTAATTCAAAGACTAGAACTAGTTTTTTGGAGTACACTGTATTTCCAGACATCGTGATGCCATAACAAAATGAAAGCGGATCTGGCGGTGAAGAAAAGAAGTCGAAGAAAAACAAACGAAATAAGCCGCCTTTAAAATTTATTTTGCCAGCGTAAGTAGAGAAAGGGGCAGGGACAGAACCGAAAGTGTATATATATATATATAATAAAAAGGGCGAAAAAGCAACATGACTACTGAAAGAAATAGGAAACATATAAAAACAGTACTTGACCGCATAGAGTCGCGTAGAAAAGAAATAAAAAGATATAAAAAAACCAAACTTTCTTTTGTATCACCATTCATACCGCCTAAAAATATGGGTATGAAATGGCTTTGTCCCCGATGTCCGCCATCAAAGAGGTTAGCCCTTCCCTAATTTTGGGGCGTTGAGTTCCGTAATTTCATATACACAATAAAAGAATGGCAGAGGCGGGTGCTGAGAGGGGCATAGGTATGCTATGAGATGATCAACTATGAAAGGAGAAGCTGTATGATATAAAGGTACGTTAGCATGTCTCCAAAACCCTACACTACGAAGGGCCAAAACTTACGTCAATATCCAGACCCAAGGCCCTCAAAAACAAATTCGTATTCGCCAGTTTATGCTGCCCCATCTCTTGTGGCAAAGTTTTGCTTGCCTGTACATTGTCGTTGACACGGTCCCTAACATCATCTATTAGTCCAATATCCAGTAGCTTAAAAAACACCCGAGGAAACCTACTTGACCGCCGAAACCATCTTCTGCTGCTGTGACATGTTCGCCCCAACCGCCATGCTTGCCAAAAACTGCCACACATACATATCATCCACCTGTGCCCCATGTGGCGGGAAGATATCCAACAAATGATCTTCGAGTACCTCGAACAATCGGTCGTACGTCTGTGTCCACTTTAATACACCCTGATCGTCCGCCTGGTTGGCCTGCTTTATGATCTCTGCACGGCTAGTGAACATTGTCAAGAAAGCGAGACCGATTTGGGTCTGGCTGAGCAAGAGGACGTTGACGCGGTCGAGGAGGATGCCGAGCAGGCCAGTTATAACATCGAGTTGTGCGTCTCCGACATAGGAAAGAAGTGGTGGGAGAACATATTGGGAAAATCCTTCGATTTTCTTCTTGGTTTCATTGGAGAGTGAAAGAGTGTCGGGCAGGTATCGGCCATCCTTGATGACATCAACTTGGTCGAGAGATATTGTGATCATAGTGAGAATTGTGATACGTTGTTGTAGATCGATATATCTGAATACTCGGGGAATAGCCTCCTTTGCTTTCTTAACGGAAAGGATGGCGATGAAGGGATGCAGTGCGTTAGGCCTAGGAGTGGTTAGTAAGTCAAAAAAAATCAACAATGGTGATTTGTACTATACGTACTCCTCCTTAATGGGTTCCATAATCCGCATAGACCTCCACAACTTCGCGATTAAGGCGTCCCTGACTTCAAACCATTGGATTGTATTGGCATCGGGTTGCTGGCCGGTCAGACTAGGACCTGGGTGTTTTCGTTCATGGGAGTCTAAGTCAAGTAGGCATCGATAGATGTCTTCGGCAGCCGCTAAGATACTCCTCCTGTCGATGCCGGCGAAAGCATGTGCTGGTTTTTGACCCGGTTCTACTACGCCAGTGCTGTCTTGCTTCTTGATGCTTAACAGCGGTTTCGGTGTCTTCACGTTGCTGAATGATATCTTTCCTAGTGAGCCTTCTAGAACTAGCTGTGACGCCTTTGGACGAGCCTTAGCAGCAGCAACGGCACGTTGAACCTGTTGCTGCATTCGGAGAAGATGGTTATCCTGACGACGAGCTCTACCGCCCCGGGCTCCTTGCTGGCCGAGATATGTCTGGGCGAACTGATTCAGGGGTTGTTGAGGGTTATTCCGGGCTCTGATGGCCATGTAGACTTGGTAGTAGAAGTCCTCATTAAAGGAGTCTTCGTTAACCGACACCAGTTGCTGGAGCTGGATCCTCGTAATAAAATTCTTGTCCGAAGGGGTCATTAGACCGTTATATCGGGACTTCATATATTGTTAGCACGACCGTATGTATTTGACTGGGATAGAAGCCTTACCAGTTGAGCGATCTTATGGTTCCGTTTCAGCCGCTTGCTCTCCTCTTCCAAGAACTTAACCCTCTCCTCTTCGGTCATCTGCATCATCTGTGGCTGCATAGGTGGCATCCCTACAAACGGCGGCTGCGGTCCTTGCGGTCCCTGTGGTCCCTGTGGTCCCTGTGGTCCCTGTGGTCCCTGTGGTCCCTGTGGTCCCTGTGGTCCCTGTGGTCCCTGTGGCCCCTGTGGCGGGATCATTCCCATTGGGAATGGAATATTGTTACCTTGGAACTGTGGGTTGGCCGGGATCTGTGGAAATGGTAGCTGTCCACCCGGGCCTGGTTGAGGCATGGGCCCACGTTGAAGATGCTCTGGGGTCCGGTCATTTTGAGGTGGGCGTTGATTTTGCTGGGGTGGTGGCATGCCCCGGGGTGGGAAAGGCAGCTCGATCTGCTGGAGGGGTGGTTGCTGCATTTGCATCTGTGGATGTTGAGGGAATCCCTGCACGGGCCGACCAGGCCAGCCATCTTGTTGGTTTAATTGGCTATGTGGAGGGAGTTGAGGTTGGGGCGGTTGTTGTGCGGCAGCGAGCCTAGCCTGCTTCTTCGCCAATATTTCAGCTTCCACTTCTTCTAAGCTCTTGTACTTTCGAGTAGCTGGTGCAGGTTGTGAAAAATTTGGCTGCGTTGGTGGAGGTTCCTGCAGAGGGTTATCGATATGAAGGTAGTGAACTGCGGCATGAGCGGAGAGGTTCTTGGCTGGGGTAGCTTCTGGGGACGTGGTAGCCCATAATGACATCTCAGGCTTCAGCTCGGGGATCTCCGTGGGAATTTGGTGCTTAGGAGCAGGCTGTAGTTTGGGTTTCGTGGCAGCGGCATAGCTAGGAGCTTTGGGTTGGTGATCTTGGTGATACGAAGGAGGGGCAGTTTGGGTGGGCTTTTTGGGACCACGAGCGTAGAGGAGCTGTTCTTCGTTGATGGCATTGGCGACCTTTGCGGTGGAGCCGAAAAAATCGAAGTCCTTGCCGGGGGCGGCTAATAGGAAAGTTAGAAAGAACGAGATGATATGGGAGATAACAGCGGTTTACCAGCATTGCCTCCTCCAAAGGTCTCATCATTGAATTCATCATCTCCTTCATCGAGTTTATCGCCTAGACCGTCGTAGGTATCCTCAAAGTCGTAGCTAGAGCATTATCGTCACGATTCTCACGGTCAGTTCGAATCCTTTGTATCAAACCCTGCACCTCTCTCCAAGACAATTTTCCGATTCGGACATACCCATCATCGTCAGCCTTTTCGTTTGAGTTCCCTGAAAGGCCAGCGAAGGCGTCAACCTGCTGCGAGAAGCCGGGAGCCTGTGTCGGGTGAGGAGCATGGGCAGCTCGGTCCCTCGGCAGGGTGGTATTGAAGCCGAAGAAAGACATCCGGCAGGGTTAAGGCAGAAAAGGATTGACCTTAACGGCCTGATCGGCAAGAAGTTGTGAGCTCTTTATAGGAGTGTAATGTAGTGCTAGATTGAAGGATGGAGAAGGTTGGAAGCTTGGTGGAAACTATTATGGTGGGATGGATGGGCGGCAGCAGGAGTTTAGCGTGGATGGGAAGGAGGGGGATTTCGGCGAGAGGGTGCCAAGCTACAGGTGGGGAGAGAAAGAGGGAAAAGGAAAGACTAGTGATGATATTGATGACGATATCGATGTAGCAAGTGATAGTGACGAAGCGGATAGAATAGGGAAGAAGGGTGGTTAGGGGAGAGGAGAGGAAAGGAGAGGAAGAGAGAGGTTGGTGATGGTGATGGTGATGGTGAAGATGAAGGTTGGAAGGTGGGATAGAAGATGTGTGCAGCAAGCAGATCGTGGTGGAGTTGAGATTGTTTGGTGTGGGCGAGAAACAGGAAAAAAAATACAAGTTTCGAAACCACCACGAACGTTATAATTACCACCACCAGACCAGACAATTGAGATTGATATTTACAAGCACTACCTCTAATAGCTACTGCTTCACTACTTAAGTATGTCTACATCCCTGGACGTCTTCATTATTACTACTGCCACTATCACTAACGCCTTTTTTTGGGTCTTGTAGATAAAATATAAAAAAGGGTGATCAGATACTGACGTTACCAACATGGCCCGGCCAAGGTTGCATTGGAGGTCGGTTCAATACCAAATAGACGAACATTTGCCCTGAACCTTGCCGAAAAAGTTAACCATTCTCAATTGAATTGCAATTACAATTGCAGTTTCGAGACCCGGGCCATATGCAGATATTGGTCATGGCTATGAGACGATGTGGTTGAAAGATATCGATATATCTGTCCACGAGCAGCCCCTATTAATAATATATTGACATTACATGCGGCATCGATGCTTACACACATATATATTACTACAGATGCACATGCTATTCCTCAAAAGATGTACTGCCGTTCGTCGGTGGAGTTTTAAAAAGCGAAGAAATTCCCGACAATGCAATTGTAGGGCATGCAGGCAGGCAGGCAGGCAGGCAAAGAGCCTATCCATTGATCAACTGCTCAGCTGTATCTACATATGTATGTACACACTGGACAGTATGTACTTATGTCGGTATTGGACTGGATCGGACTGGACTGGACTGCAGCAGGATACATACATGTGCACATACAGACAGACAGACAGACAGACAGACAGACGCCACAGAACGGTGTTTCAACCCTATCAATTGACCGTATCAGATCACATCATACATATCCGCATCCACAAACCCACAAAAAATCCACAACCGAATGCTACATTGTGATACCCACAAGTATTTGATACAGCTAGTCAGGGCTGAAGAAGAAATGGAAAAAGGCGGTTGAATCAAAACGCCGAAAGCGAATGGACAGAGCTAGAGCCAAGGCAAGCCAACAATTTTTTTGCAGAAGCTTGCGACGCCGAACAGGGCTTGTTTGAACATAGGTACACGTCTGGCCGAAACCGTCGAGAAGTATTTATCTACTGGCCATATTTCTCGTGGGTCTCCCTTTTTTTCTTTTCTTTTCTTTTCTTCTCCTTTTCTTTAAAGATCAGACGCGTATTTATTGCTGTAGAAAAGTGGTTGGTATATTTTCTTAGTATAGTATATATGTCCATTGGGTTCTGTTCATCCATCCATTTTACCTTTGGATTTCAATTCATCCATCACTCGACATCCATCAACTCCCGATTGAATTAAAACTCACCGGATATCAGCATAGCTGAAATTATTTATTATCGTCTCCACTTAATTTGAGGGAGAGGTGGCCAAGTCTTCTTAATAAGGACGTGGGCTAGCTATACCGGGTACTAGTTGTCTGTAACATCGGCTGCTTGGCTGCATCCATGTGGTAGTCCCACGCTGTTGCACGATCTGGCTCCTATTTCTGTCTGTTTCTATACAATCTAAACTGAACCCTTCGAGCTTCCTCTCAACCTCCTTAACATCAACATCAACCAATTCCATTCTCCGACCGGATTGTCAGACAAGATATTCTTCACGGGTCGAAGCTCTGGCGCTTCTTCCTCAGCCATCATGCCTGCTACAGCTAACGTCAGAACCTTGAGGTTCATCTTGCTTGCATTCTTCGTATGTTGCCTTATCACCCGTCATCCCCTTTTTGGCGGCTAAACTGCCACCTTAACCTTCCCTTTACCTTGGTTCCGTACACGCATAACCTGCATCAAACACGAGGTTATAACAACTAATCCTATCGTCATCAATTAGTCTATTGCCGTCCTCTACAAAATCTTCACCAGTTCATCCTCAAACTATAGTCCTTCCCTCAACGTTCCGCCCGCCGGTGGAAGCGACATCGGGAAAATCCCACCACAGCTTCCCAAATCAGAGCTCAGCAGTGGCGACACCAAACCCGATTCCGAAGAGGATCAATCTCCATTCTCCCATGGTACTACTCCAAATGCCAAAAACAACTTCCCCCTCACCGGAACTGCTCCCGGAAAGCGCGCAAATGCTACTTTCATCACCCTAGCTCGTAACAGCGACACTTGGGAAATCGCTAAATCTATCCGTCACATCGAGGACAGATTCAACCGTAAATACAACTACGATTGGGTTTTCCTTAACGATCAACCTTTTGATGAGCAGTTCAAAAAAATCACCACCCGTCTTGTCAGCGGAAAGACCAAGTATGGCCTTATTCCAAAAGAACACTGGAGCTTTCCCGAGTGGATTGACCAGGACAAAGCTGCCGCTGTTCGTGAAGACATGGTAAGGACAACGTGATCATAGAAAAGGAGCTCATAATGTCAGTTAGAACCGTAACTAACAAACCATTATTAATACAGAGACAACGAAAAATCATCTATGGTGATTCCGTCTCCTACCGCCATATGTGTCGATTCGAATCCGGATTCTTCTTTGAACACGAGCTTCTCGCCGATTACGAGTTCTACTGGCGTGTAGAACCCTCAATCAAGCTCTTCTGCGATGTCGACTACGATCCATTCCTCTACATGAAAGAAAACAAGAAGAAGTACGGCTTTACCCTTAGTTTGTACGAATACAAGGACACTATCCCAACACTCTGGGAAACCACCAAGAAGTTCATGGCCGAATACCCCCATCATATTGTTGAAGGCAACAGCATGAAATTCATCTCTGATAACGATGGAAAGGATTATAACAACTGCCATTTCGTGAGTCAATTTCTTCCGTCATATTTCTCTAGCCTTATAAGGCAAGGCCTCTGAAGCTAATTTTTTGTAGTGGAGTAACTTTGAAATCGGCTCGCTTAACTGGCTCAGGTCGCCTGCTTACAGGGACTACTTCAAGTATCTCGATAGGGCCGGCGGTTTCTTCTACGAGAGATGGGGTGATGCTCCGGTCCATTCTCTCGGTGCGGCTCTCATGCTTAAGCAAGAAGAAATCCACTTTTTCGACAACATTGCGTATGTTACCCGTCTTCCTCTTCCCTACCCTAGTACCAGGAATACGTAAAACTAATCGACCGATTAATAGCTACTGGCATGTCCCGTTTACCCACTGCCCCACGAGTGAGGAAGATCGCGAAAAATACAAGTGCAGCTGCAATCCCAAGGACAACTTCGACTGGAAGGGATATTCGTGTACCTCCCGATTCTTTGAGATGAGAGGATGGGAAAAGCCAAAGGGGTGGGAGTATCAGATGAACTAAAAGTTGTGTCTCAGAACGTCTTTTCTTTTCTTTTTTTACCAAAATCCTTCCTACCTTTTTGTAGTCCTTTTTCTTCCTTTCTCCCTGCTTTTTCTTGGGAACCTTCTCTTCGATGACCGAATAACGTATACCAGAAGGAATGAGATATTAGTAAGTAGTAGTTATAGTGGTCATAATTGGCGTTTTCATCTTTTACTCTTTCTTCTTCTGGGTTCTTTTAAATAAGGGAAAAGGGAACGTGATTGTCATTGCTTATCTAGAAACTACCGGCTGATTTACGGGAGGGAATTCAATATGATTGTTTATTTAGCAGTATTTCCTGATATTTCAACAGCATAGCCGTGTACAGTGCAGGTCGAAGCACTTCTTTAAGTCAGTAAATAGTAGATTCGAGGCTAACTAAATAGTTGAAATTGAACCCCGAATACCCAAGTGTACCCGAACACTGCACTCGGGGCCATATAAATACGGAAAGGGTAAATTCCAACCTCACCGGAGTCATCCCGCCTGAGAATGAGACCAATCCCACGCACCCGCCTAGACTTGGCTAAGTATACAACACTCCAAAACGGTGATAACAAATCGGAGCGGGGCACATAAGACTCACTACCTTATATATCCCTGGTATCAGCTCTGGCAAGCATGGGAGCTTCAGCTCGGCCTGATCAAGCAATTTGTTTATAAAGCGGGCATGTTCACCTTTACATGAGATGAACTTCTTGTTGACTAGAGTAATTTACTCCGTTTTCACAGCTTCTATTCGGACACGCGGAAAGCCGTGAATTTAAGCAGTCTCTTAACCAGACATTGTTATCCCCAATCACACCAATCGAGAGCGTACCATCTTTCCCAAAATGGCTGCACAAAATCCAACAGATGCAACCCGGACACCCTTTTACACGCTACCCAACGAAATTCTAGTCCAAATCTTCAGTAACAAATCTTTATCAAACAAAGATCTTACAAACGCCCAGTTAACATGCAGGCTCTTCAAGGATAATATCCAATCTTTCATTACTTCTAATCGACACTATATCTTTAGAGTTGATGAGGTCTCACAGCCAACCTGGAAGCTCATCCGTTATTTGATAAATAACCCGGAGTTAAACTCAGGCCACCAAATCGTCTCAATTACGGTGGAATGGCACCGAAGGGTCGCAAAGTCGGAAGATACTTGGACAAAACCTTGGTTTTGGATAGCTGCCGATGAATCAAAACTCGAATCCCTCTTCTATAAGTACCGATTAACCGACAATACTCGATCAAACATTTTACACCATGGCAGAAATTCGGAGTCCTTACTGCCCCTGTTATTATATTTTACACCGAATTTAAAAATTTTGGATCTTGGGAACATAGATGGACGTATTGTTGATGGTACTAGAGCAGAATGCACCTCGAGTTTTGACGTCCTTAGATCCTACTGGGATAGATCTCCTGACCGAGCATATCGCGACGAGCCAGGAACACTCGAAAGCGATGGAACGTTGTTTTTCTTCGACAACCTCGAATGTTCGGATTCCCTACCAGCCCTGAGAGGTCTTAAATATTTCAGCATGAAATGTCGAGATGAAACTAGTAATCGTCACTCTGAAATGACTCTCCCACCCATTCTGGGACTACCTAGTATTGAAAGTATTCAAGCTTCGTTTACCACAAGTGGCAGCCGGAACATATCTGGATACGGCCCTAACTACGATTTCGGTGCCAAAAGCACGTCGAGTGTCAAATTCCTGGAGCTCAGCGTATCCGGTACCGGCGGCCATTCTCAAGAATACTTTTTTTCGCTCGCAAAATTAACCGGCAATCTCTCTCACGTCAACATAAGCAGAAAATACAAGGCTGGCGAAATTACGAGGACGTTAGAAGGTGACGAGGAAATCGCAAGAACTTTCCTTCAATACAACAGGACCACACTTCAGTCGTCTAAGATATTTATCAATGGTGGAGGTTTCAATGACGATGGGAAATATGCCGGAGATGCGAAAAGACGTAAAATGGTCTTTGAGAAGCAAAGATTATTCGAACTAACCCGCTGCCGTGGTCCGAGTTCACACCCGCCTTCACCATTTATCGCTCTGAAACCGCTCCTTCTTTCACATATAATACCTCATCTCAGCCGAGCCGACATCTATAACCTCATGTTATCATGCAAGGTCTTAAAAGATATTTGCCAACGGAACCTTTGGTCCATTTTTCTATTTCCTAAAGCCGAGGATATAAAGACCCGTCCATTAAAAGAGCGATGCCTCAACGTCAATAATTGGGCGGAATTGGAAAAAACAATCGAAAAATATGGAATAAAGGACATCGAAAATCTTGAAACCCTTGGTGTTGGTGACGAGGTTTTCGTCCCCAGTGACGGAGGCATTTATGACACAAGAGTCAACAAAAAGCGGGTGTTTACCATTTTCTCGGATCAACTTCGAAACGGCAGTACCCCGAACCTCAAGTTGGTCAGTATCCAACTGGGCTGTTATGGTGGACAGTGTAGTCCTTTCCATCCGCTCTTCGATACGTCGAGTTTTCCTTCCATGTTTGGAGGGTTCGGATTCTCTTCCAGGCCCCCTTCCACAATGCCATCTGAAAACGCCTCTGAAAACGCTTGCAAGGATTTTTTGACGCTGATAAAAAACTATTCTGAACCACTTCCTCCCTCAAAATTCTCACTTCACCTTACAATCAATATCCAGAGCCATTACAACAGCGAAGCCCTCCTAGCGTACTGCGATCTTACAAAACTAACAAAGCTCCAGTTAATCGGCAAAGGTTGCAGAAATCTGACAGATGCTACTCTACAGCTCGATAGACTAGTAGAAATCCTTTCAATAGTGTCCTCAGTACCAAACCAACAACTAAAAGGCTTGGAAATTGATGCGTTCGGATATAAAGATAATGAAGATGCCGAGCCATCGGAATATTGGGAAGGCCTACAAGAAAAGCTTGAGGTTTTGCAGGGTTTGGTCTTTAGATTAACGAAGTTAAGGAGATTGAAGGTGGAGGGCTCTATCTTCGATCCATCATTTATCCTCCTCCCACCACCCAACGTTAAGAGTCTATCCTACAGCGGTAGAAACACGCCCCCGATATGGTGGGAAACATTCTCGAAATACCCATTTACGGGACTGGAATATCTGACTCTGATATTCAAATATTGGACTTCAAACGTCAAACTCCCCGCCCTAAAAAATATCCAATTATCCAGTTTGAGGGAAATAACAATCAATGACGATGCTTATGACAAATATTCCGGATCTCATCCACCGGGGTTCATAAATCTCATTGTCAACACTAACCCCGGTTTATCACCCCGTTGCCTCCAGGCCATTGCGGATAAAAAAGCCGATAGGTGCAATTATTACATGTCTTGGAGGATCCCAAAGATTATAGAGTTGTGTGGTGGGGAATTGGAAGGGATGCTTAAGGCCGCGGTGGCGGGGTATGCGAAGAAATTGATTGATGAAGTAACGGTGGAGAAGAAAGGGGTGTTGAACGAAAGGTTTGATGAGGAGGTGGAGGATGAGGTGGCTGGATTGGTGGCTGAAGAATTTGAGAAAGTGATGGTTGGGATTTTTGCGGAGAAGTGTAAGGAGATTATTAGGGGTGGGTTGCAATGGAGCGATTGAGGAAGGAGCGGCGGGAGTTATAATATATTTGCCTTTGGCTTGGTCCAATTTTTTCTTTTCACACGTAGACATGTATAGCTGAGAACATATGTGATATGGAACTGTCTGGTTTCGCTTGGACGTTGCCAGATAGCACGAAGTCCAGAACTTTCTAACTATAATAACTAATTGAGGAGACCGCGGTTGTATCGATTAATTCCTCCTCCCTGGGTAACTATAGCTATAAAACCCAAGGCCAGGATCCTTTTCCGCGACGGAAAAGCTCAAAAGATCCTAATAATTCTTGGCAGCGTACTCCAAGTGGGCCGATCCCGACACTAGTTCATATTGGAACTAGTCTTCGGCTAGCCAACGACATTGCATTCCAATTGAACCAGCAAGTGGTTTTTTGTTGAAGTTTGAAGAACTTATCTCTAGAAAAACATCAAGATCTGGAAACGGTTCTATTCCATTAAGTCCCTTTCAAAATTAGATCGGTGATCGTGACTTCATCTCTCTTCTCTGCCCTACTGGTCTGTCGTAAGTTTTCTACCGTTTGGGCTCCGGCCAAAAACTAGCCCTCCACCGTCAACATTTCGTCCCAATACGTCTTACCTAGCATCTTATCTCGTACCCAGACCTAGAAGGCTAACACTTGGAAAAAGATGACTTTTCTTTCTCCTCATCGACGGGTGTTGATCACAAATTTGAAGCAGAGGGGTCTCGTTGAAGCAAAGATAGAATTGTTTGGCCAAGAAAAGTGTTGTAATTGTTGGATTTTGTTTGGAGAATATGTTCAGGTTTGGTTACGAGACTGGGTTCAGGTCGAGAGATCAGAACGTTTATAGATTTTATAAACTTTTGGATGGAGATATCATATAGTTTAATTAATATATGTAATGAATTGATCATGCATGTTACCAGTATTATATTAGTACATCTGCTTAATTATAAATCTAGTCTCGTTCCCAGACGTCACAAAGGGCAACACTTTGTTTGGCTTAAGCTTAAATCCTTCGTGATGCATGAAGTAATTGAATTGCGCATCGATGCTGTGGGAGGACAGGAGGTATTAAGTTACAATGTTTCGTAAACCAAATGCTATAGAACTAAGCGAGTACTCGAGTTTCTCGATAATGAGTATTCATACAAAAAAATATTCAATGCAACAGTAGTTATGTGTGTGCATAAGTAGGTATATACCTACATGGTTCTAGATTTTAAAATACCCCCAAAGTAAACAGACTCCAAGATCAATATCTTCCAAGACTAAATATATCCCCTGGCAAGATTCATCATTTCAAACAGAATCACCACCACTCCCAGTCCAACTTCTGCCTTTTTTGTGATATACCCAACGAGGGTACCACAAACTAGGGAAGCCGCTATACCGAAAAGAATCCAACAGAGCATCTTGCGTTGGTTTATAACCAGAGCCATGATGAAAGTGTAGCGAGTCCTCGATTGTGGAGCCATATCGTGAATGTACATCTGATGCATGCCCCAAAGGTCGATAGCATCAGGGAATGTTATTTGTCCTCGAAAGGCTGCTGTCAAGTGCGGACACTCTTCGGAATCGACGATTCGGACCGGCAGGTTGTCAAGAGGATAAGAAGCATTCGCTCCCATACCAAGAACCTAGTCGATATCATAAATTTGAATAAACAAGATCACGTGATGATATATAAGGAGGAAGATAGTCTTTTTTGTACATACCTCGACCTCTCCAACAGATAGAGTAACATCGTATAGGAGATGAGCGAATATATAACTCTGATATAGTGTTTCCTCAAATAGCATCATGGTTTGCTCTGAGGTCGCGGTTTCTGGGAGGGTGCTGCTAAAGAGGCGGTTTTGACCCCGAGAAACGACTGTGATATCGCATGTAAGGTTGTGAATTGAAGCCATGGAATTATTTGACAAGTTGAAATAAGCTTAACAGAGCTGAGTCCGTTCGCTTTTCACCAAAAAAAATCAAGAAGAGAGGAACACCAATTTAGTAGCTAGCTGGGGAATATTTCATTGAAAGAATATATATTAAAGAGGGTAATGTATTTTATTTTTTGGCACGGGTTGGAAGGGACTGGGTCTTATAAACTGTTCTCACACCTAAGCGACACGAAGCAAACGTAATGTGGGATGACCATATGCATGGCGAGGCATGAGCGGAGAAAAGTGGACTTTCAAATAAAACTACGGCCGTGGGTGTGCATATTGTACGGTAACAATTTTACTGCATCCAAAAAAAAAAAAAGGAACTTTCAAAGGAAGTAACCATTCCAAGACAGTTACCGACACCCGGAAATGTTGAAAGTTGTGTTTCGAGTATTTCCATGAGAGTTCGGGCTGTCAGAGTTAAACTATGGCCCGCCGCTTGAAAACTTCGCGATCTGCACAGGGACGTACCTTCTCAGGGTATTAATTTTGGCTAGGGGAGGTACTAGATATCAACATGGCATTTATATATCGTCTGTTGGTATTATTCGAATGAACTCCCTGGATTTCTTATGGAAGCATCAATCGATCTAGAGCTTCTCCTAGGATATAAAACTGCCAACTCGAATCGAATCCGGATCTGCTTCGGTTCAGTATGCTGATGGTATCATGCATAATGCCTCTCCCACATTCAACACAGAGCCTCGCTGCGTTTGATGATGATCGGAACCGCACTGACATTTCTGTACTTTCAGCTTGGTGTCCCAGACGCCGCTCAGCTCAGCCAATGTTATCTTTGGCGTAGCCTCGAGACCGGGCGCAGGGGGAGCTAAGGGTAGGGTCTCTGGTGCAATTGGCCTGGTGGTTGTTGTGTATGTACCCTGGAGGGAAACTGGACTTTCACCCCCAGTCTACGGAATATGTACTTTCACTAGTCTGGGGTTTCTATTGGACTGAGTGCAAGACGGGAGTTCAGGGGACTATTAAGTGTAAGGAAAAGCAAAACTGTACTTTCATCTATCGCTCCATTCGGCCACCCACATCAATATGTGACAACCGAATAGATCGAAGCTCCCCATGGAAGAAACGGCGGCGGTGAGCATAAATTACGAGCGATTCATCTGCCAGCTTCCCATTTCATTAATTATTATTCTTCAAACCCACAATTCTATCAAATTCTAGATTTCTTCATTCGAACTCAAAGAAATTTATGCTGAACATTTGCTAGCTAGCTTGCTTAGCTTAGCAAATGTTATAACAAGGCTGAATTTCTACTCCAAAATATATCACATTCTTCAACACATCCTGAAGATTGTATCCATTCAATCAAATACACTACACAACCACGACCCACACCTGCTAGGCTGCACCGCTACCATTACGTTAAAATCAAGAGAAGAAGGAAAATGACATATGACTGGAAAAAGCATAAAGAAACTCTCCGTGATCTCTACAAGTCTAGAAAGACCTACCATGAGATTCGAGAGTATATGATTCTCAATCATGGCTTCAAAGCTAGGTTGGTAACATGTCCCTCTCCATATTCACGCATTGCGCATCAATCGATCAAGACGTGGTCGTGTTACCCAAGAGAATACTAACGGGTTAAAAAAAAAAAAACTTAGTATAAATGCGTATAAAGATATGCTTAAAAAGCAATGGGGATGGGATAAGTATATTCGGTACGTGTGGCAGTACACCTGTTCTATGCCGGACTAAAAAGGAGTTCGAACGCTAATGTAATCTCCGTAACAGCGGCACGGTTGCTGGCCATAATATCGTAAAACGAAAGAGCCGCCCCAAGCGACAGACGCTAGAACTCGGTCAGAATAGCGTCCCGGGGAGGCTACGAGAAGATCCTCTACCTAGCTTCCAAGGGCAGCATAACGGAGGGCAAGAGAACACGAGTTCCTCCAGTCAGCCTTTTCAAAACATGGCAGACACTCAAGCGGCCCGGAATACAGAATCTCCGCCTTTAGAATCCAACGATATAATCGATGAGCGTACATGGCCTTACATTGAAGGCAGCCCACAGTGGTGGAGAGAGGGAAAAATTGATCCCTATGATGGGCATGTTACCTCCAGATGGAATTATTTAGGATGCTTTTTGCTGTCACCAACTAGCTCGGGCACCGTTTGCAATTGCCCGAATTTTTCTAGCCCCTGGAATCGCTTTCGATACTTTAGTCTCCCCGAAAAGCTGCGGCTCCTTAAAACCTTTAGCATTATGAGCTGTATGGGAGAATACCATAGGACTGGGTATGGGAAAGATATGCTGCGGGTCCTATACACTGTACTCGGCACAATAGAGGTATACTATGGACAATATAGTGTGGACACAGACAGTTTTGGCAAAGGGATGAGGTGGAGTTTGGACCTCATCAGAAGAACTCAGCGCCGCGTTGAGCGAATGGGCCAATTAGTTTTAAGGTACCCAGCAAGATACCCCCTGGATATCATTCGTTTAGGGCATTTGTCCTTAACACTGGTCTTACCCACTTTGACATTTATATTTCGTGGGGAAGAGTTCATCGCCTTGATCGAAAAGACAGCCTCACTGTTTTGGTGTATGCTTCGTGTGGTGGGGGAAGGGTGGAGATCATCTCTCCGCCAGCAGGCACTAGAAGGGGGTATTGGGGGGCACGATCATCTAAATAGTCTGCTTGATGAAATAGGCCAACCTCAAGGTGGATCGTTTGCTTTACATTGGGACCGATATATATCCCTTGTTCTCCAAACTAATCTTGGACTATACGAAAACCAAAGAACTGACGAACTGCGACAAAGTCAGACCGCCTTTAACCTTAGGCAACTCGGGACCGAAATTCTATCCGGGCAGGTTCCATTCGGGAAACTACACCTGCTTGTTGAAACTAGTGCCCATCTATTCGAATTGGGTACAGGACAAAGCCCCAGTTGTTCAATAAGCTTGGATGCCTTTGTTAAGCTCTGGCCAAAAGATCTACAGCTCGAGGAACCACAATCAAACCCTCTCGAGTTGAAGATACCGTTACGAAGAAGCCCTGGCGGCAAGCCTGGGGCACGAGCATTGGTAACCACGAAATTTGCGGAAACAACAAAGCTGCTCGCCGGCAGCTGCCAAAAAAGAGGTGATCCACAAATCGCCGTCGATATATACTACGTGTTTCATCGAATACTAGTTGATGTCGATACGGATTTGTATATCTACGCTCTCCAGACTGGACCCACGAGTACCATTTTATCTAGCATTTCTATGCTCCTAATTGAGGGAAATATGCGAGGTGAGGAGGTAGGTTTTTGGGGAACGCATTTCGATATTGTTATGGGCCTCCATAGCCCCACCTGGTGGTTTCGTGGATTTAGCCAGCGTGAAACTAAGAGAGATTTCATTACCGCCTTTTCAATACTTTTCAAATTATCGACTCAAGATCCTAGAATAAATAGGCACCAAGAAGACAACAATCGGCTTAGGAAACGGTTGACTGAAACCTGGGATTGTAGAGTCCTAGAAATACCTTGGCCATGGTACCACGAGAGTTCATTAGGATTAAATCACCATAACTTTCTAAGTCCAAACGATCTAGTGCTGTGAGGACACTCGGCAAAAAAGCTACCGGATTTCTTAGGTTTTATGTACATAGACTTTCTACTAAGCACGATAGTTGGTATTTACAATCGAAACTAGTCCGTCTTGGTCTTCTTTGTTCCATACTTCGACCTCGAAGTCGCACGATTCGGTACACCACCCTATAAACCCATTAGTATTTCTCCCATAAAACCAAAATCCCCTCCCCAAAGGAAGAACTTACCAAATCATAAGCACCTCTAACCAAATGATACCTCACACCAGGACAATCCTGACTTCTCCCACCTCTAACCATAACCACCGAATGTGTCTGAATATTATGCCCCTCACCAGGAATATACGCCGTAATCACATTGCCCGAAGACAATTTAACTCTTGCAATCTTTCTTTCTCCTGAATTTGGTTTCTTTGGCTTGACGATACCGACACGCAGACAGACTCCTTTCATCGATGGACGGTTTGTGAGTTGTGGAGAGACGGGTTTTCGGTTATAGTCCTTTTTCTTCTTACGACAGCCTCGGAGGACTTGGGAGAAGGTGGCGGAGAGGGGTGGGGTGGTTGTGAATTGTCGGAGAGGGGTGGTTGTAGTCGTAGTTGTTGTGGGGAGAGCGAGACGGGAGGGGAGGGATTGGAGAATCGATGAAGGACGGAGAAAGGAGGTTAATTGACGGGAAAGGAAATGGAGAGTTTTCCGGGTAATCATCGTGATAGTAATTTCCCTGTCGTCGTGACAGTGACGATGAAGCTGGTAGATAGATGGTCGTAGAGGTGAGGTGAGGTTGTTGGAAAAAGAGAGATGAGGTTGGAATTGAAGAAACCAGAATAAGATGTCGTAACAGGAACAAGCGAAAAATTCCGACCCGGAACCCTCTTTCTCTTTTCCCTCGTCAACAATGTAATGTACCGACCACCACCATGCCACCGCCACGATTACCCCTCCTCCTAACATGCCTCTTCCACCCTCCCCCTCCTACCGTCTCCTCCTCCCAAACCGCCACTCGTTCGTTCTTCTGCCTATCAGCAGCCAAATCGTTTAAACCCCCAATTACCGCCATCCGACAATTCACCACCACTCCTTCCCGGAATGAAGCGAATACTCAATCGGAGTTACCGTCGGAGAAGGAATCGAAACGGTTAACCATCGTTAAGAATCTGACGAGTCGATTGGATCATCTTCAGGCTGCGATATTTACGGCTGGTCAGAAGATCAATGATTTGACCGGTTATTCTGGAATTGAAACGTTGAAGAAGGATATTGAGTTACAGGGTAGTTATTACATCTGATGTCCGTTCCTCGCTGAAAAAAAATAAGATGGAGAAAGTGAATGGAGTAGAAGATGTTATAAGGGTTAGATGCATGGTGCCTTTTGGACTACAGAGGCTAATAATATCTCTGGGATGTTAGAACACAGACTATCGACCGCAAAATTCCTAGTTGTCGAAGCTAAAGCCGCCTACAAAGCCGCCATTGCCCGTCGTTCCGCCTCTCAAAAGGAAGTAAACGAACTCCTCACCCGTAAAAACACCTGGTCACCCACAGACCTTGAACGATTCACCGAACTGTACCGTTCCGACCATGCAAACGAACAAGCCGAAATCCAAGCCCAAAACAAACTCACCGAAGTCGAAAAGGAAGTTGAAAATGCTAGTAGTTTACTATCGAAAAGTATTTTGACGAGATACCATGAGGAACAAGTTTGGAGCGATAAGATTCGACGGGCAAGCACCTGGGGTACTTGGATGTTGATGGGGATTAACGTGGTGTTGTTTGTGATTGTGCAGGTCGGCTTGGAACCTTGGAAGAGGAAGAGGTTGGTGAAAAGCTTTGAGGATAAAGTTAGAGGAATGTTGAAGGAGGACAGGGAGGTTGCTACTGCTGCCGCTGCTACCGTTGCTGCTACTGCTGCTATGGCGAGTGAGGCTGTCGCTGTGGGAGACGAGGTTGTTGAGGTTGTGAAAGAAGAAGACGATGAAGTTAAGAAGATTATCGAAGAGGCACCAGTTGAAGTTCCAGTCGAGGTACTAGAAGAAACGATTGAAGGGGAGACGACGGAGACAATACCGGTGGAAGAAGAGGGAGAAGCGACAACAGTTGAAGCTGAGGCTACTGCCGCCGGTGAGGGAATTTATGAAAAAGAGAATGAAGACGAGGGGAATGATATAGGAGTTCTGGACCTTATTATGTCCCGATTGAACGAATACTTTGCAGAAACCAAGATATCTGTGCCGCAGATAGACGTGACGTTGTGGGTGATCGAGGGGTTTGTGGTGGGGGCGATAAGCTCGATAATGATACTCATGGTGGTCACACTTGCGAGCGAGTAAGCTACATCAACAGCTATCGCGCACATGGACCAGACCAGACCAAACAAAACAAAACAAAACAAAACAAAAACAGAAAAAACAAAATCTCTTGGGGGGGGGCCTGTTTATAGGAATGATATTGGACCGGCGCGGAGACATCTTTTTACATATTTTCTCATATTTTATATTTTGTACATTTTGCATGTGCATGGCATTGCATACCAGCGGCAGATTCATACAAATTTTTTAACATTCTGGACTTGTAATTAATTGCGATAGACGAAAAGGAAAAAAAAGGGACAACTGAACTAGAAGCCTGGAGTGGGTTTGTACATACATACGGGCATACTGACATATATTTTGTATATGATATCAAGCCAGGCATCGACAAGAGGACGTAATTGTAAAGGTGGGCCTGGAGGATTCCAAAGAGTCATGGAACGGACCCATACGAGTACCTAGGTACTTACATATGCTGACCGCGGGCTTGTACCTACCTCTGACATATGCATGGAACTTACTTACTTGACATCAGATCTGTCAGCATTTGAGTCTGCATGAGATTATTATATATTCTAATTATCTATGGCGCTATCTGCTGATATGATTTTATCAGTCAGGCCGGTAAGTAAGTAAGAGTATTTAACATAAAAAGTATTAATACCGACCATATTTGAAATCCGACGAGCTCGAGATATTTTATATCTATTGCATGTATGCACCATTGCAATTGCGTCCAAGGTATTTACCTAGCTGATCAGAGCGGAATAGTGTAGTTCGTCTCCACGAGATTTCCCGTATTCGTTTCAGCCGCTATTCACGTTTCCATGTCCATGCATGAGAATGCATCGGAGAAGCCAAGCCAAGCGCTGAACGTGAACTGAAGCATGCCGCCCGAATATTAATCCATTCGGATAGAAGTATATAAGTTAACTGGATTCTGCTATTTATTCCGGCCGGTGTTCTACTGACGGCTGAACTGAATTAATGCTGTTGATGCCCTTCGTGACGTCTAGAATCATGAGGGTACTTATACATAGTACACTATTAGTTACTACTGTAGCATTCGCATAGCTTTCTTTAGCACCGGCTGATTACAATCGCCCAAATCCCGCCACTTTCCTTCCCTCCATCTGCATCATCCCCATCATATCGTATCGTATCGTATAGTATCATTATTTCTACTATCATTCGCCGAGGATTCAAGCTTATAAGACTCATTCGCACCTTAACCTTCCTCTCTTCTAGGATCTTGGGATTATCAGCTTCCCTCGAGACTACTTCCTAGATATCATTTCCAGCCGCGGCTCCCTTTTCTGCCCCGCATTCTTCTCTTCCTTCCTTCTCATAAGCTTTTTTAAGCTATTCGATTCGTCTCGTTCGATTAAACAAAGCAAATAATAATAATAGTACACACCTCCGTCTGGCCTGCTTAGCTTACTTGACTCCGACGAGAGCACCATCCATCCCAGAGAGTACAATCCTTCTCAACAATAGAAAATTCGGGAAAGTGAACAAAGGACATTTGAATACCCGCCCGTTTCAGGAACCAGGCACCATCGATAACGAAGGGAGCAAAAAAAAAATAAAAAATAAAAAAAAAGCGGGGGAACGGCTGTTATTGATTTCCCGCCTTATTTCCCTCTCCGGGCGTCAGGGACCCTAAAGAGGTGGGAGGAGGGGGACTCTTTCTTCTTCTTCTTCGTCCTAGCTACTGCTATTGTCGCTGGTTCTCGGACCTGCCCTTCTGGCCTTGCGATTTACCATACGGTTTACACTTTGCAGTTTACAGCTTACAGCTTACAGCCTCCCAACTTTTCGACCGAAAGAGAAAACCGGACCTGATCGATCTCGTCGTACAAGACCGTATTCACTAGTTACCCGATCAATCCAATCCAATCCAATCTACTACCAACCACTCCGACCACATAATTTTGGGGGTTCTCTTGTTTTTTCTGCTCTTTTGTTCACGGCTGCGTGCTATCAGCACCTGGGCCGGATAGCCAGGCGAGGCTCTGCATTCTGGGGGAGTGAGAGTGAGAGCGAGAGTCAGAAAAAGAAGGAGAAAGATAAAGAGTGAGCGACAGTCGAGAGTTAAACGGCGGCTTCCTCCCCTAAAATACACGTGCGATGACGACGGCGCGGGTGAGAGTGAGTGGTCCGCCGAATAGCAACTTCCTGGTTGGATATCCAGGCATCTCGGCCACATTGGTATGCACGTTTCCCCCACCACCACCACCTCATTTTAACCTTAAAAGCATCTCAGACAAAAATGTCGCATGGCTTTTAAAAGGATAAAAATAAGAAAAATAAAAATAATCGAACCACTTAAACTGACGACATCGTTGGAAATTAAAAATAGCCGCGAATAGAAGGCAAAGTCGAAATCCGCCCCGCCCTAGGTCACAGCGCTCCCTTCCATATCTCCTACGTCTCCATAGGCCTCTACCGCCGCGAAACTGTCCACCCGCACGCCGATACCAAAATCGTAAACCACCTCGCTGCTCCTCGCAAAGAATGGACCGACCTTGTTGGCAAAGAGCTCATGCTCTACCGGTGTCACCCTGGCGTTTCACACGAAGAAATACTGTACATGGATCTACCTTTCGTCCTATTCATCCCCTTCAACAGACCTGGTTACGATGCTGTACGATTACCACCTGCGACGATATCACTTCCCAGCCGGACCTTAGAAACATTCTATGAGCTTGTCGTATCTTTACATCAAGGAAATCAGAATAATAGCGAGATGAAGCGGTTCGCGTTCCCTGTACCCCTCTGCAGGTATGACAGTCTATCGACATTCGGAATGTACAACGTACAGGAAGTACAAGAGAAAACAACAGACCACCTCGTAAATCTCGGTATCAAACTTCCACGATGGAGTTACGGCCCCGGCGATACAGTGCAGATTAATATTTATGTCTCCCCAAATCCGGACTGGTCGAAAGCGAAGCGAGTATCGATTCGAAATATTTCGGTGGTGATTGAAGAGGCTATCACGTTTAATCCGGAGGGCGACGAACCGAAGACCGTGATCAATAAGATACAGCGACAGACGCTGAATGTACAACGAAAATTACCGGCTGAGGGGTTTCAGACACATTGTGCGCTGTTATTCCCGAGAAAGGAGGCGAGAGATAATGATGGGTGTCTACCACGACAAAAGCAAGGGTTTCCATTATACCATGTTTCCGGGTTCACGACTACGGCGTACCTTTATAAGATTGAATATTTTTTGACTGTCAAGGTTAGTAACTCCGTCTCAAGCTCTGGAATTGTTTATTCGTTTTTCTCTCTCTCTAACTTTTTGGGTGTTCAGGCGACATTTAGTGCAGCGAGAGATATCACATTAAGACAGAGGATAGTGGTTTGTCCACTGGACCATGAAAGCTGCAAAGAAGAGATGGATGCGATAGAACAGGCGGCGAATGATGCGAAATACGTGAACCCAGATAACCCGATGCTGCCCTCGCCGGTGATTATCAGACCGAAGGACCGAAATGCATTACATAAGCTGGGGATGACTTATGTGGGGACGGATAGGAAGCTGTTGATTGAGTAGGAGTAGCGTGAGGGGCATTTATTTGTTTTTATGGCGATGCGAGGGGTTTTTTCTTATCAAAAGAATCATGGAGGGGTCGGAGAGGGCATTGTTTTTTTATCATTTACACCGTAACGAGCGATGTGGCTAGGCCTGCATATTCGCTTGTGTTTTTTTCTGCTATGCCCAAAACATGACCGGACCATTCGCATTCACATTTTACATCTCTTTTGTTTTTCTTTTTCGACGGACATTTGCAAACTAACTAACTGTATATTGGAAACGGTTCACACTTTATGGCTTTCCTTTGATTTTCCTTTCTGTTGTTTTCCCCCTTTTTTTGTTATTGGCGTTGGAGTATTTAGCCACCGACGTCGTATGTTTTTGTTCTCACTCTTCCTCCTCCTCTTCTACCCTGACCCCATATGCATCTTTTACTGGCATACACTTACTTCTTCATCTTCTTTCTCATCATCATCATCATACCTATCATACCTCATCCTGCCAGGGAATTTTAATGACAACGATCGATTCAAGAACAAGTACTGATACCATTGAGACCAAGTTTCCATTTCCACATAGAAGGTCGTTTTGTGTCTCTCTTATGTTTTCATAATTTTCTTTAACTTCCTTCTCGGTATCATATCCCGGGGCGTATACTGAGTTGATAGCACCGAGTATCGGGGTTTCTTTCTATTAATTCTAGATATTTCCTTTTTATATACCCCTTTAAATCCTGCTTCGAGGAGTACATATAAGTATCTACCATACCATCAATACTGACGAATAATATCATCCTTCTGCGACTCCCTCCTTCCAATAAACAACTTTCTATTGCGCACTGCATCTTCAGGTGATATTACATTCCCCTGTGTATATTCCAATATCTGCTGGAAGATTTCTTCGGGGAGTAAAGTACCTATTTTTGATTTTCGAAGGAGGTCGGAATGGAGGTATTGGGATTGTTGTTGCGGTGGGATTGTGGTTGTTGAAGGTGGGGGGAATGGGTTGAGGGGGTCGAGGAGGTGGAAGAGGAGGAGGGTGGAGGGGTGGGAGTTGGTGGAGAGCTGGTATTCGTAGGTGTTTGGGAAGGCGAAGGCGGTGTTTTGCTGTGAGAAGTAAACAGTACTAGTAAGTATCTGCCTACCAGGAAATTCAGTGGAATTACCCAGTTACCTTTATGAATATGGGCTCGGAGACAAGAGTGTTGGTAAGTTGTGTATCGTGGCTTGGAATTGGAGGTCTTCGGCGGAGGCGGATGCTTGGAGGTATGCTTGGAGAGGTGATGGTGGTGGTGCAATTGTAGATTACTGTTGCTGTTACGAGTTCGTTCTATATAATACACCTCACATGATTATATATTATTACCATACTATTTGTATCATCTGAGAGAAATGAACTTACGGCAGCACCATCGAAATGCCAGTCAAGGCACCTTGTATCGTCATGTCCAATATAGCTATCACCCTCACCCTCGCCGGAGGCTTCGGCTTCAATATTGACCAATCTCGTCACTACTTTAGCAACTTTCCCTTCAAGTCTATAATGTTCCAAAATCTCAGGTCGAGTCCACATCCACCTATTTGCCAATTCCCTTCTTTTCCCCTCATACGACCCCGGTGGATGCCATCCTTCCGCCCACGGTGCACGGAGTAATTCCGCCAGTACGTGGTTAAACAAAGGAACAACCTTCGTAAAGATTTCCTCGAATATCGGGTGGAATAGCTCTGCTTGGCCGGGAAGGGTGAGGTTGTTGATGTAGGATAGGATATTTGTTTTTCCATCAAGCGTGATTTGGAAGTCAGTGGGGAGCCAGCAGGAACCACCGTCTGTTGGGCAGGAGCAATATGGGGGTAAATCTGGAGTTCGGACTAGCTGGAAAGGTGAGGGATGTAGAGACGAGGAGAAGGAGGAGAAGGAGGAGAAGGGGGAAGAGGAGAGGGTTTGGTGGTAAATTATTGGGTACATGAAGGGATCGAGGAGATCAATGGCTTTGGAATGGGGTATGAGCAGACCCCATCCTCGGGTTTCGTAAGGTGTATTTTTGAGGATTGTTACGGCTGTTATTCAATCGATCCGTTTAGTATAGTCGATATGTATAATAGGTATAGATATACTCATGCTCAATCAAGTGCTTAGGTATTATACTCTATAAGATGGGTATAAAACTCACCATCAATCAAAGCCTTCCTCGTTTCCTGATCCAAAACGTCATCTTTTTTCCATACCGAAACTGCCGCCGGATCAGGTTCAATAGACACCCCTTCCTCTCTCAACTGTAAAATATACTCTTTATACCCCATTAAAACCTCATACACATCTTCCACCGGCATCCACACAGGTTCATTTTCCTTTCTTCTCCTTTCTTCTTCTGCCTTTTCTCTCTCATCTGTACCATATGCCGTTATTAAAGCCTCTATTTCTTGGTCCAACCAAGCTATCGATGCAGTTCGATCGGAAAGCTTTGTGAGCCATGAAGATTGAGATTGGAAGTTTGTTATGCTTTGTAGGACGGCCCTCCGACGGATCGTGGCGGCTTCGAAGGGGTGGTAGCTGGTTTGATCGAATATTGAGGGGTAAAATAGTTGATGGTCGGGGGCGGACATTTGTTGCATGATATGCCATCTCCGCTTCCAATCAGCAATTGGCATTGTGTAACATATACGTATGCGGTGGAAAAGCTTAAAGTAGGACTTTAAAAAAAGATATGGGAGGGTTATGCCTGAATTTGTATAGATAAGTACTTACTTACCAGATATATCTAACTAGTACTTGTTTGGTTTTTATAGAAGGCCTATTTGGGTTTTCTTATGTACGTTTAGGACAAGCGGGAGGGTTTAGAAATGCGTTAATGTGCTGTATGCGCTGTTTGAAAGTGCAGGACTGGATGAGTCAGGGTGGTCTGCGTTCGGGTATACTATAACATGCCGGTTTGATCTTATTTGGTCTATTTGTAATTACTAGACTGTTAATTCGAATTAACTCAGAAGTAATTACTTCACTAACTAGACCTTTTACATACTTGGGTCTATATGCATTGACTCCCAGGAGGACCAGTAAGCTGAGTCTTGTGCTACAGGACTTGTGGCTGTGGAACTGTTGCCATCGATGTGTTGAAATTGTTGTACTTTAGACCGGTTGGAACCCTGGTACCAATGCAATGAGACCATTGAAACCCGATTCGATTCTTTGGTCAATCACCTTGCTGAACTTAGGTTCCTGCAAAAGTCAGAATAGCTTTTACTCCAATTACTTTAATTATATATCTACAAGTTAATATCGTTTCCCCAGAAGAAGAAGAATGGATATATCCATTGTAGAGTCTCCGCCATAAGTATCACATGTAATGAATGTAAAATGGACTATGTGTTGAGTGTTGTCGAAGTGTTGTCAAACACGCGAAACAAGAAATCTGATCGCAGCTTTCCCTTTCTTCCGTTTCACATCCCCCATTCCATCCGACTCCTACAAACCCAAACCCAACTGCATCCATCTCCATCACAAAACACCTACACATCCACCCACACATCCACCAGATACAGCTTCCTGTCCCTCTCCTTTACCCATTAGGCCTCTGGCGCTACTTTATCCACTTATTTTCAATTGCTGCTCTCTTCCACCTTCTTCAGCGCCCTTTACTTTTCGCAGCAGCAGCTCCCTGACCCCGCGCGACTGAAACTGCGATTAGTTATAACAGGCAGTGTTTCTTGTCTTGTCTTGTCTCGTTTATAACTTAACTAGTTGGAGGTTGTCCCGTATTTTTTTCGCAGGGTCCGTCAGCCGCTAGAATACATCATCACCTATTATCATTATCCCAGTTCTAACGCCCACCCGCTACTTCTCTCCACGGATTCTCTAAACGCCCAATAAACAAAACAAAAAAAGAGACATATTTATTTATCGCTCTTCCGGCATATAGAATAAGTTTTTTGGGTGGGTTTTAGTTATTGCTTGGTTTTTGGGATGGTACAGCGAAGCAGCCGATAAGAGACGATACGGACTCAAACCGCCCATCGCGAAGCGAGTTTTATAGGAAGGAGGAAGGAAGGAAGGCAGGGAGAACACAAGGGGTCCACGGCAGGGCAAAGAAGAATAGGCGAAACAAAATTTCCGAATTCCGACTTTTTTGAATAAGAAGGTTCGACTTTGACGGAGAGGGGTGTTATGTCTGAATCCTCGAATACAACGGCGGTATCTACGGCGCGGGACGACAGTAGCACATCCTCAGCATCTTCATCGTCATCTAGTAGTAGCATTGGTTCCGACGGAAAAGACGACAAGATAAGTTCGACGCAGCCACCACTGCCGCCTGGTCAGAAGAAGGAGGAGTCGGTTATTATGGAATTGGCCACAAATTTCAAGAGCATTCTGAGGTGGTGTAAGATGTCCCTTTCTGTGGTCTAGGGAGTTAGGGGGGAATGTTCTAGGACGTGCTTTACTGACGGGTCATTAGGTGTGAGCTGGGGCGATGATCCGAAAGATAGTAAAACTGAAAAGGAAGAACGAGATGATTTAGTGGAGGAAAGGCAGGACACAGGATATACCTTGAAGGTCGAAGGGAATTCTAGGAAGCGACGGCGGCTTACTCCACCCGGCGAAGACGATGAACTACCACGAGTCAATGGCGGGATACAAAAGTCAAAACTCCACGTGTCGGGAATAACGGCGAAGGTCGAACCCTCGAGAAGCGAAATTGCGGCGCCCAGATATACTTCCGAACAACCGAATTCTGTCGCCACTACCAAAGGTGCCTCGGTACTTGAGAATGGCACTGCAGAACCAGTGTCGTTAATCGAATTTACTGAATCGAAATGGAAGGAGCAATCGCAAACGCCGTCGTTGGAACCCTTGAGGACTATACATGCGCCGTCGGGGAAAGATCAACTTGCCAGATCGCTGGCGAGACGGAATAAAGCAACCCAACAACCGAAATCGGTTAGTTCGATTGCGTATTACAGAGAGTCGCTATTGGGTAGTAGTCGGATTAGCAAGAGGTCTGCGACGCCGATGTCGATGAGTGTGAGGAGTCGGAGACAGACCTCAACACCACACAGAAGTGTGATAGGATCAACGCCTAACCGATGGATGGAGCCAAGCCAGTATAGCCCGCCGTCGGCATCTCTAAACAGTAGGTCATGGGTCCTGTGCGTCTGTTAAAGGGCGTGGAGCTAATTTAGGATATAGCATCATTCAGGAGTTCGGTTGGGTCGGTAGGGAATACTTCTAATTTTAGAAGTTCGGTCGGATCGGTGGGACGGAGCACCGCCTTTTTACCTTCGAGGTCAATGAGACTTGAGCAGTCGAACCTAAGAAGTGCCAAAAAACTGGAATCCAAGAAGAGACCATGGCTCGACCAAAAGGTTTGTGGTCATTTGTTTTTGGGGATGGTTTTGATACAGTATGGCTGATATGATTTGGTACTAGAAAACGACGTCCGGCGATAGTTTTGATGGTGAAAGTCTAGTGCTGCTTATTCAAAAACTGCAGGAAAACAAAGTCGATGGATTCGAAAACTATACTCAGATGGTGGAGAGGCAGAAGATTATCGACGAGCAGATTAAGCGAATGAGAACAATCGCGGTATGAACTAGGAATTTCTCGTGAATATTTGATTATATGGTGCTAATTTTTAATGTGTAGAAACCGCCAGCAGAGGTTCTACGGAAGATTTCAGACGGGACACTGCGCGAGTTGCAAGGATTCCTTAACGACAAGAATCAATTGAAGGAAGCAAGACGAGTTGGTAGGGATCCAGTCACCCCGCGAAGCCTGAAAACTCTCAACGGCTCGCAATGGCTCAACGACGAGGTCATCAACTCCTACATCCACCTTGTCAAGGAACGGGAGAACCAGGACGGCAGTCGGAGGATGATTACCATGAACTCGGCGTTCGTCAGCTCCTTCAAAGAATCCGGGTACGGCCGAGTAGCGCGGTGGGCGAAGAAGGCAGGCGCAGCGGGCGAGGAAATCCTAGGATTAAAGGGTATTATTATTCCAATACATCGGAATTTCCACTGGACGCTGGCGTTTGTCAATGTTGAAAAGAAACGGTTCGAATACTACGACTCACTGGCGGGAAACTGGGACCCCATTTCACTTTTGAGGACCTGGATGAAGAATGAGGTTGGATCGAAGTACATCGACGGTGAATGGGAGGACTTTTATCCCGGATCCCAGACCCCACAACAAGGGAACGGGTATGACTGTGGAGTTTTTCTTTGTAAGACGGCAGAGGTTATCGCTCGAGGTGGTGTTCTGAATTTCTCACAGAAAGATATTCCGGTGATTCGAAAGATGATGCAGGTAGAACTGCTGAAGGGAGATCTGGCGGCCCTATAGGACCGATTGTCTATATGATGCGAAAAAGAAGCGACGAGATCAATGTTCTAGAATCCAGAGTGGATCATACGCATGTTGAAGCGCGGTGATACGATATAATGCTTTTTTACATTTCGGGGAGTGCATTTATTTTCTTTCCCTCTCTTCCCCTTTCTTTTAAGCTTTGTTTTTTGACCGCGGCTGGCGAAATTCTGGTGTCTTGAAGGCTGTTTAATTTCTTTAATTTCTAATTCTTCTTGCCTTGTCATACTCTCCCTTCTTTCTCTCTTCCTCTATACATATTAATGATGATAAATGTATTATCTAGCGGGCTCCTTGCATGGCATCCTTCTTAAGATCTTGCTAGATATAGTGGGAGGAAATACCTATTTATATTACCTTGATTTGTCGATTTTGGTTCGATGCACCGATCCCTCAGCTCAGGTGTGTATTTGCGATGTTGCAATTGGGGCTGCTATTCTCGTGATGTCATGTGTGCAGGGAGTGGCGTTCAATTGCTCAAACCGCTTGCGCGTTCCCCACAGTGCGATGGATTTGGGCCTGGACCCGCCGCTTCTCGTCCTGTGACACCTTCCAGCCACAACCTCCTCTCCCTCTCCTCTTTCCCAACAATCGTAACATTCTCCCTTCTACACCATGTACACATTAACGATATCAAAATGTACGCCCGATCAATCGCGATAGCACCGCTTAAAATGCCGTCTGCTAGTTCGACAGCTGTGGCTGCAGCTGCAGCTAAGGCAGCGCCTGGCCTGGACATCCGTCACGACGAATCGCTTGGAGAACTGGTAAAGTGGAGATTGAGAAATTTTACGTAATAGCGAACGGGACTTCTGTCTTCTAACTTCTATTCAACCGAAATTTTTTCTTCTCTCCTTTAGATATATAAACTTCAAGCATACTTTGTCGATATTATCGATACTCCTTTTACTTTCGATCAATTGCGAACTACTACGTTCTCCACCCGTTTGCGGCCCCTGATAACAGCACTCTCTCAAAATTGTCACCACCCGGCGATTGTTGCTGCTTTACTCTGCTGTAAAGCCATCTTTGCGAATGAAGATGACGACCGAGGACTCAATGAATCCCGTGGTTATGCTGCCGAAATTGTCGCCTGGAGGTTCTGCGCTCATCTGAACCAATTCACCGAGGTTATCGACTACCTCTGCTACGAAATCCCCAACGACACTAAATCGTTGTCATCGGACTCCCGTCGTCCTTCAGCCGTCAACGAATCAAGTCCCTTACTCGAAGACTCCTCCGGCTACTTCCCCCGCGACCTGGATGGTACCCCTGCGAAGCACACTTTTGCAGGACTCTCAACCCTTGAGCTTGCTGTAGTGTGTGATGCCAAGAAATTTTTGTCTCAGAGGACGGTGCAGAATGTCGTCAATGGGATTTGGGACGGGAGTATAGTGTTTTGGCAGGACCTCCGGACTGATTCACAGAAACGAGCTTCACTTTATAATCCTAAGAAGACGGATCCGTATTGTAGGCTCCGTGTCCCACGGTACCAACGGGTGTTTGAGGCGTGTTTTAATGTCATGTTTTTGGCATTGTACTATGGAGTTCTTGTGGAGAGGAATATGGAGAAAGTTAGTGTGATAGAGTGGTGTCTGAATGTGATGTTTTTGAGCTTCTGCTATGAGGAAGTTAGTCAGATCACTGATGCTGGAACATTGTTCTACGCAGCGGACTTCTGGAGTTGGGCCGATATATTGATAATTATCATTTATACGGTGTTCTTCATATTCCGCATGGTGGGACTGGCAAAGCATGATGCGGATTTGATCAATACATCATTTGATGTTTTATCACTGGAAGCACTGTTACTACTACCGAGGATATTCTCGTTATTCTCACTGACACCGTTCTTTGGAACGCTAGTGCCGGCACTAAGGCAGATGACGAAAGACTTTATCAAGTTTTTGGCGTTGGTGGTTATTTTATATTTGGGATTTTTGACGACGTTTACGTTGTTGGCGAGGGATACGTTTAGTTTGGGGGATATGACTTGGTTGTTGATTAAAGTATTCTTTGGGAGTAGTTATGTGGGTTTTGATATGATGAAGAAGATTTCGCCGGTGCTTGGGGCGCCGTTGATGGTGAGTTTCCCTTAATTATACCAATAACCCGGGCCTTTTATGTGAACTTTATGACTAACAATTTGGGATCGGGATAGTTGATATTTGTTACTATGACGAATATTTTACTTATCACCTCCTTGATATCATTGCTTAGCAATTCATTGTCGGTGGTGATGAGTAATGCAAGGTACGATATTTACAACCTGACCTCCTATCATCATCCTATACTAACATATATATCATAAAACAATAAAGAGAGGAATACCTCTTCATGTTCTCCACCTTCGTTCTTGAATCCGCTACCTCCTCATCACGACTAACATACTTCCAACCCCCACTAAACCTCCTCTCCCTCGCCGTCCGCCCACTCCGCCTCATCCTCCCCGCACCACATCTACGAGCTTTACGAATCAAACTACTAAAAGCTACACATTTCCCTCTGGTGGCGATTATAGTAATGTATGAACGTATGAGGGGGATGGAAGGGGAGAGTCTAAGGGATAAAGTGTTTACCATCGGTGGACAGAAGAGTTTTAGGAGTAGTCTAAAAGCGGCGGTTGATAAACGGGATCTTAGAAGTCAGGTTGGAGCGTTGATGGAGAGGAGTGGGAGTGCTGGGAAACATGATGATGGTCATAATCATCATGTTGGGGGGAGTGATAATGGCGGGAAATGGAATTCTGGAAGGGCGGAGAGGAATAGACCGCCGCCAACGCCGGGGACTGGACCGTTGGAAACGGGGTTTGTGTGGCCGAAGGATTCGGGTAGGAAGAGGGAGGTGGAGGATGAGGGGGATGGGATTGGAGATGGGATTGGAGACGGGCTTGGAGATGGGCTTGAGGAGAATGTGGATGATGGGGTTGTGACAGTAAGGGATTTGACGGCGCAGATTGAGGGGTTGAGAGAGGAGTTGGGGAGGAAGATTGAAGAGGTTGCGGAGCTTGTTAGGAGAGGAGGGAGGGGTTAGAGATTTCTGATTTTGAGTGGGATGGATATGAAGTTGAGATGTTGAGGGCTGATGATGCTTTTTTTTTTTTGGTTGGTTAGACGCTTGGAGTGTAAGATTGTGGTGATGGACTGGTTTCGTACACCGGTCTTTCATGATGGTGTCGGTATGGGCCTTTTGTATTTGATTCTCTTGTATTTGACGGTTTAGCGGGAAGTATTACGGTATGTACGTGGGGTTTGGAATTTGCAAAATGTCATAAGTTTGTGGAATAAATCTCATTATTTTATTTCGATTTAAGATGGATATAAGATACTATTTGATAAGGTTTTTGAATACATGCATGCATGCTCGAGATGGATATAGAATTACAAGTTTACAACGGTTTGGAGGGGCTATCTATCGATATTACGACCTATAGCCTATAGATAGACCCGGGAGTGTTCTATCATTGATCAATTCTTATGACGGTATACTGGTAATCACTACTAGAGTGTATTTGCATGGCTACCGGCCTTGTAGATGTCATGTAAGGATATCGATATCGCGATGCTAATTAACTACTTAACGATGGGGGTTACTACACAAACAGTATACGTATTCTCGTCAAGAGTGAGATGCGCATTTGAATCCTTTTCTAGATTGCCGGTATTATATTTTTGTTACTGGTTTTAACTCACACAGAGGTATGCACGCGTGCAGTATCTTGATTCTGGAGATTGAATTTACAAAATTAGTCTGTTGGGATACATGTCGTGAGATTTGAGATCGAGGTTATATCGTTCTATGCCAGTAATTCTATTTGGCTATGTAGTAGTACTCGTGGCGTGTGATTGATGGTGTCCATTACATTAATTCTTTAGCTTTTGGGGTTTTATTGGTATTTGTGGTCTTTTTGTTGGAATTTTATGGGTGCGCCGGTGGGAATGAGTCGTGTAGACGGCTCGATACCTGCGATGTTTGGTTCGAAAGGTTAAAGTTGTATCAATTGGCCAATTGGTATTCACCCGCGCGGGAAGTTCCAGTTAATTCATGACCATAGGCCCACAGCTACGCGTATGGTCTCCTCAGATGAGCCCATGGATTCATAGAGTTGGTATGTTCTAAAGTCATATTCTAGATTCGATCTAGCGCTAGCTAGCTAGCTAGGTTGAACCTTAACGGGATCCAATCGCGAGCCGATTCATTTCCAACATAATGGTTTATACCAAAGTCAAAGCTAAGCATGGATATAATAAATATCATATAATGCAATCTCTGAACTCGAGCCGCCTTTCAACAAAGAGCTAGCGTATATCATAGATGTTGGATTCCGAAGAATCGGATCGACCGACCGATCGATCGATGTATTACTTGAGAGAGATGGAGGGCGGTAGTATCAGTGGCTATCTGAGGTCTCATTGAAAAGCTGAAGAGCCATTACTATAAGTATAGTATACAACAGTTTGATTTTTTTTTTTCTCCCCCGTACATGTATACAACGAGTCATGAACATGGGCACTGAAGGTGGTATTTACCGTTTTCTTTTTGAGGCTAGCGTAGTATTGGTTAGATCTGCAGGTACGGCATATGTATGTACCGTACGGGGTTTTGATGGGTTTTTGGGGTCGCTTTTAAATTTTAAGACGCTTTATCCAGCAGTTAAGACGTCTTAATTTCCCAAAAAGCAGACTTAAGGCGGAATTTCTGCCCTAGAAAACCCTCAGTTTCCCCTACGGTACATACGTAATGTTGTACCGGGATGTTATGTGCATGAAGAAATGACGGTTACGATGTTTATATATGGGGATGCATGGACGCAGGTACTACTTCACTAGTCTTGATGTTGGATAACTAGGAAGATAGTTGAGGATCGAGCTAGAAGGTCGAACTGAGGAGGTTCTTCCACAAATTAACCGCACATGCATAGAAAGAGAGACTACAATTTCCCTTCTTACCCCGCCATAGCTATCTCATAACCCGTCACGTCAAGCAGGATGTTGGTGATAACAGCGTCGTGACTCGTAATAAATATGTTTGACAAAGCGATATCAAATCGAAAGAGAGTGCGAACTGAAACTTCCAACAACCGGGAACCTTCTCGCTCGAGTATGAATGAATCAAAGTCGGCTAACTAAGCTATCGAGCTCGAGTGTTAATCGAAAGGAAGTATACGCCGAAAGGAAAATTTCGGCTTCGATTAAACCCTTTGTCGACTCTCGCTCTTGTAAGGCATACTGTAGTACCCGCCGGCACTATCGGCTTGTGGGGCGTGCGATTCAGTTAGATTTTCGAAATAAATCTACAAGTAACATGACGTCTATACCGAACCAATCAGGTCTTTTACCTAAAAAAAGTTCGATACACAAGATCTATATCTTCTCAAGCCACTTATGCGCATGCAAAGGGCGTGGTTAACGTTAAGCGGGTACTGAAATCCTAGGAATGGGCGGTAACATGCATATATCCACGAGCTGAAAAAAGACAGCGTTATGTATAGCAATATGGTAGATAAATCTAGGCAAAAAAGCATTTTAAAACGTATGGATATGGCAAAGTACTTCCGTCGAGCACTTCCTAGCGATTGGAGGGGAGATTTTCAGGCGGGACCGAGAGGTATACTAGCGTGCGCCTGTGGCAAATTTACTAAAATCTAGAGAAACTTGTCTCCAAAAGCAAAATGTAAAAATACTCTACTATTGGAGAAGTATATCGTGGTGGGTTACCTAACATATTGCATGCGTGATTTTGTGCGTGCGTGCGTACCCGTTGGCTCTAAGGGGGAGTGCAGCTCAGGGTTTGCCTAAGCGTTTTGTGGAAGTCAAGAAGCGGCAGGGGGAGTAATTCCTTGTGAGGGGGGGTATTCAAGACGGCTCGTTATTGGCTCCAATATATTTAGAAGGGGGGTAGAAGGGTGTACTACATTCCCGAGTATACCTCCCATCGTAAAGATCTCAACGGTTTTCTGTTCTTCCGGGGATCAAAGCACGTTTTGGTTGTGGGTACGGGGAAAAGTATCTCGTGGACCAGAATTAGTGCTGCTGCGAAGCAGTAGGGAAAAGAAGAAACGATATGTTGCCTGAAGTGAAGCCGCGATGGGAATCATTCTTGAGTCCTATCGAATCAAAATAATCAAAATATGATCTAGATAGTTGTCTCGTACCCAGACTTGGAAGTCCGGATAGGTCATAAAAGACAGACGGGAAGTTTGTCAGGGTCTGGGGTTCAAACGGTTTGATAAGTTTCGAAAGGAGGGAAAAAATGGACTCGTGGGATAAGTCCCATGCCAGTACCTACCTAGCTCACCAATAGAAGATCTCTCGGAAGAGAGAGACAAATCAAGGGAGGGGGTCACTAGGCACATTCTGGTTTAGAGGCCTCGAGGTGCCCAAACTAGGTATGTTCATATGCATCTATTCCTTTCGTCAAGAAAAACTTTGGAAAGGAATTAACCGTCGCAGAATAGTTTTAGGGAGCTAGGATCGAACCACGTCAAGAAGAGGTGATCTGCAATTGGAAGCTGAATAATCTTGTCAGTTTGCAGGAACATACATACATGTATGAAGGGGGTATGCGGGTGGACTAGGAAGGACTCAAAGGTTTGGTGAATATGACAGCTGTACAGGGTCAAGAAGTATTTCAGCTGGAAGGGGGAACTGGATCGAGAGGCCTTAAGGACAGGGGGTAAGAGCTAACTGTCTCTTCGATTGGTACTACAAGTACACGATCTGAACGACAGGTCTGCTCTCGAGGAATGTTGGCAGGATAGTTCGGGATGTTTGCTGTCAAGGATCCATTAGCCTAGTATAGTAGCCTCGTATGTGGTACTTCCTTTCGCTTGTGGGCGATCTTGAGAACCGTTGAACATTTGCCCTCGAGATGGTTAATATTTACCCGGCATGTGCTCTCGGAAAGTATCCTTTTGTGTTAGTTCTTTTCCAACTCACCTCTTGGGGGGCCTCGAGGGGGTCTTCTAGCTACTACAACAATCCGCGCGGTTTCATGAACTCGGCCTCGGGGAAATTAAGTCCTGTAAAGGATCAACCGACCAATGAACATACTTACAGCTATGTAAAGTCTCGGAGATACTAGGACGGCCTTTCTCTATAGAACAAAGCGACTCTGTGTGATGCAGCTGAACAATAGTCTCACGCTCAGATCAGTAAACGTTAACGGTTAACCTCAAGATGAATTTGTGGGCCGCATGTGGTACAGCCAATTGTCTCTGAACTGAAATTCATGAAGCGAGGAACACCGCTGTTTAGACAAGGCACGGCTGTCAACTTGATCTGTGCCAGCTGCAAATATTTCGCAAGGTGAGCGCCGCCGGTGGCAGAGATGCCTTAACAGAACGTTTTGAAAAGAGACAAAGGTTTTTTGGTCGGCAACATCATCATACGGCGTCGTCCACAGCTCTCGAAGTCCCCAATAATACATCGGATTAATAATTAAGTGTCTACAAATACGCCGGCGGCACGATACCATTGGTTGGAAGTTTAAAAATATCAATCAAAACCCGGGTTGGGGGATGTGTAAACAGTGCGTCTGTGCCGCAAATTCGCGATATTCGTGATGTAAACGATGTTCAAATTGGGTTAAAATTTCAAACGGTGCCTCTTCTGTGCACTCATGACACGCATATCCGAATATTTTCTCTCTCTCTTTCGCTGGCTTGACATGCGCTACCACCAAAAAATGACATGATTTATAGACACCATCTTAATTTTATAGACATTTTTGCCTAGAGATCCTAGATCTAAAGTTATCTTGCTCTTCGTCAAAGCATGTCGACCCTTGATGCTGCGGGCGGTTAACATTGTTCGACGGGTGCGAGCATATTACCCAAACAATGTGATAGGGATCCATAAATCAAAAAAAAAAAATTTAGGACATCTGAGGATTGGTCTTTTTCAGTGGCACAGAACGGGCAATCCGATCAGTATTCATGGAAGGCAATCAAGTGTGCAGACCCGGGTCCTTAACATTGCACGTACATACTTTGAACCGGAACTCGGATGCGGTTCAGGCTGAGGAGTTTCGTC